CTCATCCGAATGGTTTTTGGGAGGTGCTGCTGTTTAGTTTAGCAAGGAAGTTAACTCTTTGATAAGCGTGCGCGAGCGAGAAATGTCCGTGCCTAGCGTCCATTTGACTGCAACCCATTTATTTTTGGTGACTTTTTTAATGACGGTGTCGCACTTCTAATTTACAAAGCCTGCTATTTCGCAGTGAGACCTCATTATTCCGTCTGTTGTATGTAGTCATTACGTCGCTTTGATGATCTTGATGAGCTTACTTGAGCTCCACTTTTTTTTTTTTTTTTAAACTCCAAACAAACTTCCTGTGATGTAAGAAGTGTGAGTTTAGCCACTGCGCTTGCTGCGAGTCTTCATGTGTGTTGCTTATTGATTCTGGCGGGAAGGTCATTGGGTGACCCTCGGGTGTGTACGTCTGCATATGTGTATATTTTTAGTTTGAAGCCCCCCACACACACACACACACACACATCATCCTCCCACCCCACATCCTCAATCATTCCAACTCCTCTGTGTACATTCAAACTATCGCCATTAGCATATTTAGCAGCATTTGTTATTTAAAAAAAGGGGGATTTTTGTGGGGGGCGGGGGGCATACAAAGCTCTGGGATGGGTGTGTTGAGGAGGGGGGAGCTGACGATGATGTCATGCGTGGGTTTTTCGCAGGTTTTCTCGTCCGGTGGAGAGAATACATCTGGAAGTTGCACACACGGTGGAATGTGACACCGATGCTCTATAAATGAGGGATGAAAAGAAGAAAGTTTGGATGGACAGAGATAAATGGGAGAGGTGGCAGGGAGATGGATGATGGTCCTTGGGGTGGAGGGGGGCGGTGAATGAAACCCATCATGGGAGGTGAAAAATAGCTTGTTCAATATAACAACGCCCCAAATCCAACTTCAAATGTGGCTTGTTATTCATCCGGTCCTGTAGAGGGCGACAGCGTGGCATCAATCCAGATGTTTCGTTCGAGGAGAATTCAGTAGAAAGAGTACAGACAAAAAGAAGTGATTTACAAGAAACTTGCAACTTTTTTTTTAATCATGCCGGTACCCTCACAAACAAAGGTAAAACTCGTATAGTGAATCACGTTACCGCGATACAATTTTGGCAAGTGGCTGATCAATATGTTGATTATTGTAGTTGTCCAACCGCGCCGCGTCAAACCTACAGCGGTATTTTGACGACTCTGTTTAGCTACCGAGTTAACATGGTGTTAATAGCAAAGGCATTCTGAACATTCGGAGAGCTTTTATGAGCGTACATAAAATAGTCTACTTTTGACTTTGTTCCAATGCCAACTCTTCCCATCGTGCATTCTCAGCCTTTATCTTCTCATCCCCACAATGGAAAAACTCGTATTGTTTTCCACAAATTCCGCCTGCTCTTCTCTCTCCCTTATCAAATCAACCGGGCTGGAATGCAGCCACGTGGGTCCATGCGAACACGCCCCGATGTGGCCGCGCGCCAAGACCCACAAATATGAACGAACGCTGTCCGAAGTTTGGCGGAAAAGTGTGGGCGCTGGAACGGAACAATATGGGAAGAATGTGATACGTTAAAATACAAAGAGAGAACGAAAAAAAAAAGAATAAAGCGATGGACAGTGTAGGCCAACAGGGGATAAAATAAGATCAGGATAAAAGAGCAGAAGGAAATCTGGAAATATTTGGGGCTCATACCTTCGTTGTGGCTGGAGGCTGTGCCTACATGTATTACGATGTTTGAGGCAAGCATATGTTGGGGGAAAAAAATCTCAGATGCACCACGTACACTTTTTGTTTTATTTCAAGGTGTCACCAGCCTTCTATGCACGCAAGCAAAATTTATCACATTTTCTTTCCCCCCCCATAATTGCATTTTCATCATCAGTTACACATTTAATCCTCATATTCTTTTTTTTTTTTTTTTTACACATTTTTCCTTGCCATTTATTTTAATGTTTTTCCTCGCAAAAATGTAACTTTATACTCAACGGGCTAAATTCGCTCAAGGTTTGGATGACCTTTGTGTGGCGCTAACCGGTAAAAATGGAGCATTTAGCATTAGCATCTAATGATAATGATATGAAATGAAAAGTCTTATTCAATAAGAGCAGCGCTAATAGCCACGCACAGTTTGAGTGAAGAAAATAACATCTTGAGCAACTTTGCACTCCTCTGCGGAAGCCTCATATAGCAGTAGCAAACCGACAATTGCGCAAATGCTCCGATATTCTGTTGGCATCTCCTCCAAATTTTACCTCCGTCGCCCCTTTGAACATCCGACAGGTGCTGGTCTACGCTTCTGGCTCGTACCGCTCGGAATGTTAACTTCATCGTCCACGGAGCCGCGTCATTGTGAGGGGGCAGCGTTTTATGGCATGTTCTTGCTAGCTGACGCGGTGCCAGCGTCAATCAGGTCCACATGGACGTTTGACCAAAAACAGACTTGCAGCTGAGTCTTCTGGCTTTTGTTTTAGAGCCTTTTATATCCAACATTTCTATAGCGAGGCAGAGTATTCCGTGTTTCTGTTTACCATCTCTCTCCAAAAGCTCCGAAAACCCCACCTTTCAACTGCTCCGCCATCTTTGGACGTGGGACAAACCTTGAGAGTTAATGTAATTGGACTGGCTGTATTTTATGCCTCATCCCAGCAGTTCCAAATCTGCTTTTAAAACCGCAAATCCGACAACACCAGCCAATTACAGCAAAGTAGTTTGTTTTTAATAGGTTAGCTTTATGGTACCGAAGCTTGTCATTAGATTGGCATTATCTCGTTAGCGTGATTATCGTCCAGTCAATCTTATGACACTGCGAACAGATCCGTGTGTTGACGTATTGATATACTGTCGTGAATGTCCAGTCTTCCTGTTCCTACCGAGTTTTGCCGATATCTTCTCATGAGTCATGCTCGCAACTTTTGGGGCCAAACGCTAACAACGGCACGTTTGCCGAACGATCAAATAAATAACCGATCGATCAAGTAAACCGCGAAACCAAGTACTGTAACCCGTCAGCAGACCCTATGACTGACCTTCAAATCAATCAATTAACCAAGCAGACCTACTGATTGACATTGACAGACTGACTAATCAACTAGCCATTCATGTTAGCTAAACGACCAAGCCACATTTTGCCCACTCATATAATGCAAATTGCACTGTGAGCAGCAGGCACACTCTCGCGACGCACATTATCATCTGGTGGAAGCGTGCCTTGTTTTGTCGTTTGCAAGTCCCTGGCTAAACCCCCGTTTGCTTGCCAACTGTACTGGACAACTTGAATAGCAAAAGCCCCAGAGGGCAATTCCATGAGGCCATTTCCATTTCTAAAGAGGCCACCACGCTTATTAGTTTTCCAGCACAGACATTAGCCAGACTCACAAAAATAGACGCAGCGAGACGCCACCAAATACAGCTGACTGCAACGTGTTGTAATCATGTGTGGTACAGCTTTGAACCGCGCTTGAGCTCACCGTTTCAGAAGGACCGGCTGGCTCGAGGCCATCTTGACTCGGCAAAGTGTGCGAGAGTGCACCTGTCAAATTTAAAAGAACGTATATAATCAGGTTAAGAGGAGGAGGAAATGGAGCCGCTCTGGAACAGAGGGAGCAGAGAAGGGAAACCAGGAGGAACCTAGTGGAGAATATATCTTGGCTAAGATTTCCTTATCCCACCAGAAGGGAACATAAAAATAAGACAAATGATCTATAAACTCCAACGGACGCCCAGTGAAGGCAGTTTGTTTGTGCGAGTGGATTGTTTATGGCGGCGAGAGGCGACCTCATCACATGTTGCTCAGGCACTTCAGTCTGCACATAACGTGCGTAGCTCACCATGAAAAGTTCATTGAATGTTGAGCGATGAATTCGGCGCGCAAGACAAAGTTGACTCGCTGTAAACTTGAACAGGATCACACGGTATCAGTGGTATTTGCTCATCCTTGGATTCCAGGAATGCAGGCTCAGACAAAGTGCGATAAAAAAAATATTTATTGCATGAAAGCGCCCCGAAAAAGTACAAACTGAAATCGCTGGTCACAAGGAGACAGAAAACAAAACGACACAAAAACCACAAAGCGCTTGCAAAGGCATGTACAAGAGACCACCGAGAATACACAAACGAAATATCGCAACTCCAATTACGCGAAACCAAAGATCGAGATCGATGAAAAGGAATAATGAAAATATTCAAAGTTTTGTGACAAAACTATGAAAGATATCGAGAGGTCGAGAATACAACACTTGAAGCACAACAGCGAACAAGGTCAATAATCCGACAAGAGACTCGGCAGCTCGGCAGTCCTTAAATACAGAAACGCGGAACAGGTGAGCCTGCTGGAGGGAAACGCCCTTCACTCCAGCTGTTACGTAATGTGGCCCAGCCTTTTGCATTCCAGCCAGCCGCTGCAAGTTTATACGTCGTCTCCGGGTTTTGTCATCCGCCGCTCGTGTTGTCTCTTTTTGACCCTTCTGGCTTGCCCTCTCCGCCCCACAAAGTCGCGGTCACGTTACACTAGATGGATTCATTATTGCCCAGCAGATACGTACAGTAAATGGCGCCTTTGTGGTGTGCTCACAATGATTCATCCCAATTCATAACGCCGCCTCCGCGATGGCATTCGGAGGAGAGAAGAAGTCTTTGTCTCACAGGTCAGACAAGTCGGGGGGCGGGGGGGGGTTCGCAATGATGCTCGACATTCCTTATGTGTCCTCTGAAACGACACCACGTTAATGTGTGCGTGCGCATGGTTCAATCAGTTCATTCCTGCAGCATATGACTACAACAGGAGCTACTGTATATCCAGTCGACTTTGTGGCTCAAGTCATTCGAAATGTTAATTTGAAGTCATACACATTTTAGGACTCATATATTTATTTTCAGTCTATATGGGTCTATGATTGATTATTCATCGATAGTCTCCCATTTCAGGATTTGTTCATGTATTTCATCAGACGACTTTTTGAATCTATTGTATGTCCCTATCTAAAAGCTTTTTGTTTTGTTTTTTTTTCTTCCCCCACAGCGCTACTGGTGTGTGTGTCATCTTTCAACGTGGACCAGAAGAACGGCTTGTCCTTCACTGGCCCGCTGGAGGACATGTTTGGCTACACCGTCCAGCAGTTTGAAAACAGCGAAGGCAAATGGTGAGACTGGATTCACTCAAAAGATTTTTACTCGATGTTGCCAGTTATTTATTTATTTATTTCCCCTTTTGGAGAGGGGGAGGAATGGTGCAGTGTCCCAACAGCAGATGGTGCAGTCGTGTAAATCTTTTTGTAAAAATGTGTTTGATTTACTTTTTTCTTTCGAGTATTGATTCGATTCAAGGTGATGTCCAATTTAAATGATCTCGTTTTACCAGTGATTTATTCATAATAGTGATTCATATTGAATTGAATTTAGTCATGATTTATTAAGAGGAGTGATTCAACCGTACATACTGAGCATGTACAAAGCGAGTCGAACGAGATTAGTGTTTGGCTTTTCTGTCTGTTCCGTACCTGCCGCTGTCTCGCCTTATCGAAGTCATGTGAGATGAGTTCAAGCAATTCATTCTGCGCTAATCGGGCCAACAACGTCTGCGCGCCCTGCTCTTCACCCGCCTCTTCCAGATAAGTTTTTTTTTTTTTTTTACGTAATCGGTCACAGAAGTCCGAGCAGTGGTGGGAGTGCCGATGACGAGGAAAGACATGAAGTGGGGATTGATGGAAAACGTTTGCGGAAGACGCGTCGGGGGCACGTGTTGATAACGTTTGAAAGGAGCTGTTAGAGGTGATGCAGCAGGTTGCCATGACGACCTTTGGACTGGCCACAGACGTCTCCAACAAACTAATTCAGTTTATACTTGACCTAACTTTATTCTCGTAACATCTGATTTTTGTTTTTCGAAATATTTCAATGTATTATATAATATATAGATAATTTCGTTGCATCAAAAGATGCTAACTCGACATGAACTCGTGTGTGTGTGTGTGTGTGTGTGTGTGTGTGTGTGTGTGTGTGTGTGTGTGTGTGTGTGTGTGTGTGTGTGTGTTTTCCTGACAGCTTTTGGACTTTCAGGCCTCATTAGAGCACAGGAATGTTAATAAGCGGCGGTGCTTCGACGAAGAGCAGCTCCGTTTTAGCATCAGTTTACACAGCGGGTCACGTGGTCCAGCTGACACATGCAGGAGTCATGTGCCCATTACTGTCATACGTTTTATGATACACCCGATAATTCTACGGGTTATTATAACGAGACCCATAAACCAAATAACGACTCTTACGGTGGCAAAACGGCAATTCCCATCGTCAAAGAAAGATTGAGCTTGTTATGGCAGCTATGAAACACTTGGTTGGCAACATCAAGACCCAAAAATGGATTTATTTATTTATTTTTTTCCCCAAATGTAGGGTTCTGATTGGATCGCCGCTATCGGGCCAGCCGGCGAAACGAACTGGCGACGTCTACAAGTGTCCTGTGGGCAGGGGGAACAGCACATGTGTGAAACTGGAGCTGCCAGGTAAGAAAGACCCTTACACTGTGTGTGTGTGTGTGTGTGCGTGTGTGCGTGTGTGCGTGTGTGCGTGTGTACACAAGTGTCTCTGGCTGATGGGAAGTAAAGCCCATCAGAGTAAACAAACGCGGACTTAATGGGCGCTCCATGCAATTACGCAGCTTCATTAAAGAGATAAAAATAAAATAGCTCTTGGCCAGCAGTCCTGCGAGGCCTGCAGGGGTTCGTCGACGCCAGCAGTGGGCAACCTCCTCACCTTTCCCTCGCACCACTTTAGTGTCGTAAATTATGTTACAGAAGATGTTATATCATCGAGATATTGCAGTTTAGTTCTCATATGGCGATGAAACTTTGGATTTTGTCACATTTATGCCGATTTATTTTCATGCAATGACGTGAACTATTCTTGCACAATTTAACATTTTAACAGACATATAGAAACGCACGGTTGTGGACCATCGCGTCCTCGCATTCTGATATCACGAAAATGTGCAGGTTTGCCAAATTTCGAGCTTACTCTTGCCTTCGCTGCATCATCCTGCATCCTTCATTAAAATTCCTCCAGTTTGTTGCACAGAGGAAGCCACCGAATGTGAACAAGCTGGTATGTTCTTCCTGTTTTGTTTGTGCACGTCGTCTTCTTGGATTAAAAAAAAAAAGGAAAGAAAAGAAATGGTCATGTCAGCAATCAGACAGCAAGTCACTTCCAAGCAGACTTCCTTTTTTGGGTGGGGAGGGGGTCTGTTCGGAAAATACATGCACTGGCTGCTAATAGGAGGCAGATTCCGAAACTGAAATGAAACATTTTGTAACAGCATGCTAACATTAGCCACATGTTGTGATTGCTTAGCACTGGAGAGGCCTCTCTCCAATGTGCAAGTAGAATGTTTACAGAGCGCTTTTTATGTGCGAAAAGATGCACCAGCTGCTTAGGTCAACCGAAATGCATCCATAATGTTGTTCCTTGTCATATGGAGCCAGGCTGAATTCATAGGGCACAATCGTTTGTGCCCCAGTTTAAAAAAAAATAAAATAATTAATTTGTCGCCTATTTCGCACGACAGCAATGCTAAGCTTTTCCTGGTCATGGTTTTCCTGTGTCATGTGATGCAAGGCATAATTTGTAGGCCGCAAAGCCCCCAACGTTTATTTAAATTGCAATACAGTACGCAATAAATTTGCTCAATTATTTTTCGTTGTAACGTCACATGTTTGTGTGGTCACATGATGCTAGGTAGAATTGTAGGGCACAATCATTTGTGCCCCCGAGTTCTTTTTTTTTTTCTTCTTTATTTTTACTTGTTGCTAGGCAGAATTTGTCACTTGTCTAGCAATGAAAAGTGTTTTTTTTTTTTTTTTAAACCTAGTGGGGCACTAAAGCACTTGCCTCTCGTACAATTTTATATTTAGCCACACGACCCGTCGTCGGTGTGTAATGAAGGACACGATGAGGCTCTCTGTTCCTCTGGGAAAACTGGAAATGGCAGAATTTGTCCAGCTGCTCTTCCCGCGTGCACACTCTTGCTTATTTTTCTGCGTTTCTTGCAGAAAACACCACCGTTCCCAATTTACACGAAGTCAAGGAGAACATGACCATGGGAACCACACTTGTGGCCAACCCCGGCGGCGGATTCTTGGTAAGCAGCCCAGTCCCGTACCGTACGTACGTGAAATTTCTATACCATGAATAAAAGCGTGTTCATGAGACCTTTGCACTCTACTGTGGGAACTTCAGGCTGGACGCTCCCTATTTTGCTCGGCTTGCTCTGGGAATGTGACAGGATGCTGTGAATCAAATGTGAAACTGCTATGACTGCACTTTTTATAGCGATGAACTCACAAACTTTATTGTTTCATCGTGCACTCAGTTCTCACGACATCTCGTACAGAAGATTGTCATTCAATGTTATTTGTTATTTGGAAAAAAAAACTGTTAACTACATCATGGCAGTTTTATTATGGGCTTACTTGGAATTAGAATCTGTATTGTCATTCTGTAAGTTAGCCAATAGGCTATTTTCCTGTATGATGTGCTACAAAATTGTTTAATTTTTTTTTTTTTTGTTAAACATTGGTGGGGGTAAAAGAAAAAAAAACTCATTCATTGCCCATTTTTCATCTCATTTACATTTTTTCACATGGGCAGGTAAAGAACAATATGAAAATGGCTGGCACTGAATGAGTGTTGATTGACCTGAAAACTATAGCTTTTATTTTATTTTATTTTATTATTGATAATTTTTTTTTTTTTTTTTTTACAAATAACACAATTTATCATACAGAATCCTACTAAATTGTTCAAAAGCAAACTTTTTTTTTTCCCCAGGTAAGACGGAAATTCTATCAGGTTTCTATTCATTTACTTTGCCATATAAAATCCCACTACGTTATAAAAAAACAAAAAAACACCAAACTTATTTTCCAGGAACCAGCAATAATTGCAGTTTTTACTAATAACATACTGTAATTAGAATGTTTGTTCAGTTCAACTGTGTTTTGCTTGTCATTCGCCCACTTTGTGGGTGGGTGGGTGTGTGTCTGTAGGCGTGCGGTCCTCAGTATGGCTACATGTGTGGTCAGCAGCAGTACATCTCAGGGGTTTGTGCCAATGTTAGCTCGTCCTTCCAAGTTCTCAACTCGGTGGCGCCGGGCGTTCAAGGTATGCGATGCCACCTCCCAGTACGCTCCAAAGACCCCAACGTTTTATTCCCAAATTCTTCCCTCTCAAAGTGAAGATTGTATTTATCTTCCAGAGTGTTCAAAGGAGCTTGACATCGTGATCGTCCTGGATGGCTCCAACAGCATCTACCCGTGGACCAGCATCACTGATTTCCTGGTCCGCTTCATCGAGAACATTCAGATTGGACCCAAACTTTCGCAAGTCAGTTTTACCAGCGCTTTTGAATGCAGCTGCTCCTTTTTTTGTCTACTCTAAGCCTGCGAATGGTTATTTTTATGACACTTTCATTGATTTGGCGCTCAGCATGTAGACTTTTCCAGAGGGGAAACTCTGGTAAGTCATCTGGAAAGTCATCACCCGAGTCCAAGACCACATCCTCGACAGCCTGCAGACGCGACATCGAAGCAGAGAAGAGAACTAGGGGGAAAATGAGCATTTCTTTGGTGTTTTCCCAGGTGGGCATCGTGTCCTACGGCGAGACGGTAACCCACCGTGTCAACCTGAGCCAGTTCGACAACACTGCCGACCTGCTAGATTTCGTACGCGAGCTCCCGCAACAGACCGGCTTCAAAACAATGACCTTCCTGGGCATCGACACTGCCAGGTACCACGCCAACGAGCTTTCACTGAGCTCATGGCGGTCGCCTGTGAGTCACGACACACTAATCATAATTTCCGAGCCTTGGCTATGACATCCAAACGCTCTTTAAAGACAGACAGCACACCCACTATCCGAGATGCCAAAATGGTACGAAAGTAACCTTTTCTTTTTCCGCCTTTCTAGGAGGGAGGCATTCATGCCGGAGAGAGGCGCGCGACCTGGCGTCAAGAAAGTAATGGTGATCGTGACCGACGGAGAGTCGCACGACTTTCACAACCTCAAGCCGGTCATCAAAGACTGCGAGGAGGATGGCATCGAGAGGTTTGGCATCGCTGTAGGTAGAAATGGCCTTTTCGCTTCTTGTTTTACAAGAACCGGTGGTTGGGCAGTTACGATAAATATTCCGCTTGCTAAATTAGACAATTTGTCCTGTCAAAAATGACCAAAGAACACAGTCAAAAGATAGCTAGCAGGTAGTTGCCAAACCTAGCTTACGTTAAGGTCTTGTTTTGACCATAAGGCGGCAAAAACTCTACTTTCAGGGTAGCTAGTTTCACCTTGTTTACATCAAAATATTATGATTGGAAAATAGGAAAAAAAAGTATTTGAACAAGTTAACTAAGGCTAACTATGATTCAATCTTATTTTGATGAAAATGATCAAGTCCAGTTATGAGCTAGTTAGCCTAATCTGCTTTACGTTACGTCTCGCGCCTTGTTTTGACTAAAAACCTGTCCCAAAGTTTGGCGAGCAGCTTGTTAGTCTAGTTTAGCTTTTATGTTTAAGGTACTAGCTTACATTAAAATCATGTGTTGACTGAACAGTGGTGAAAAAAATCCAGTTTGCCCTTGAGGTAACCTATCCTAGTTTACATTAATGTGTTGTGAGTAAGCGATGTGTAGAAATTTTCCAATTTTTTTTAAGGCTCACATGTTCTGGTCTCCAGGTTCTGGGCGACTACAACCGACAGAATAAGAGCGCCGAGGAAGTGCAGAAGTTCATCAAGGAGATCGCATCCATTTCCAGTCTGCCACTACGCGACCACTTCTTTAACGTGTCGGACGAGTTAGCTCTGTTGACCATTGTGGACGCGCTGGGCAGCAAGATCTTTGCCCTGGAAGGTAATCGAAGATACATGATGGATGTCCAAATGCCGTCGAGTCCTTCAATTTTTTTTGTTCTCTCCCCGCAGCTACGACAGGCAATTTCACCTCATCCTTCGACATGGAAATGTCGCAAGCCGGTTTTAGCGCTCATGCTTCCAAAGTAAGTCCATAATAACTTGTTGTGGGTTACTCTTTGAAACTGATCAATTCAACCAGAGTTAAAAGCATTAGCAATAGAACCAGAGTAGTGGACTATCGTGACAGCCTTGTTTCTATGGCCGTGAAGTTTTTATCTGATGACTGAAGCGGTGAACTCGGACACCACGGTTATCTCTGGTGCATCGTCTACCCTTTGGGGATCCTCCTATGCCGATTGACGCTTCCGGAAACAAGAGCGTCTGTGTCTTCCCGTCAAGTCCGTGCCCTGATGGCATTTTGTACAATTGTCCAAACACGAGAAGGCGTGGGATGTGAAATCAGGCGGCGGCTTCAGGAGCGCACCAACTTTCTGCTGGTTCACATGCCTTCCGGGTTCATTCATTAGCCGTTTCCGACTGTATGTGTGTTTCAAAACAGCCAGCTTCCCTCTGGTGCCTCTTGCACGCATCCTGACCCTCAAGTTTATCACGTCCCTGATCATGTGTTGTACGTTTTCTCGCGCTCTCTCGCTCTGTCTCTCTCTCTCCACGTGTGACTCGTCTCAGTAACGGCAAACAAACTGATTTGCTCTTCTCGTTGATGCGTGAGGGCCCCGACTTCAACAGTCACGGATAGAAGGAGCATCCTGACTTATTTAATTACCGCCTGTTTTCCCAGCCCTTCCTGTTAGACAAACATCTTTCCTGTACACCAAACACGCGGGTTATATTTAGGACTGTAAGTACACACGAAACCGACACTGCTTTGACAGTTTGTTGAAAAGAGTAAAGACCCATGTTACGAAAGAATCAAGTTTGACATGATAGAACGTTTCAGATATTCGGTTTGGGAGATTTCATGGAAAATGTGATCCAATGGAGAAGAAAATTCACGATACTTCCCAATCTCCACTTTGCTGCAGCGCTCCGTTTTGTTGCTGGCTTCAGTCTACTCTCAAATGGAATTTTTTCGTACTCAAGAAAATCAAGAAAAAATAATTCTTCTTTTGCAAATATATGCATTTTGCTGGCATATATATATTTTTTTTAAATTCTCAAAAACATACAACTTTTTTTTTCCAAAATGTAAAACTTTTTTTCCCCAAATGTAGAAAACTTTTTCTTTAAAATAGAAGACTTTATTTTGGCCAAGAAAATGTAATTTCTTTCCAGAAAAGGTAATAATTTTTTCCCAAACCCAATTTTTTAAAATAATTTTTGCTCAAAAATATGACATCATTTTCCTGTAAATTTTGATGAATTTTTCCATGAAAAAAAAATTCTGGAATTTTTATTTTTTTTCTCCCTTCTAAAGCTGTGGCTTGGCCCCGGCACAGCTTCACTGTCTCGACTTGGCTACCGCACTCCCTTTACTTCCTCTCCGTCTCATCTTAGATGAAAGATTCTGAGTACTGTACTGCGTTTCTTGCAAGTCATGATGTCGTGAATTGATTAAACTTCCTCACGCTTCACGATAGGAAGGCTTACTACTGGGAGCGGTGGGAGCATACGACTGGAACGGCACGGTCATCGTGCACGTCAACGATGGAGCCGTTTATCCGGAGAAGAACCACTTCTTTGACCCTGAAAGGGAAGCCGGCTATGAAAGACTGGCTGGTTACCTCGGTGAGTCCCCCCCAAAAAAGATTTCAGTATTTAATGTGTTTGTCTGAAATTGGTGTTTAGCTTCGACTGATATTTTACAGCTGGCGGGTGCAGTAAATAGGCAATTTTTCAGTTTGATCCGCTGCGTCTGCGGATGCCTGCCTTGAAGTGACATCAATAATATAAGCCACTTTGCCTGCTTGTCTCCATGCCTTTTATGGCCAGTTACAGCAACCCCCGCTATCTTAATATTGATTTATTTAATCAAGCTGTCGTTATGAAGAGCACACTCCACTGATTCTGCGTTCCGGGCTGGCGTACTGTAAACTCAGCCGTTTGGCAAACCCGCTCTTGCTTAATGCATTTCGTCCTCTTTCCTTTGTGTCCTTCATCGTCCTGCCATATTCACTGTTTTATCGCTTGCCCTTTGAAAAAGTGAGACGTAAACAGTTGGGTCTGTTCTTGTTAGGTTATGACGTGCAGTCGGCATCCACCCCCGACGGGGTGCTGTACATCACGGGGGCGCCGCGGTACAACCACACGGGCCGCGTCGTCATCTACCGGCTGGAGGACAAAGATGTTGTCGTCACGCAGACGCTGGGAGGAGAACAGGTGAGCTCCTCCACCCAACCCTATTCGCATATTTAGGAGCATGTGAGTGCGAATGCTTGGTTGCCTATGTGTGCCCTGCCTGCAATTGGCTGGTGACCATTCTTGGATGTGCCAGCACACCCGCAGACCTTTTGAAAATATGCGACATTCAACATTCGGTTGGATGGCTGGGCCACATCAGACATAAATGAGCTTACAACAACACCAGCGCAGTTCAAAATCGAATATGTATGTGAAATCGAGATGTAAGAACAGCTTCTTTGAATTATAAAATAATCATTCAATCTCACGTTGCATTTGATTTATAATTACTGTTAATTATAGTTACGTTTGTTTTAACCCTTTTATGCCCCCTGTAACTTCATAACATGATCAGCTGTCCACTGTCATGACCGTCGTCACTGAAAGGGGAAATAAATTAATTCTTCTTCCATTTTTATTGTTGAATTAAAAAAAAAAATGTTTTTGCTAGTACATTTTTTTACTTAGAATTTTTAGAATGTGAATTTAATCATAATGAACCACTAAATATCTATTGTACAATACAAATATTGATATGATCGAATGTAATCTTTTTTTAAATATATTATTAATATTCAAATTTTATTCTAGTTTTACGCATAAAAGTGCTGAAAATACCTTGAGTAAGTGATTTACTCTCTCGGGTGATGAAATGTCTGAGAACAGTGGTAAAACTCTTGCCTCCTCGCTCACTTGGTGGGAGCCGTGCTGCATTATGTCGCCTCAAGATTGAAAGTCTGGATGCTTTTTTGTTACTATTTAGTAAATAGTGAGCTAAGATACATTTGAGAATGCCAGTTTTGTTAAAAATGGGTAGCTGTAATGCTTTGGTGCGGGAGAAAGTGTGTCAGCCACAAAGTTAAGTGCTCTCTGATTTATTGACGCCTATTACAGTGCGTGGTCATCTCCATTTTTTTTTTTTTATTGCATCACTCATGACTCTAAGATCTTTAAAAACAAATACTGGAGGATGATGTAAGCACAGTTGTTTGCTCCTCTCGGTCTGCTCGGTGTGCGTCCAGGCTTTGATATGCTCTGCCAATGGCGGATTCGAACACAAACCTCAGACCTGTGAGGCAGTTGTGCGAACCACTCCTGCACCGTGCTGCCCGTGTCTGGTGGAGATTAATTTTGTACAAGCACTTTTCGCAATTCATGAGTCACTTCTGCCCCGCTTGCAGATCGGTTCGTACTTTGGCAGTGTGCTGCAGACCGTCGACGTGGACGGCGACTCGTACACAGACCTCCTGTTGGTCGGCGCGCCCATGTTCATGGGCTCCGACAGAGACGAGCAGGGCCAAGTGTACGTCTACAAGCTCAAGCAGGTAGACCGAAACGATGAAACGTAATCGTGCGCGATTGCACAGTTGTCCCTCGCATATTCTTTCGATTAACATAAATCGTTGCAGGACGGCCGCTTTGCGTACGAGTTCACGCTAAAGCCCGTCAACCAGTCGTGCTGCAGTGCCAGCTCGTCGGGCTGCGCCCACAAAAACGAGCCGTGCGGCGCCCGCTTCGGCACGGCCATCGCCGCCGTTTCGGACCTCAACCTGGACGGCTTCAACGACGTGGCCATCGGAGCGCCCTTCGAGAACGACCACAAAGGGGGCGTGTATATCTACCATGGGGACAGCAAGCGGTCACTCAAGGAGAACTTTGTGCAGGTGAGCGCCATCTGCTGCTCAAGAATGGATTTGTTCTATTCAAACTCGTGCAAATGGTGCCGCTGTGTCTCTGTAGCACATCCCGGCGGGCGGAAATGACGACAAGATGAAGTTCTTTGGTCAGTCCATACATGGGATCATGGATCTCAATGGAGACGGAATCACCGATGTGACGATCGGTGGTCTCGGCGGGGCCTCGCTGTTCTGGTGAGACATTAAACACACAAGACTCTTAAAATGTGTACATTTTTAGAATTTTTGAGGGGGAAAAAATATGTTTAAAAAAGTTCAAGGAAAAGAATTTGATTTTTTTTTTTAATAAAAAAAAGAAAAGTTCAAGGAAAAGGATTGTTTGTTTTTTTTTGTTGGGTATCTTTGAGAAAAGAGCTATTTTCAAAAACAGATCTTTTTTAGAAAGTAAAAGTATTTTTTGATACGATATCATTTCAACCAAAAATATTTAGTGTTGTATTTTTGAGAAACAATGTAGTTGGCTAGATTTTCTCTTCATATTTTTGTTTTTTTTTTCAGGAAAATAAAGTGTTTAATTTTCAAGAAAAGGTTTTAATTTTTCGAGGAAAATATTTGGTTTTTTTTTTTAAAAAGAAACTCAATTTTCCGGAATGGAAAAAGGAAGGGAGAAAAAAAAATCAACATTTTCCAATGAAAAAAAAGTACAATTTTAAGAAAAAATATAATATTTTTAAGGAAAAAAGTTCAAGACATGAGAGGAAAAACAACTACTACAACAACAACAACAACAAAAAACCACTCTGAAAGTGTTTGCTTGGGTTGCATCCTGTTAAATCTTATATTTAACCCTTTCATGCCCCCTGTAACCTGACAACACGATAGCATGTCCACTGTCGTTACCGCTGTCCCTGAAAGGGTTAAGAAAAACTCCTCTAATGCTTTCCTCAAAAAAAAAAAAAAAGTTGGAAACATGCAAAACCGCTTATAAGGGGATTTTACCCCACCCTTGATTGAAAAATTCATCAATAAAGATGTATGTCCCAATACTTCTGTCCGTACATATTCCACTCATCCGCTTTTGTAATCTGAGTATCATCTCACATCGTTTTGCTTGTTTCGTTTAGACAGCTGAACACGTCCCACTGGACTTGTACGCTTGAGATGGACGACTTCCTGGAGATGTCTCCTTTTTAAAAGCCTTACTTAGCCTTATTGGCCAGGATTCTTTACTCATACACATTGCCTTCATGTGGACATGTACAGTACTCATGATTGACAACGGCAAAAGAACATATAACCCAATAAAAATTGATCAGTTACTAGCTCCCGAACCCAAGGGTGGAGATCTCAACGTTCGCCATGACTCAACCTCGCAGGCATGGGAGAATGTCCTCCCACACTTTTTTTTTTCTTCCCGAGCTGTGTGAAAACTTCATCCCCCAAGTGGCTTCCAGTTTGAAATAGGATTTGGCATGCAACAAGGCTGGCTCCTTTCTCCCCGGCTTGTTGGCCCGCGTTTTATGCTTATCGCGCATCTGTTGCCTCCCTCAAAGACACTCTGCAAGTCTAATTTGGTTTTTGCGCATTAGAAATCAGACGCAGTACCCACCAAAAAAAAAAAAAAAAGAGTGCGTTCAAGGAAAGAAACGTTTGAGGTTTTTTTTCTTTTTTTTTTCCTGAGGAAGTTTGATTATGATTTTCCCAGGAGAGCCTAATTAACTGCCAACTGATTTCAAAGCAGAGTTCCCCATATAACCAGTCGTCATGGAGCATTTTTGACTGAACTTTTGAGACCCGCAGAATACAGTGTGGACACCTAACCTGTCAAAAGGAAGCGTCGACACTTCTTTCAGCGGAAAATGTTTGTTTTTAGCTGTTTAGCATTCTTTCGTAATCAGCAATAGAACATGGTTTGGTTTCACCAAAACACTGGTTTCGGACCAAAAAAAAAAAAAAAAAGGGGGGCGAAAACAAGCTTTTTGTGAATACAAACATGTCAAGTACAACACTGACTACAGCAATACTGTACATATATATTTTTTCATCGGCTATTTAGAGCAAAAAAAAAAAAGGTACAGTGTGCTAGCTAGCAACTGTATTGAGAAACCATGTCGCATCTCTAAAATCGAAATACGATCATGTCGATAAATCTGTAATACCGTTTCTAATGTTATCACAGTTTTAAAGTTTTTTTAACTATACATCCCTCATGCTAACTCCCATTTTGATGTCTCCATGACGCGCTCAGGTCCAGAGACGTGGCGGAACTCCGAGCCAACATGTTTTTCGACCCTGCCAAGATCAACGTGAAGCAGGCCGAATACGAGTGCGAACACCTCGGACGCAAATCTGTGTGTGTTACCACCGAAGTTTGTTTCGTCTACAGCGTCAAATCCGATAAGCAGAATCTTAACAAAGCAGGTGAGACTTTTTGGTTCTTTGATCATTGTGGCGTCATTTCACTTTTTGTTTTTTTTCTTTCTTTTTTTCATCATCACGTCTTCTGCAGTGATTCGCTACAACCTGACCCTGGATGCTCTGCGGGCGAAAGCCAGGGCTTCTTTTCTCGACTTAGACGACAAAAGCGACCGACGGATTTCCAGAACGGTCACCGTGGAGGACGAGATGTGCGCCAAGGAGATGTTCGTGATGTCGGTAAGCCGAGGACAGGAAATGGAAGAAGAAAAAGGCAAGGCACATGATCGCAATACATAATCAGGGAAATGAAACTGACGACAACAAGGACACAACACAGGGAACTAAATACACGCAAACTGACGAGACAACGAGGCACACCTAGATAAGACACGAGTGGTCGGAGGGAGCTGATTTGTAGACACAAAGGCAGACTCCGCACTTGTTCATCAACAAGCAAGCAGCCTTTGTGCCTCACGTTTGCACTTTTGGACATTTGGAGCCACGTGTGCAGTGTCGGTCCGCCTTTGTGTTCTTTGATTAGCTTCCCTCTGGCACGACACACACAGGAACTAATCAGCGAAAACAGCTGCAGCGCTGCTGAAGTGCATGTGTGTTTGAATGAGTGTGTGTGTCTGCGTCTACGTGCATGTGTGTCATTGCTTTCTTTGTTCTAATTTGCCATCCAAAGTAGGTCACACTGAAAAGGAAAAAAATACTGTAATACATTCAAAGATTGTAGATTGAATCTTATAGTTCTATTATTAAAAAAAATGTATTTTTCGGAAAATGTAGTATATTGTCAAGAAAACAATCCGATGTTTTTTAAAATGTTTGAAAAAAATAGAACTTTTTTGCGAGTAAGTCGGCAATTTTTGAAGGGCAAAAAATTCATTTTGTGGGGGAAAAAGGTTGTATATTTTTTAGATATTTTCAACAAATTTGTGTCGTTCAAGAATATGTTTGCAATTTTTCAGCAACAAAACAATTTTTGAGGAATAAAATGATATTTTCAAGAGCAAATGCTTTTTAAAGAAAATAACAGTCACTGCTACTGACGGCGAAATTGTTTTACCATGGACGGGCAGTGAATTAGTTTTAAGTAGGGGGGGGGTGTTTTTTTGAAGCTGAAAATATATATGTATTTGAGGAAAAACAAGTTATATTGGTTCATTTCAAAGAAGGAAGGGGTGGACTTTCTAATTTTTGAGAAATTAACGGCATATTACAGAAAATATTTGATATACTATATTATTAACAGGTACCACGTCTGCTCCGCAGCATGTGATAGTACTTTTACTCTGTAGTGAATATATAAAAACCAAAAAACAAGTCTTTCTCATTTTTATTGATTTTTTTTTTTTTTTAAACAAGGCACGACTGGACTTCCGGGACCCTCTCATGGTGTCGTTGGACTTTAGACTGGCCGATGAAGACCAAGGCCCGGTCCTGGATGAAAGCCTGCCCACGTCCATTAACAAGACGGTACGCCGTCACGTCCCGAGCTGCGAAATATTTGCCGCACTTTAGCGAGCCAAGAGCGCTATTCGTCGTTTTCTTTGCTCCCCAATTGTTCACTGCATGGTACCGCCGTTTTTCATCTCGCAATCGTTTCAACACGTCCTCCCACACTCCCTACACGCCAACTTCAAGGCTTTCCAAGTAATAGTGGTCGCGATGAGCGATGTGTCCAGATAACGGAGGGAGCAAGTATTCGCCGCCTGATATGGGAATGAAGCAAATGGGGTCTTCTCCTGTTATTGTTTATGAAAAGGGAGCAACCAGGAAATCACCAGACGGAAGCTACAGTTGCTCGTCTGCTGGATATTATATTACAGTCCAGCGGTCAGTCGCTGTGCACGTCGTATCTTCATTCTCCGGGACTGGGAACAAAATGCACTGTGACCCGTGAAACGCTCCGGACGGGGGTGGGGGGGTAGGCAAAGGAAATTAAGGTCATGCGTAAGGAGGCTTTTTTTACAAAGTGTACAAACAAACACAAAACCTTATTTGGATTCTCTTTTTCCACCCCACACTTCATGTTCGTCTGGAGACCACCCGCTCACGCCAGACATCTTCCCAAAAGATAGTGTGTGTAACATTCTGTGCTCTGAAGGAAATAAAATGAAATGCCTGAACATTCACGGAATAGCGCCCACGCGGCCAAATTGAATCCGTCCTATTCTTGTAGATTCCCTTGGTAGACTGTGGCAACCACGAGCGGTGCATCGCTGACCTCTCCCTCCGAGCAGAGCCGAGTGTAACGGGGTGAGCACGCGTGCATCCCGCACACTTCGGACAAGTTCCAAGTTCAAGCATTTCATCAAAACGTTGGGACGAGCCTTGCAGTACATTCCGGTGCATGACTGCCCTCTTGTGGTGGATCGTTTGTATGTTCAGGGTCTTTCCTTTGCTGTCCTCCAGGTTGGTGATCCGAGCCAAGAAGGACAAACTGGACGTGAACATCCGCGTGAGAAACAGTAAAGATAACGCCTACAACACCAAAGTGGTCCTCAGCTTCACGGCAAACATCAACTACGTCAAAGTGGAGGTGAGCTCGCTTTGACGCTCGCAAAGGAGAAATGATGTGGAAAAAAAAAAAGCATGTTTCTGTAAAGAGTGGTTTAAAGCAACCTACGTGATAATTGACCTTGTTTTCCTTTGGATTGTCAGCCGGAAAAAGACTGCACTCTGAATCACACCAAAGTGGAATGTGCGGTGGGGTACCCCTTCCTGGGGAGCAATGTGGAGGTACCGCTTTCAAACAACCCAACAACTCCCGGCATGTTTGATCAATGCTTTTTGTCCTTCAAGAGGCCATGTGATGTCCACAGGAAGCTTTCAAAGTGAAGTTTGAGGTGGATCCGAATCACATTCATCACAACATCCAAATCAACGTGACAGCTACGAGGTACAGTCACTTTTTTATGACAAGGAATCACACTGAAATTAGAGTGAGCATTATCATCATATTGCGTGTGTGTGTGTGTGTGTGTGTGTGTGTGTGTGTGTGTGTGTGTGTGTGTGTGTGTGTGTACCCGCGTGCACGTGTGTGTTTGCGTGTGTCCGTTTTATTCCCCACAGCGACAGTGAAGAGCTGACCTCCACCCTCAATGACAACACGGTGCACATCTCGATCCCCGTCAAGTATGAGGCCAACCTTGTGTTCACTGTGTGAGTACGCTTTAAACACTGTTGTTTCTTAGTTACCGTTGCTAAGGGCCCGAAATGATCACAATAACACAAATTTAATTTCAATAAATCAAAGGGAGGCAGCATGGTGATTGACTGGTTAGCACGTTCGCCTCCCAGTGCAGACGTGTAAGGTTCGATTCCGGTTCTGGCTTTCCTTTGTGGAGTTTGCATGTTCTCCCCCCGTGCCTGTGTGGATTTTCTCCGGGTACTCATGTTTCCTCCCACATTCCAAAAGCATGCATGGCAGGTTTATGGAACACTCGAAATTGTCCCTCAGTGTGATTGTGAGTGTGAATGGTTGTTTGACTATGTGCACCCTGCGATTCGCTGGCAACCAGTTCAGGTGCCCGAAGACGGCTGGGATAGGCTCCAGCACACCCGCGACCCTCGTGAGGAAAAGCAGATTAGAAAATGGATGGATGGATGGATGGATGGATAAATCCAAGTGTGACTTGGAATAGAATAGAATTGTAATTTTATATTTGATCTGTGAGCTCAATTTATTGTGGGCACTAAATAAAATAAAATGACGGTAATCAGTTCAATTAAATAAAGAAATTCATTGGTTTGGGCCAAACCAGCAATAACATTAAAAATTCAGGTCTGGTTTCATATAATAAAAAGGCCATTTAAGTAACCAGCACTTTTTGGCATCCATTTTCAGGGGTTTTGATTTGTCCATCGTGTGGAGGAAGACACACTGCAGTTGATGTCGTATGATCATCGTTGTGGTTGTTCATTGATACTCAAATCTGACTCTGAATCTGCATGAATTCTTTGCAGGCGTCCGGTGGACGAGCACGTGGTGGTGAAAGAAGGCGAGCAGTACTCGGCTGTGTTCAATGACACCCGCATGATCGGCGAGGAGGTCAACATCAGTTACACAGTAAGACTTCCAAGTCAAGACTTTTTAAAAACTCAAAAGACATAAAAAAAATAATAATAATAATAAAATAAAAAAATAATCAAGTAGTCTATATTTTTTAAAGAAATAAAGTGAATATTTTTTGGGGTTATCATGTGACTTTTTCAAGTATTTCAATGTTGTCATACATTGACAAAAAAAAAATGTAAATTATTAATTTTCTATGTTTGGACTGTATAACTGTCAAATATTTTCAATGTTGAAGATGTAATTGCCCTCCCCCCCCGCTCAAAAAAAAAGAAAACTGCCACCTAATAATTTGCTCGCTAATATAGTGTCCACTTTTTGCCCAAAGTCTGCTGGGACAGGCTCCAGCTTCCTGCAACACTGAACAGGGATACGCGATATCAAAAAATGGATGGTTGGGTGACTCTACTCATTCCAACGGGCTATTCAATCTATCTTTTTTCCACATGTCTTAGGTGGAGAAAGCAGGCGATACGGTGACTCCTCCTCTTGATCTGACGGTGACCTACCCCTGGCTGTCACCTCGTAACAATTACTTGCTGTACTTGACGCACATCGTCACCAGCCCGCAGGTGAGTGCCATCACCCCCACCACCGGCACACTTTTTTTTTCTCAGTTAGTTTTTTTATTTTTATTTATTTTTTTTTTACACACATTGGACAAGATCCGTGTCGCAATGGAATTTTCTCCTCTTCACAGATGAAATGCGACGCGGCCGCTTTGATCAACCCTCTAAATCTCAACCCGGATGTCGTCAAACCCAGTCCAAAGAAAGAAACACTCGGCGTCTTTCTTCTGGTGGGTGGGAAAGGGACTTTTTGTTTTTTTTTTAAACCCGTTCATGCACCCTGTAACCTGCTAACATGATAAGCTGTCCCTGAAAGGGTTCGAGATATTTGTGTCCCTGTGCAAGTTTCCCTCCCGCCTCACCTGCTGTGTTTGAATTGCACCGCAGAGCTGCGAGAACCTCCCGTGTGCCTCATTCAAATGTTTCATCCCAGAAGCCAAAGTCAGCCAGGTCAACGTTAGCTTCCGAGTGTGGAAGCCCACATTCATCAAGGTGGGTAGATTTGGATGATGATCCGTCAAACGCGTTGTTCTTTTGTTTCTCTTTTAATCGAGTTTACACGAGTCAAATGCAGGTTGACGGTAGTTCTCCTCAGAAGTCAATGGAAAACGGTGCCAGAATTGGGATGCCGTCATGTTTGACACAATGAATTGAAAGGACTTGGATGATTTTTTTTTTAATGACGTCAGCGTTTTTGTGGGGTCTTTCAGGCGGACTTTTCCAGTCTGCACATGCTGGTGAACGGCACTCTGGCGAGCAGGAACACCGATCTGTTTGTGCTGATCCCCAGTGACAGCACCCGAACTGTGAGTCAGCATTTTTGCATCTGGATTTTGTTGATGTAATATGAAATAACTCATGACTCGTTTTGGCTCCCCCGCCACCCGTCAGGTGAAGATCCAAGTCTCCAAGGAGAGCTTAGGGGGAATCCCCATATGGATCATCATCATCAGCATCCTCATAGGTCTTCTCATCTTAGCGCTTGTCATTTTTGCTCTCTGGAAGGTACGCTAACGTGCTAAAATTCAAAGTACAGTGGTTGCGGGTTGGCCATTTTGGCATGGGCGACGTTTCCATCAAAGGCAATACATTCACATTGAAAATAAATCAAATTGCTCATTTCCCCGGCTAATTTTCATGAGGTTTGTTTTTTTTGACAATGCCCAAATCTCAAAATATTTCATCAAGTCGTGAGAAAGCGCCCCATATTGCTCAATTCCTTCTTTCCAGCATCTTTTGCCAATTTCCGACAACCATTTTGGAAATTTCCGCTGTAAACATTTGTTGTCTTCTTCCCCCAGATGGGCTTCTTTAAGAGAAAATCCCGGGAGTTCTCCAAGGAGGATATGATGGATTGAAGCTGACACGCAAAGAGGAAATGAGCTCCGCTTCTGGAGTCACTTAAAAAAAAAAAAAAAAAAAACGCAGTGTGTGTGACGATAACATACTACGACTACCTTGGAGTACAAAAAGCCATTCAACGGAGTCCACCACTTACACGGGCAAAGTAGATGTTTGCTTTTGGACTGTTATGCACTTCAATTGAAAAAAATAATGCACTTTTTTTTTTTTTTTTTTGCTATCAACATCCAAAGTGGCCACATCACCATTTTTTAATTTTATTTTTACTGTACAGAGACTTTTATGACTTATAGCTGGTGCGTGGAACCCTTTTGCTATTTCGCGTTCCATAAAGTGTATATTCACGATGACGCTCTCGGAATTGCTGTTTATGGTTATTCTTCTGACAAAATAACTGACTTTTGGGGGCGCCAACGTGCCTGAAAACTCACCACTTTTGGATCGTGATTGCATCATGGTGAAAGTGTATGTATTTTAGGGGGCCTGGACACGACCCAAAACTCATTCGGTACCACCCCTTGGAAAGTTTAAAAGGAAAAAAAAAAAAAAGCAATTGGTCCCACACAAAATTGGGGGACAGTTGTCACTCGTTACAGGACGCATGAAAAACTCTCATGCTGGAAATTGAACAGGAAGTCAGCCAGGCTGGGTGAATTCCATTAAAACGGTGTTTAGAAAATTTTAAAATAAAATAAAATAGTACCCTGACACCAGTTTTACTACTCAACATGAAAATGGGTGGAACTGTTTACCCTTACTGGTCGCACAAAAACGTCTCAAGAACACATACTTGATATTGAACAGGAAGTCGGCCATTTTTAGCTTGAAGCAACCAATTTGACCGTGTGTGTGTGTGTGTGTGTGTGTGTGTGTGTGTGTGTGTGTATATATATATATAAAATAGTGTTTTCAAGTATGCTAGCGTCACGGCACATTTTTGTCACATCCTTTTTTTCTGTATTTTATTTTGCCAAAAAAGAAAAAAAAAAAAAGAAAATACAAATATTTTGTGTTAAGTGTGTGGCCTTTTTGCTTAATCCCACAATCTGACATTGTACTGTAAATATCACAACATTTAAGTTTCAAAATGTATATAAATGTATCTTTTTGTTTTTCGTTGTTGTTGTTGCAATAATTGACATTATTTAAGAGATGTTGCCCACAAGCCATTTATGTTTTTGTGCTCAGGTATTATGACATATATCAAAGACACTAATTACACGTAGAGGCAGAGTATGGATTTGTGTGAATATGAAACATAGATTTATTTTGAGGATGAAATGAAATTGAGTTTCTTCCTGCAGTAATTTGCGGTAATTTTTACTCATGGAGGCAACACTTCATACACTGACTATGCTGTGTGTATGTGGCACGTGGAATCTGTGCATCCAACAACACCAAATGCAGCTGTGCTTACCCTTTGGGTTTGACATGATAGCAGTGGATCATGTGTGTGTTTTGCTTGAGTAACTTTAAATTTTATCTCTAAACAGTGTAAAATTTTACTGAAAAAAAGTACAACTACTTGTGCTCAGAAGATGCCATGGATGAAAACGTTTACAAAAAAAAACTTTTTTTTTTTTGCTCATTAACTCCTGTACATAAGTGATGCTTCTTTGAGTTAATACTAGATTTCATTGCTTGCTCTATGGTATTCATCACGCTTTTCTATTTGGCATCAATTTTACACTTTGCAAGTTTGTTGACGTGACACGAAATGATGATTTTTAACTTTTGAGGCATATTTTTCCACTTTGGTGTCATTCTTGTGTGCAGAAAATATTTTTGGAATTTTTTTCTTCCACTCTTCTATTTTATTTTATTTTATTTTTTTAACTGTTTGCAAGCCATGACAGTGATTATACGATGCGACACCATAGTATGCAATGGTGTACAGGTGCATCCTATCAAGATTTTTTTTTTCCAGAGCTCTTTTACTTTCCATATTTAAGCACAACCTGTTGGTACAGAAAGTCATTTCAGAAAATTTTATGTCTGATATTGCCTGTTTGCATAGATAGACTAAATGTGGTCCGGAATCACTTGTTTTATTTGATAAGATCTCTAAGCAAACCGACACTGCTGTGAAGTCTTCAATGTGATGATGCACTGATTTGTTTTGTCAGGCTGTCTCAATTTCTGGGCAGCATACACAAACTGTAGGATTATGAAAATTTTGTAAATACAAATGTCATACATACTGTGTTTTTTATGTTAAATATTTTTAAATTCATTCTGTTTGCATATTATACAAATGCTTCCATACAAATTTGCATATATTTTCATGTTTACCGCATTTATCTTTTCCAGCCAAATGCGATTTCATTTCTATATTTTTCCAAACAAATAAAAAAATGCCTTCACAACTTTTAAATTTCTCATTTTGTGTATATTATTTTATTCTTGATTTTTTTTCTTCATCTTTAGTTTCACTGGACTGCATTTTATTTGCCCATTTTTCCCCACAAAAAAAATGTTTAAATTGCACAAAATTGGATTTAAAATAAATTACCTTAGAAAAATGTTAAAACTTTTTTTAATAAAGTTGAAATGTTAAATAAATGCATAAATGAGCCTTATTTATAAAATAATGCAATGTGCAACGATTCAATATGAAAAGAAAAATCCTTTACCCACACCATTTTGTTTTTATTCTTAATTCCTGAATTATAATAAAAGTCAGTTACTTATTAAAATATAAATCATCCAAATGTTCAGTGAATTAATTACAGTCCATTTTAACTTCTTTTGGTTGATAAAGGAGTCTTGTTTGTTAAATTACATATTCAATTCCAAAAGAAAATGCCACAAATACATGAAGGGAAAAAAAGTACATTTAAATGAACTTTATATTCAGGACAAACCGATTTTAAAATGCAGTATTTTTTTACAGAAATAAATGTAGAATACGCGTTATTTTAAAGTAAATTGAAAACGTGATTACAATATATATTTTCATGAAAATATATACATCAAAATAGCAATATTTAAATTGTCTAAATGTTATTAATTCAATTTAAACCAACATGCCACAAAAACTCACTGTTTTGTTCAATAAAGGTCAATTCAAAAGGCTATATTTGATGCCCTTATTTTTGTCGTCAAGGGACGACAAGTGTCACTCACTTCATCCAAACTACAAAACTATTATAAAGATGAGTTAATTATTAAAATATAAATAGTTGTATGTGACTGAATTACTTCTAGTCAAAATTAATATGCTAAACGTGACCTTACAGTGCCTACGAGTCTAAATTGGGGACTCCGGAAACAGTTACCTCTCCTTCTTGAGTTTCGCTTATGAGATTCTACGCAGCAGCGCGCCGTCTAGCGTCGTTCGCCAGCACTGAAGTGATAAGTGGCTGCCTTGGGGAGGGGAACGCTAGGCACGGGAATCCATCTTGGTAATAAAAAACAACAAACCAAAAAAAAAAACAAGCCCCCCCCCTCCAAACAAAGAACAAGGGAAGCGAGAGCGACAGCTTCCCCGGTACTCTATCTCCCCGTTCTCACATCGTCGACGGCGCTGTGGGGGAGCCCCGGGAAGGGCTTGCTTTGTGGGCCGCTTGTAGGATGTCCCGTCATGAGGGTGAGTTGATCAACTGCGCCGCCGTGTCTAACGAGCTCCTGTCCAGTCTTAAAATGAAGCGAATGCCTCATTAACACTCCTTATTTTAGACGCGATTGGGCAGCGACAGTCATTTTAGGACTTTTAATGTCTTTAGTTAGAAACTTACTCGGCATCATGGCGTAGCTTAGCAGTTAGCCGTTGCTTGGAGCTGCCCAGTTAGCCCCGGCTAGTAGTGCTACGTGCGCTAACAGCGCCAACAACATCTTGTCGTTATGGGCTTACTTTTTTTTGACACTTAAAGACACAAAATAACACAAGTAGACGCACATTACATACATGTCACCTATGTTCTGTTAGCTATCTGCTAGCCAGGGAGCTCACATTGGCTCCCAAGAAGTGGGTCGTTTAGCGAGTGCACTGTCATCAAGAGTCAGGCCGCAAAAGTCCCCAACGTGTTTTTTTGCATTAATACAAGTCGACGGAGTTTTTTGGGGGTTGTATTTTCAATTACAAATTTAGAGTTATAGACCCAAATTGGAGGATTGTGCGTGTTGTTTTGGCCACCTGGGAAGTTTTGAGTAATACTAGCAGGTTAGCTCGAGCGAGATCAAGGAGAACAGCCTCGCAAAAGTTGGTCATGTGGCACAAAGATGGAACTTTATTGGCGCCCGGCAGTTTTTTTTTCCCCCCAAAGATATTTTAAGATGACGGTCATTTGAAAAATATTGTTTAGATTAGGCTGGCATACAAAGTGAATCTGATTCCTCATCCGACAGTCACAGGTGCGTGGTTGCTAATTGGCTGTCTGAGCGCAGAGAGGTGTGTCCGAAATGTTCCAGGACTACCGGTTTCCTCTTCAAATTAGAATGTCTATAGATCACACCTTCAAGCCTTTCCTTGTTTACGTGCACGAGAACAGGCCACAGTTGTGGGGAGGGCAACTAGTGCCAGCTTAAAATGCCACGAGCATCTGACAGTTCCTGACCGAGAACATCATCACCATGCTGGAGCAACCTTCCCACTTACCCGGTTGGGAAGTTCCTTCAGACTTGGTGGGGTAGCTCAAAGAGGAAAATTTTTTGTGACACACCTCCTATGATGGTTTAGTACATTTGGGTGAAGAAAAATAACACGTTTTTTGGGAGACTGACTATGATGTGACGTCGTAGAACGCGCTGTGCTGTGGAACACAAGATGAGAACGGCCGGGCTCTCAACTAATTACAAAAACTACTTTCAGCGAAATGCAATACTGGGTTATATTTTTAATTGTTCATTTGTTTTGATGGCAGTCTGTCGAAATATATTTCCTACATAAAACTGTCAGTACAGCCATTCCGACAGTTCGGTTTCGTTTTTTTTTTTTTTTGTTATCGTCCTCACATGTACTGATGTTTGTCTGACTTTTTCCCTGTCTGTTGTAGGTGTGAGCTGCGACGCTTGTTTGAAGGGAAACTTCCGGGGAAGACGCTTCAAGTGTCTCATCTGCTACGACTACGACCTGTGCGCGTCGTGCTACGAGAGCGGCGCCACCACCACGCGACATACCACAGAGCATCCCATGCAGTGTATATTAACCAGGGTAGACTACGGTGAGCCTTCCGTTGTTTTTTTTTTTGTTTTTTTCTTTACTGTCATGATCCGCGATGGGCGAGTGGTTTTATTGAATCAAGTGGGAGACGTTTGCGTTAACCGTCGGGCGCATGATGCAGCGTTGCTTCGGCCCCCGCAGATTTGTACTATGGCGGCGACACCTTCTCGCTGGAGCAGCACCAGGCGTTCACATGTCCTTACTGTGGCAAGATGGGCTTCACGGAGACGTCTTTGCAGGAGCACGTCACCGCCGAGCACCCCGAGACCTCCACCGAGGTGGTGAGTATGCCCGCTCTCTCCTCTCAAGACAGCCACTTTCTTTAAAATGTAATTTACTTTTTTTTTTTTTGGATTACAAGGCTTAGCTTGTACTTTTGCTTCTGCGTTCCAGATTTGTCCAATATGCGCCGCCTTGCCCGGCGGGGATCCCAATCATGTTACAGATGACTTCACAGCCCACCTCACACTTGAGCACAGAGCACCTAGAGATTTAATATCCTTTCACTCGCTTAACATCATCGTTGGATGTGTAATGATAATAAACTCAGCAGATGATTGCCAATGATTTTCTGAACCCAGTCCGACACTCACCTGAATTGTTTTGACAGTCGCGTCAACAAACGAGCCACTCGCTGTTACTTTTGTTATCAATTGCAGACTTCCAATAACCTTTGAAATGAACCGAGCAGGTGATTGCTAGTCTAAATCTTTTGTTGACAACACACCAAATAGCTACGGTAGTTGCCTTTCCCTTTTTTTTTTTTTTTTTTTTTTTTTTTTTTTTTTTTAAGAAAAGGCAAGTGTTGATAACGTTTGATAAGTAGATGATTGGCAATAATTTGCTCAAACGAGTCTGACTGGTTTCGTGACATCAGAATGAACAAAACAGCCACTCGCCGTTACTTTGTTTTCGGGCCTGACCGATTAATTGGCTGTCCTATATTAGCTCTGTAAAAAAAAAAAAATCCCAATATTTAATTGCTTTTTTTCCTGCTGATTTTCCTTCTGCAAAGTTGGAAAAATACTCAGACAAAGTCACGTCACACGGTCAAAGTCCTGACTGTAATTCTTGTTGTAGGCAAAGGCAAAGTCATCGCCCAGTTATTTGCCTAATATCAACATTGGCCTAAAAATTTAAAAAAAAAAAATCCTTATTGATCAGACCCTACTTTGTTTGAACACGTCGCCAACTTTTGCTCTTGAACCAAGCAGAAAAGCAATGATTTGCTGAACTGACTGACACTCGCAAGTCGCAATCTTTTGTTGCCAACAGCGAGAACCGAGACAGCCCCACACTGCTACTTTGTTGTAGTACGTCGATTGCAGAGATGTATTCTTGTGGTCAATGAATCAGTTGCTGATGGAATGCGTTTGGGATAATGACCCGAGCGAATGCTTCACAATCTTGAAACTGAACACGCCGCTACCCGCGCATCAAAATGAGCCTGTGTACGATGCTCTTCCAATGTCTGATATCAATGCAGCGCTTTGATGACATCATGAGCTTTGTGAAACCACACAGGGTTACCTCGCTGTCTTTTGTCACGAGCTGAAAGAGACTTCTCTTTATGGTATTACCCCCCCACCCCCTCCCAAAAAAAAATGCACACCTGACTTCCGCCTTCGTTTTACCGCCGCTGTCACGCCTTAACGGGGCCTCGCTTCACGACGAGTCCAGCAGCGTCCGGCACGTGCGGCGGATGTTCCACCCCGGGCGGGGACTGGGCGGCCCCCGAGCGCGACGCACCAATATGCACTTTACCGGAGGCTCCACGGGCGGACTGTCCTCGTCCACGTCGTCGTCGCAGAGCTCCACCTACACGCCCAGCAACAGGGAGGCCATGGACCCCATCGCGGGTAAGTGTGCGCCGGCGACACGTTGGCAACTTCCTGTTTCTGCGGTTTACGTTGCCTGGAGTTGCGTGCGAATCAACACCAGCACTCTGTTTTGACTCGCGTGCCTGAAGGCATGATTCATGGACATCCTTATTTGTGTGACATTGCGACTCTTAAAATATATATATATATTTTTTTGGGGGGGGGTCACATATTTTTCCCTCCTTGTTACCAAATCCGACTTTATTTTCAGAACTTTATTATTATTATTTTTTTGCAATTTAATACGGCGTCATCCACTTAACACACATGCGATTTTCTCTGAAAAATAATCAGACTTTCTGCTGATGACATGGCAACATTTTCTCGTAACAATGTTTTTGAAGTGTTTTTAAAAATTAAAATGTTTATTTGTATTTATTTATGATGAAATACTACTTTATTCTTCGAACCTTTGACATTTTCATTATTTTCAATTCATTAATCGAGCTGACTAGCAGAAACGGCCAAATGTGGATGACTGCACCAAGGTTTTGCCACATGCTCATTATTTTTAATTTTTTTTCCCCCCCCAAAAAACTTTTTAAAGGTTTCCATAATTTCTGATCAATTAAGAAACAGTTTTGCATTATATATGACTGTAGACACTTGTGATGGCATTTTTTTTCCAGAAAAGTAATGACTTCATTCTTATAACATTGACTTTTTTTCTCAGGCAAATACGACTTTTTTGCATGTATGTTCATATCTTTTTTTTTTCTTTTTTTTAAATGCAAATGTAGTTTATTCCACTCACGATTGATTGCACGGAAAACTGTATCCGGTTTTTCAAGTTGTTTGTTTCCCGCCAGAGTTGTTGTCGCAGCTGTCGGGCGTGCGGCGCGCAGCGGGAGGCCAGATCAACTCGTCGGGGCCGTCGGCCTCGCAGCTGCAGCAGCTCCAGATGCAGCTGCAGCTCGAGCGGCAGCAGGCGCAGGCGGCGCGACAGCAGGTCGAGACGGGCCGCCACGCCACCCGGCGCGGCAACAACCCGGCCAACGCGCCGGCCTCGGCCACCGCCGCCATCCCACCGCCCAGTGCGGCCGCCGCCAACACGGGCGCGCCCGCTGAAAGCAACCCCTCGTCCTCGTCCCACAACTCTCAGTTTCTATTAGCGCGGTAGGTGGCACTTGTTTTGAGTTGGTGTGCTTGCACAGTCTCATAAGCTAACGCTGAGCCTTTTAAAAAAAAAAAATTCTCGTTTTATTTATATTTATTCTACATTTTTTTTATTGTGGTTGTGAGCGTTGCCATGATTCTTGCCGCCGGCGTGCAGGCTGAACGAGCCCAAGATGTCGGAGGCCGAGCGCCAGCTGGCAGAGGGCGAGCGCGCCGACCGCAGCCTGTTCGTGCAGGAGCTGCTGCTGTCCACGCTCATGCGCGACGAGAGCTCGTCGTCCGACGAGGACGAGCGGCGGGACTTCGCCGACTTTGGCGCAATGGGCTGCGTAGACATCATGCCCCTTGACGTGGCGCTGGAGCACCTGCAACTCCGCGAGAGAGCCTCCTCCTCCTCCGCCGCCAAGGAGCCTCCGCCGCCGCCTCTTTGATGTCCAGGCCGTGTGCAGACTCTGTCCCACCTGCTGCAACTGTCAGTGATGGACGCCACCCCTCTCCCTCCAAAAGCCCGTCATCCCATATTTTTTTTTTTTTTTGTAGGGGGGGTGGGTGGCAATGAGGATTTTGGGAGCCGGGTGGTGTGAATGTAATGTCAGGCAAATTTTTTTGTTTTTACGTGTAAGTAAAACTCTAAGGAGCAGCATACATGACATGAGGGACACACATTTAATTGTGGCTGTAACATGCACATAAAATGCTTATTTCTGGTCACAAAACTATTGCATGCAAAACATTTTTTGTGGTGATAACGGTTGCACCAAAATACTAAATTGTGGCCCCAAAATGGGTGTAATATGCGCACAAAATACTAAATTATAGCCGTATAAGGTGCACATGAAGTCGTAATTTGTACCCAGGAAATGAATCTAAAATGTGAAAATGTTCAGTTGTGGCCCTGAAATGGGAATAGTGTGCGCGCCAAATCATAATTGATGGCTGTGAAATAAGCGTAATGTGCACAAGCTCGTAATTCACTTAAAAATTTGTGATCACAAACTTGTTTGGAATTACAGTAAGGGTGACTTTTTTTTTTTTTTTTTTTTTTTTAAACTCAGGACTACTTGGTTCATGCAAAGGGCTACCATTTCGATACACAATTCTGGAATTTTTTTAAAAAAGTGCTCAAATTACTTTTAAGTTATGTTATTAAAATTTAAAGGGAGCGTGCACTCAATTTGCTAACTCCATAATTGTGCATTTTGTTTGCACGTTATATCTTAATTGCCACAATTTAAATATTCCCCACCCATGTCATGTGTGGGGCTCGATAAAAGTGAAACCAGATTAAGTGGGGCTCAACATAGCTACGGAGTGAGTAAACGAGCGTACATATATATATGAAGTTGATAATCATTCAGTTCCCGCACTCCCCCCCCCCCCTCCCCTCCCAGCCCAACACTTAATCAGAGAAAATGCTTGACGGCTACCAACCGTTGCTTCTTACGGGATTGCAGCTCCAAACCCAAACAACTCTCAACCCATACACCCCCGACCCCACCCCTCCATGCCCCGCACCTATAAATAGACCCCGCCCCCCACTCCCCATTGACAAGCCCAGAGGACGTGGGGCCCCCTCTGCCCAAGCTGCTGTTTGTTTCTGACCATTATCAATAATAAAAAAAAAAAAAAGTGCTCGAATGGGTTACCGTAATAACTACTGCATGCGGTTCGTTGCAGCGCGCATGATCTTTAATCATTCAAAAAAAAAAAAGCCCAAAGCTGACACGCTGACTCTGGTTACCTTTCCTTGGATGCCTCTAAAATCCAGAGAGCGTGCTTCTCTTTGGGTTTGGGGTCATGAAGAAAAAACGTGTCTGGTTAACGCACATCGGAAGGAGGAGTCACAAAAAACTGATTAGTGAGTAGACACCGTGTACAGTAATCCATAGACGAGTGCTTGTGTCTGTTCACTTTTTTTTTTTTTAATTTTCTTTTCCCCCCCTCCACATCATTTTTCTGCTAAGGCTAGCACTTTGTATTTATTCATGTTTGTTTCGGAGCCTTGACGAATCTCGACGCCTTAGCGCCTTCTTCTATGTTGACCCTACTGTGTACAATACAACAAGATGTATATTGAATTTTGTGGCTTTAATAATGGTTCAAAGACATGGGCGGACGTTTTTTCTTTTACCAAAAAAAAAAAAAAATGTAACAACAAATCCAAACTGCACAGCTCTTGATGAAGCCAAGAGGCCTTCACCGCTTTGCACCTCCTTAGGTTGAAATGAAGCCCGGGTGTTGTCTTGCACAAAGGATTATTGGAGGACACATTGACAACCAAAATATCGGAACGTGACGAGAAAAGATATTGCCGTCAAATACTTGGAAAGACAGTAATATTGCGGGACTAATGTTAAGCCCTTGGCAGCGTTTGCGAAGGTAGCAAATGTTGTTTTTCGAGGTCGCAGACATTTGCCAACAGTTTTAATTGTTTTACTCGTCGCAACAATAAAAACTGTCGGCGACGAGATACTGTTGCCGTATGTCTTTGCGACCTCGGACGAACCCTGATGAAAAATCAATGTCTGCTCCCCCAGCAGATGTTTGCCGCTCAGTCGGATGCATGGGCTTAAAGGCGCAAAAGCCAGTCATAACTTTGCAAGAAAAGATGTGGCAAAAATAAGCCTACACAAGGTTAGAGAAAAAATACATTAAAGAAGTATGGGTACAAGGAAAAAAGCACGTCATGATTTCAGGAAAGAGAAAGTTGTGAAGAATGACTGTTACTATAATGAGACTCATGTTTTTCCTAAAAAAAAAACATTAACATGGTAGTTGTGAGGGGAAAAAATGTTTAAAGGGCACAAGAAGGAAGTTGTACATTGAGAGAAATGATGGAAAGAGGAAAAAAAGAATTGCTGGTTGTGTTTTTGAAGATGGGAAAAGCAACGGTCTTATCCTCAGTGGTTAATTAGGCCTTCAGTAGCGATTTACCCGACAGAGACCCTGAATAGTCGAAAAAAAAAACATAACAGCATGCAACTGTGCCACTTACATCATCTGGAGACGTTCAGAATAAATATTTATCTCATAACGGACAGATGACATTTTAATACAATTTCAATAGGCAGGTTTTGTTATTCCAACTTGTCGTACTGTAACCGACCCCCCCCCAAAAAAAAATAAATAAATAAAAATGCGAAAGGATACAAAAATGGATATCAGAGCGGGAGAAAAAGCTTGAGAAAGAATGTAAAACGTTTGTGGCACTAGTACAGACCCCTTGAAAAACGCAACAGGTGAAGTGGGAAACCAAGCAACAAGTGTGAATTGAATTTTTGCAATCTATGTGACGTATTAACGAACAGATTAGTGCCGCCGAGAAGCAGCTGTTGGCGACAAGGAGGACAACCTTGAGGGGCCGAACCCAGGATCCGGAACCGGCGGCTCTATGCAAGGTGAGCAACCTCCTCACCCACTATGTGCTCAGTCTTATGATAGCACCATAGGGGACAATCATACCCCCCCCCCACACACACACACACCCGCAACGTTTGGCAGCTGTTCTTGTCACTCTTCTCAAGGTATTGTTCGAAACAAAATGGTGGTCACAGGAATGCCTTTGGTTTCTTTTTGGCTCGCTCACATATGTCAAACATCGTCTGGAAGGGATCGTCAAGCGGTTTTTAAACTTCAGTTGATAGTCCGTCATTGGAAAACGGTGTCTTACTTCTTTTCCAAGTGTTTGTGTCACCTTGGGTTGTTGGAAGACGTGTAAAAGATGACGCGTGCACGTCGTGTAAGACATACCACTTTTTATTAAATGCACAGTATCACAAGGAACATCTCCATTAATTGTGGTTAAGCTACTCACATGATGCACAAAGCATTGGGTTGATTGATTGATTTGATTGATTGGTTAAAGCAAGGTTAAATCTGCCCCACACACACGCACAGTCTTGCATCCGAGTGTGCGTAGCAACGCACACACATCATCTCAGACACACGCACAGTCGTATTTGTACAAGAAGTAAAATTAATTTGCACATTAATCAAGGTCCTTTTCGTCCCTTTTTTTAAAACCACATATTTACAAAAACAATTATTATCCTCCTCCACCCAATCCCACATGATTGATTACATTCAAAAGAGGTTCCCCGGCCTTCTGGATTACATTCAAAATAATATACTATTCATGATGCAAAGTCACAGTTATTCATCTGTAAGAGGATCCCGAGAGGCTACAGTCAGTCAGAAGCCTTTTTTTTTATTATTATTTATTAATACAAACTTCTCTGCGCCCCCGAAATTAAGAGTGAACATTAAAATGAAAAAGATTGGATATTCACCTGGATTATTTTTCCCACGAGCACAAAGAAAATACAAATGTTATTTACAGTACATGATGTATGTATTGTCAGTGGCCCAGAATGCGTGATACCCGCACGGGTATGCTAGTGTGTAACGTAGCCTATATCTACAGCAGACGTCATAAAAACCAAATAAAGGTGATTCTGCTATCTTTTTTTCTTATTAAATAGCTGCTTAACATCATTTTTTTAAAAAATGAATCGAACACGGACTTTCGACATTCTGAAAATTTGAAAACAGCTCCGGGTGGGACAAAATATCGCAATACGGTGCAGTATCCATCCAGCAATATCATATACATATAAATTACGAGCAAATGTTATTAGTGGCGTAACCATATTGCGAGCTAAATTACATCTATCAAGTATTTGCAATTGTCTGGGGGGGGTTGTCCCTCACAAGGGGGAATGGCGCTATAGCGGGGCTAAGGAGGTTGATAGCCCTGTCAAAAATACGTGTAGCCCCAGTTAAGCTCCCCCTGCCGCGCCCAGCATTTTATTCGATATTCTAAGATAGATAAATTATTTTCTCAGCCCTGCTATATATCAAACATGCCCCCCCCCCACCTCGAGGACCCGTGCAATACATTGGTAATCACATGATATTTTGTACTTGTTAAATACCACGATACCGTATCACAAATTACTCTGCGATTCACATCGATTTAGTCACATCATTTTCTGTATCAGGATACCGTTTACCGTTGGCAATACCGTATGTATCGGGTGAGAGATGCTGTCATCGAGAAAACGCAGCGACATTGGCCAAGCCTCCGCAGTGTGTCACAACCACAACTCGCGACGCCATCAAAATTGGGATGACATCAGAGCAATCCGCCCAGATGCTTGCTCGTAACTTAATGCTCCGAGGCCATGCCGGCGTCGTCACTGACACGTCATCGCTTGGATCGTATCGCACCAAAAAAAAAAAAAAAAAAAAACCACAATAATTTTTTAATTATTATTTTTTTTAACAATTTGGATTGTTCTGTTCAAGTGGACGACACAGATCCACAAAAAATGGTGATGCTGCTGGCGGATTAAAAAAAATCTGGAAAGATATGAAAATAAACTGTGCTCTTCTTATGTTTCGGGTTTTGGGGGAGGGCACAGCTCAATATCTCAACATGTGTGCTTTTGAAGTACATGGAATAATACAATTGCTGAAAGCACTCCCGACAACATTGAAAACACCACACGGTCGTCGTATATGTATGGCCAGTCTGTGGGAACCTATTTACAGAAAATATGACATCATTGACTGGGAGGGGATCAAACGCTAATAAACGCAGTAGTCTCCTTGCTCAAGTCGAGGCCGTTTATCGTATGTATTCTTTTTCTTGGAGTACATGACAAAACTTTCTTTTACTTTGGCAACTCTTCCCACATTTATCGATTTGTTTCGCAATACATCTTTGTCTTGAAGTCATGGTGCGTGGGGTCCATTTTGACAAATATGGTTCAGTACACAAAATGGGGTTTATTTTTTATTTTTTATTATTATTTTTTTTTATAATTTAGTGGCTTTGTTCATTTATTCCAATTTTGAAAGAATAATCATTCTCTACATGATCGTATATTATATAATTTTCCTTTACATTTAATGATTATTTTTCACGGTATTTACCAAGGCGACTGGACTCCATTTTAACCTGCTAAATATGGTGTGCTATAAAATGTTTTTTTATATTCTTGTACATAAGATTAGATTTCTAAAGGATTGAAAAAAATTACAAATAAGTTAATAGACAACAATTATATATACTATATGGATTCAAGTAGAAGCAAGAGGACTTGTTGGTAAAAAAAAGGGCAAAAATAATAATAAATAGAATTATGTAATCGAATACGCAACAAAATTTAAAAATGTCTTCCAGTATATTCCTATATTTTTGATTGGTTTCATTTTCAACGTCCACTTTTTTTTTCCCAGATTTGAACACATGGGCTGTGTATATGACCCAGAATGCATTACGGCTGCCCCCCCCCTGCCCCCCAGTTGAAACCGGCCTGCTACTGGATGCACAGCGAGGGACGTTAAAGCAAATATAAGTCCCGAATTTAAGGCTTTTTCTCAACGCACTGACGACGGGTAACATTAACAGGGGACATTTACACGTCCACTAACTGTACACGGCCGCACGCCTTCCTCCCTGCCTCTCTCTCTCTCTCACACACACACACACACACACACACACACACACACACACACACACGTAACTGTACAGCAGGGCTTAGTAGCAATCACCTCAGCCCAGGATGTCCAGGTAGACGGGAGAGGCCTTAGCGAGGCTTTGGAGCATAGCGTGTATCTCCTTGATGTTGAGCCTCATGTAGGGTTCCCTCTGCCAGCAGCCCAGCATCAGGTCGTAAACCTCCTTGGGACAGGTGCGCGGCCGCTGGAGCACACGGCCCTGCGTGATGCACTCGATCACCTGTAGGCAAAAAAAATTAAATAAATTAAGGGCCGGCGGTGAAACTGGATGTTCAAAGATCACTTTCTGGTACCTGGAGGATAGCATTGGTAAAATGACGGCAATAAAAACCTGTACGAAGCCATCTCTGCTATTTCGTTTACAAAAGATGATATCAGAAGGTGGAACTGACCTCGTTGTTGGAGAGCTGGTACCATGGCTGCTTGCCATAGGTGAAGATCTCCCAGAGGACCACGCCCAGGCTCCACACGTCGCTCTCGGTGGTGAAGCGTCGATACATGATGCTCTCCGGGGGCATCCAGCGGATGGGCAGCATCGTGTGGCCGCCCACCTGCGCCGCCGCCGAGACCACGACAACAAGTGAATTAGAAAAGATACAAAAACGCAACTCTGCCACATGCACCTGGCATCATCATCATCATTTCAATTGAGTCAACTATTGCCAAAGAGTGGCGACCCTCTGTTGGACATGCTTGTGCTTGGCACCAAAATGCCACCAGAGGGCGCAACCGCAATATTTAGAGGCATGGCTTTGGCCTGGGTGCAAAAAAAAAAACACATTTTTAGTGAATAACAGGATAGATTCCTCCACCCCAAAAAAAAAAAATCAGCCTTGGCTCACTACAGGTTGGGAAACACTTTCCTATATTAGAAGCTGATCTAAAGGAAGTGTAATCCCTTCATGGCCTTACAGCCACAGAGGATAATCAACACTCTCTATGAAGACATCTTAAGAATATGAAAAAAAAGAAGAATCCGCTCAATTTTTTTTTTTTTTTTTTTGCTCTCTTGGCCCTCATTACCATAGAGACTAATCCATATATGCAAAACGTTTTCATTTGCATATAAATGGCATCGAAATGAAATGAACCACGGGGAATTTAAATGTACTGACTCTGTAGTAGTCGGTGCTGTAGACATCTCTGGACATGCCAAAGTCTCCGATCTTGACCAGTAGGTTCTCACCCACCAGGCAGTTCCTGGTGGCCAGGTCTCTGTGCACAAAGTGCTGCGACGCGAGGTAGACCATGCCGGCCGCGATCTGCTGCGCGATGTGCAGCATCTGCGACTGCGTCAGCTCCACCAGGATGCTGTGCTGCCCGTCCGCCATCAGCACTGCGTCCGGACCGTGGGACCTGCGTGATCCGATGATGGTCGGTAAGTAAAAAACAAAAATATATGTACCGTATTTTCCGCATAATAAGGCGCACCTAAAAGCCTACTGAGTGACATCTGCCATCGAGTAGTGAATGTTATTTGCAACTTAAAACTGATCAGGTGTGTTGTAGGGAAGCCTTTTTATAGCTTTTCAGCATATGGTTAAACTTCCACTTCTACCTGAGGAACTTGTTGAGGTCTCCATGCTTCATGTACTCAAAGACCATGATGAGGGGGTCACTGTCCACGCACACGCCGTAGAAGGTGACGATGTGCTCGTGCTGCAGGTTGGTAAGTAGCTCCGCCTCCCGGTAGAAGTCGGCACGCCCGCTCTCGCTGGCCTCCTTTAGCGTCTGTCCGTGCACGCATGAGAAGGAATCCATAAGGACGCGCAACGTATTGATAATCGATCCTTACCCGAGACGCTTCCTGTACCTTGACGGCCACATGGATCTTGTCGTGGTCAGGTGTCAGGTTGTAGCACTCGGCCAAGAAGACCTTGCCAAAGGCGCCCTCACCCAGCTCGCGCTTCAGCACGATGTTGTGTCTCTTGATGTGCTGCACGACTGCGGGGAGGCCATGTCATGTACAAATATTATTAATAGTATAAGCAATACCGTTCAACACCCAAATAATCTTTCCCCATTGAAATGAATAGGAATACTATTAATCTGTTCCGACCTTCTCGAAAAATCCAGACATTTTTTGTGATGTTTTTTAATCAGAAAATTAGCACTGTGTAACATTATACTTTATAAAAAAAAGCAATAGTATTCAATCTCGTTTTAGAAATACAATCTCTCTCTTGTTTTCAATGAACAGTTAGTCCTGTATTTTTATGTTGGTCATAATGATGGTACTTGGGGAGTTAATTTTTTTTTTTTAGGTGGTACTTTTAGGTGGTAATGTTTATAACCACCACTGTCCACAATTTAATTCCACAGTTTTTTTTTTTGTCATCTCCGATGACTGGTATCTATTCGCGCTGCACCGAAATGGATGTATGTGAAAAGGTAGCGGATTACCGGATCAGGCGCTAACTCACATGTGTCTGGTTTCAGCATGCTGCCGGAGTTGCCAAAGTATTGCGGGTTCTCAATGACAGGGATCTTGGTCATGCCGATGATGACGGCGTCGGGGGCCATCTCGGAGGACGATGGCGTGTTATTGCCGTTGGAGACGTGGTGGAGGGGGCTGGCCGAGTCGTCATCGTTGCTGATGACCGACGACGAGCCTGGCAACACGAGGGCAAAGAGGAGGGTGAGTGTGAAGAAATTTTCTTCTGAATAATCAATTTAAATACAACTTTACATATTATATCACACTCTACATACACTCGCATGCAAGAGCAAGTCACAAAAATAATCACAAAAACATGAGCAATGAAACCAGAGAATATGTCACATGTAATGTCTCCAAAAATGGTGTTAACACTAAAACAAATGTGTTTATTGTATTTTTATTGCTGCAGCGCCTTCTCTCGGTAGCAACAGAGAACTTTGGAGGTGGGATAGAAGTTTGAGAAAAATAAAGAAAACACAACTGAAAGCATTTTAACATGACTAACCTTTAATTCCAAATTTGGAGTTCCTTCCATATTTGAGAATGATCACCATGAGAACGCAGCCCATCAAAGCCACACCGGCGATTCCCACAACCATGTAAACCTGAGGGAGTGGGAGAGGGGGTGGGGGGGGTAATATATACAAAGTAAATATACCACGGGGGATGGCCATTTGACAAAACGCCACTGATGGCCCACTGCGTTAAATTAGTCTAATGCAGTCATTTGTAATGCCTTGTTTCTCACTTACAGCAATGCTGTCATCCATTGGCGGCAGTGGCGAGTCTGGAAGGGAGCAGAACTCCATTGTGAGTCATGAAAAGTCACATCATATCAGATGTGCGTGTGTGTGTGTGTGTTTAAATGTGTAAAAAGGTTAAACACACACAAAAAAAATGTTTTGCATGTTTAAAATGGTTTAAAGGGTTGTTGAGAAAAACTTAATTAGTATTTAGCTATGTAGCTAAAATTAGCTGAGCACGTTTGAAAGTTGTTGGACATGACACGGCATCTTGAGAAAAATAAAGAGAACCCATTGAACACTTTTTTCTTTTTTTTTAAAATAGAATCAGGCTGCCGGCCTCAAAAGGGCTCATTCATACTTTGGTTGTTTTTTTTTTTTTTTTTAGTAAGTAATTGTCCCTCTAGTGGTACGAGAAACAATCACAAAATGAATTTTTCAAATTGTGCACAATGTTGGAGAGGCTTAAAACAATTTTTTTTAAATCCAGAACGTATTTTGTACTGTTCAGTTCTATTTGACTTTTAATTACAAATCCAATTTGTATTCTGACTTTTAGAACTGTTTCTTTTCAAACATTTATTTGAATATTATGATCTATGTAGCATTTGTGGCTTTGCATAACTTTACATGGGCTACAATACAAAAATATGAAAATAATAAATGGCTTACCAGTGGTGTCTGGACAGATGAAGACAGGCAGCAGCAGAAGTGAAGGTATACAGAATCATGAATTCAAAACAATCACACACTACTAGACATGCAGCCGGCGTGGTCACTCACAGTCGTAGAAAAGATCTTCTACAGGAGGAGAGACAAAACCGATGTTAGCGGTGGTCTGGACCACGATAAGTCGAAAGAGAGCGAAATGTGGGCGCACCTGTGTGGTTGTAGGGCGGGTCGATGAACTGCGCCGCCACCATTTTCTCGTCGCGGCCGTACTGGTTCTTGGCCACCAGCCGGTAGACACCATTGTGGATGTGCGTCGGGTTGACCAGCTGCAGGCAGCCGTGGTACTCGCTCTTGGTGGACTGGTGAATCCTGGTCCGGATATAGTCCTGCTCCTCCAGCGTCACGTTCTCAAAGTACCACTGCAGCTCCGGCTTGGGGTTGCCCGTCATGCTGAAGGGGATGCACCAGTGGTGGCCCTGCTCCGGTTCCAGCAGCTGCTGGATGATGGGGGCGACTGACGGGATGAGCGGTCGCACGGGGGTGGGGAGTGGTTGGCAAGTCAACGACCGGGGAGGGAGGAGCCGTCCGGAAGGAAAAACAACATTGAAAGGCTGAGAGAGGACATGTTGTTTCGGGGGTGGGGGGTGTCAAAAATGGAGACAAACAATACAGCTGAAATGGAGGCCGACATTAGCACCAGCTAAGATGAACTTTTGGGGGATGTCGATTGGTACAAACATTAGCATTGGCCAAGAGTGGAAATAACGCTTTGAGTTGTCACCTGAGCAAGTTACTTGAATGATTGGCAATTTTGGAAGGTTACTACCAACTATGGCGACAAATATTAGCACTCGCTAACGGTGGCTATGTTGTTGATGGTTAGCCAAGATGGAGACAAAAATTACGGTAGATTATGAAATGTTGTCATTGAGTAAAGTGGGAAAAATCCTCCCATGCTAAAAGTGGCTTTGTTGTTTGGGTGATTGAAGACGGAGACAAACATTAGCCTTAGTTGATAGCGGCAATGTTCGGGGATTAGCCTTCGTTGATAGTGGCAATGTTCTGGGTGGTTATGGTGGTTACCGAGTATGGAGACAAACATTGGCACTAGCAAAACCTTTTCTACAACGTTTTCATAATGGTTGTAAACAACAGATACTTCTGGGTGCCAAACCTCAAGTGCGTCCATTGCACTTCCACAGACACTAAAAGGTTAAGGTAATTTTCAATTTTCTTTAAAAAAAAAAAAATACCGTAATAAAAAAAATTGAGCGAGCGGAATTTGTATGCGTGGAGGACAAATCAAGTCAATGTTATAAGTAGTTGTGCAGAGAAGATTGCATCACTGTCTGCCATGAACAGAGACGTCAAAATTAGCATTATGTTAACATCATGTTAACTATGTCTGTTTCCACCACGTCTATTTATATAATCCATTTACCTGTTGAAATATAATCTAGAGCCGGAATTCCGTCTCCCTTGGAAGCAATTTACCGCATGGAACATCTAATTTGGGATTGATACTTCACACATTGAAGAAGAAAAGCTAAAATCATCATTCAGGCCATTTACCCAGTTTTCTCAATTGCACTATTTTGGTCAAATGACAAGGAATTATTCAAGTGGTTGGACATCAACACCCCGATAGAGTTAGTGTACCGCTAACCCAGAATTATTTCTTCATTTGTGGTGCCATTTGAGCTTTTGCCACCCTGAGGTACTATTTGTGTGACATCTGGTGAAAACAGTCTATCAAGACAAACGTTAGCATCAGCTACCGGTAGCTTTGTTACTGAGCATGGCGACAAACATCTTCACGGTGAACAATGGAAGAGGAAACACGTTGAAGCAGAGGACGGCGTGGCTTTACAGGAGGAAGAGTTATGGACAGGAAACCACACCAACAAGTCAATAAGATCAACGGAGGCAGTAATGAAAACAAAGTGACCAGGTTCTGCTGCTTCCACTCGGAAAAACCAAACAACCACATTTGTAAATGTTGGTGTGCTAATGCGTGCTTACAGAGGATGTTGAGCTGTAGCGTGGCCTCAGTCTGACCCACCATGTTCTCGGCGGTGCATGTGATCACCAGCCCGTTGTCCTCGGGAGAGAGGTTGGTTAAGGTGAGCCTGCTCTCCGTCTCTGTGGGGTCAATCTGGACACATAGGATGACATGGTGGCTCGTCAACAACAATCAAAGAGGACACCAGTTAGCCTCTAGCTGTAGTAATGTGACTTTGGCTAGGTTAAAATGCTAACTCTTTCAACCCCTCCCCCCCCCGCCTTTAATTAAAGATGAAATTGTAGCATTAGCGTCACTCTCCATCTTCATCCGGTCAAACTGTCCACATAGCACGGCATAGCATGGTTGCTAACACTATCCTGGGGTCTGTCGGGAAACAACAACCAAAACTATACTCGTTAGCTTCAAGTGGCATATTTAGTGCACCAGTCAACCCCCTCCAGCACCCCCAAAAAGCAAAACAAAGGTTGTTTAGCCTGTCTCGATGTAGAATTTGTCTGACCTTTTTTTTTTCTAAACCCGACAACTTTTCAGCAAAGACCCCATTTTTAAATAGGCCAAATTAGCCTGGACTATTTTTACTAGTGGATTTATACGCTGTTCGATGCCCTGCTTCGTATTTATGTCACTAGGTTGCAGTCTGTCTAATGCAGCACCTCTTTCCCCAGCACTCCCTTGGTCTGTAAATAAAAATATGATGAATAAGTAACCCCCCGTTTATTATTTATATTATAACCAGCATGAGATTGTTGTACAACTGCCTCTTCCAAACCTTTTAAGCAACGCACGCCCGTCAACCCCCTGACAGAAATGAACAATCCCTAGATCTGTCCTCACAATTGACCCAAAAATGAAAACAAACCTCATTCATTACATAGCGTTACCCACCAAAACATTAAACATCCTTTAGCCTATAGCTCTCTTCATAGAACAGCTTTTCCCAATCTTTTTAAGCAAAAGACTTGGCGCACTCCTCAACGGTGATCCATATCCACTCAAAGCTTTGTAGACGTTTTATTTTTGATCACTAAAAGCTTCAGTGGGTTTCAGGTGGGCTTGTGGATCTTATTTGTGCGGTAGTTGATGGGGTGTTGAATATCTCCCGGTCGAAGACGGATCTTGAAAAATTAGACACGTGCAGGACTGTAATGTAGACCCTGGAGAATGAAACCTTAGACCTAACGCCAGCCTTCGAGAAATGAACGTGAAGCCTCATTGGAGCTCTTTGGCAAATCAGATTAGACCGGCTCACCTCATAGTGAGAGAAGATCATGTCCAGGTTCCACATGATCTCCGGAGGTGGCATGCCCGAGGCGCTGCACAAAGCTTTGACGTCGGTGCCCTGCATCTTGGTCACCGTCGTGGGGGTGACCTCTACTTGAGGAACCACTGTTGGAGACACAAAGAGATGGTCTTAAGTATGAGGTGTGTGCGTGTGTGTGTGTGTGTGTGTGTGTGTGTGTGTGTGTGTGTGTGTGTGTGTGTGTGTGTGTGTGTGTGTGTGTGTGTGTGTGTGGCGGGGTTGGAACTTTAAACCCCCCATCGATCGCTCTCAGGACTTTCAGGAAGCTTGTGCAGCGTTGCTTATTTTAACGTGGTTTCACGTTACCGCAGTCAGGCGGCGTGAGCGTGGCAAAGACTTTTGTTGCTCCTTGCTCGTCCTTGCATTGCAGATCTTGGTTGTCGGGTTCCTCTTGGCTCCTCAGTTTGATCCAGAGGTTCTCGCAGATGCAGTCCAGAGGGTTTCCGGAGAGCAGGAGACTAAAAGAATCATGTTGGTCGGATCAGTGATTCTCAAGATAGCGCCTCTTTGTGTGTACAAAAGAATCTCAATTTAGTGGACCCGGAACCAACAGACCCCGGAGTCAATGGACAGAAAAGTTGGATGAGATGCAAACCCAACAGCTAGCGTTTGAAGAACGGGCCTTACGAATAGGAGATGTTATAATTCTGAAAGGTCCTCCATGACAGCGTCGACAGGTTGTTGTCTCGCAAATTCCTAAAAGACAACAACAACAAAAAAAACATTAGGCCACCAATATGAAGCATTATATTAAAAATTATCGAGCTAGCTAGCTAGCTAGCTATTTTCCTGTCTGTCTGTCTATCCATAGTGGACAACAACAAATTTATTACTAGTAGTAGGAGGATATGTTGCGTTGAAATGAAGTGAAAGGCTTCTCACACGTATTGCAGTCTTGTATTGTTGTAAAAGGCATCTGGGGATATGGACGTCAATCTGGTCCTGGTTACTGTTCTGTGGGAAATCAGTTTTCGTCAGATGAGCCCAACGAAGTGGCATGATACCATAATCATCACATACTGTTTCAGAATACAATAATGCCTTGATATAAAAGTTCATTTTTGTTTCTTTGGAGTAAAAATATCACTCTATAATATAGTACTTTATAAAAAACAGTGTGCAATGTTGCAATCTAATTCAATATGCTTTTCCTTCTTGTGTGCCTGCCTTAGCCACTGGGAGGCAGTACCGTGTAATACAGCCGTGTAGACGCAAAAGAAGCAGAATAGACTTCTTCTACTTCTACAACTCAGTAAACCGCTGACATGAGTTATTTTCCACAGAGAATAAAGAACATATGCCTCTACTTAAAGCGTTGTAAAACCGCAGCTATCAATACTAACCGTTAGCATGTCTGTGGGATTTTCCACTATGTGTTAGCATTGAGCTAGCAGGTGCTGTTCTTAAGACATTGCAGTTTGATTGTTTTCAAAACACAGCATCTAATTCTCTTGGCCTAATGTTGAGTCCAATTGTCTTGGGTTGGAATAGCAGGTCGACCCCATGTAAAGCAGAGATCAAGGTTTTTTGGTTTTTGTTTGTTTGAGCTTTTAAAAAATTGTAGAAGCTAGTTATGTCACCCTGAGTTGAATAGCAGTTAACAGGCGGTGAACTCCATGCAACACAGATGTGAAGCGTCACTCTGAAACAATGCTTATACTACAAACACGTGGGATACTTACAGGTTTCGGAGGTTTATGTAGTGCCTCAGACTGTTGTCGTTGAGCTCAAACAGCCTGTTTTGATTTGCAATGTATCTGTCAGGGAGCAGATAATACAAAACGTTATGGATGTTGTGGTTTATTTTTATTTTTATAGTCTTCATATGTGCCTTGAGATTGTCTAGGATAGGTTGGTTGCTTTGGAAAATACATACCCTTGTCTGGCAACCCACTTTTAGACAAAAACAATCGTGTAGGACATATTTTGTTTTATTTACAACCATTTCCATGTTCCTCAATGGGTGCGCTTCTTTGATGAGCCACATATTGTCTACATCACATTTCATGGACTGATTGACTCAAGGAGACGTGGATATCCCCCACACTAACAGCGATTTTCAGTCGTAAATATTGAACACGTTTAATATTTAAGATTGTCAGACCTGACTTGTTTTGGACTGCATTGTCGGGACAAATCCACTTTTCACACACCACAGATATAAGGATCGTCAGATAGGACAACGTTATAAGACATACGATAGTGTGGGATTTGACGTCCTTGGTCGGGAAGGGACAAATCAGGACGAAAAACAGCCGGCCTAAGCTGAAGTTTTGGCGTGAGAAATCGCATACGGGATGGACCGGTTGACAGCTAATCGCAGGACAGTCAATCAAGCATTCACACCAAATGTCGCTAAGGCTATATTTATTTTTTCTATCCGAAAAAAAAAAAAAAAGGTTTTGCCACAAATTTTTTGAAAATTATGTAATTTTTACTGTTGTATCATATATCTGACCATTGCCATGTCTGGCCAACACACTTAACCTGCATGTGTGCAATCTTTCAACAATCTAATCAGGGAAAGTGTGAGTGTGTGTGTGTGTGTGTGTGTGTGGGTGGGGGGGGGGGGGTGTTCTGGTTGTCACATTGACGACTCTTTATGGACACAGCTTTCCGAAAGCTGGGCTAGTGTGTGTGTGCGCGCGTGTGTGTGTGTGTGTGTGTGTGTGTGTGTGTGCGTGTGTGCGTGTGTGTGTGTGTGTGCGCGCGTGCACATTTCATGGAATGCTGTGTAAATCCAAATAAACGTGCACGAACGAGGATTACGCACGCGCGGCTCGGTGTTAGTGACACGTAGAAACGCGCGCGTGCACACGCACGCGGCAGCACGATTTGATTGTTATGATGAAATGATACGCGATGATATTAAAGGAGGGGGTGGGGGTACGTGAACATGATCACCTTCATCCTAACATCTCATCGTCATCGTCAGGTTGATACGCGCGCGCACGCTCACGCACGCACGCCCTTACATGTCGGTGATGTTTTCCATGTCGTCCAGCGTGAGCAGCGGGAAATCCTCGATGCTCGGCGCCGCTCCGTCGACGCACGCGATCCGCGTTACCGTGCAGGTGCAGGCGGCGGGGCAGGCGGCGCTCAGCCCCCGCAGTGTGCGCAGCGCCAGCAGGAGGAATCCTAGCCGAGCCATGCCATGCCAGTCCATCGCAAAAAAAAAATGTCTCAGTGGAATTAAATCCCTCTCCTCTATTAAATCGCGATCCGCACGGAGGGCTTGCCGGAGGTAGGAGGAGGTGTGGGGGGGGTGGGGGGATATCAGGGTGCCATGGAGCGGCCTTGGCGTGTCTGCAGAGCCGCGATCGCGCACGACACGCTCGCCGCCGTTCGTGGAGTTGTCAAGTGTTCCAGCAGCAGCAGCAGATGATGGTGATGATGGTGGTGATGATGATGATGGTGATGATGATGATGCCGCCGTCTCACTCCTCCGGAGCCAGCATGCCTCCCCCCACCCCCTTCACTCTTTTTTTTTTTTTGCCTTGTAAAAACAAATATGACGTGTTCCAGATGTTTGGAGATCAATAGGCAGGCAGGAAGGCTCGATGGACGGACCCCCTCCTTCCTTCCGAACTTCCTTCCTTCCTTCGCCTCCGTCCTTTGCTGTCCCCTCCTCCCCACACGCGAGGTGATGCAGGGAGCACGACGACCACCTGCATCAATTACCTACCCCAGGCACCCCAGGGTGAGCCAAAAGTAAGTGCACACTTAAAAAAAATGTTTATTTACAGCTATTTCTTGTCTTCTTTTCTTCTTCCATCTTTCCTTCCTTCCTCCCCTAAGGTTGTTTTTTCACTCTTGCATCTATCCTCCCTCCTTTTTTCCCTTTCCCCCAAACTTTTTAAAAATGATTTCCTTCCTTCCTTCCTTGCTGTCCTCCTTCCACCTCAAACCTGTTTTTTGTTCCTTCCTGCCTGGCCCGCTTCCTTTCTTTGCTGTTTTCCTCTTTACGTTTTTTAAATTTCCTTCCTTTCATCCTTCTTTGATTTCCTTGTGTCTGTGTCACCCTTTTGTGTGTCCTCTTTCCTCCCCCCTTCAGACCTTTACTTCTTCCCTTCCTGACCTCTTTCCCACCTCATTGCCTTCCTGCATCAGACTTCCTTTTAATTCTTTCCTACTGACTAACCTTCCTTTCTGTCCTCCTTGCTTACCTTCTGACAAAGACCAATCTTTTCTTCCTTCACTCCTTTCCCTTCCTTCTTTCCATACATCCTGTCTTCCTTCTCTTAGACCTGCTTTTGCCTTCCATCCATCTTTGTTTCCTTCCTTTCCTTGCATCCTTCCTTACCTCCTGTTTTTTTTTCCTTCCTTCTTTCCTTACCTCCTTGCTTCCCTCTCTTCACTTCTACCTACTTGCTGACTTTCTTGCCGTCATCTTTCCTCAGACCAGCTTGTTGTCATGCTTCCTTACATCCTTCCTTCCTTTGGTCAGACATACATTTCTGCCTTACTTTCTTTTTTCCGCCTCCTTCTTAATTCTTCCTTTGTCTTCCCCCTTCACTCCCAACGCATACCAACATTCAGACTAAGTTGTTCTACCACACACAACACACTTGGCCAACAAACAAACACAAACACACACACAGAGCGTGACGTCCACGGTTGACGCACGAGACCAGATGTCCCCATGAAAAATTCTACCGCTACAAATTTGTGGATAATGATAATTATTCATCTTTACTAGCCAGAGCCGTCAACCAAGTTAGCCTCGAACCACTAAAGGATTATATATTCCACATAAATTGCAATTTTGAGTTAGGGAACCAGTGACAACAAGACTGCGATGATACCTACAGAAGAGGAAATGTCACAAAGAAACAGGCAAGGGTTTGCCGTACAATCTGCAGTAATACAATAAATGAAACGTCATTCACGTGCTAAAAATGTAATATGAGCCAGCAGATGCTGACAAATCCCCCTATTATTTAATCCCATCAATGTCTTTTAGGCTCCACTGGGTGGCAGTGTCATGCTGCAAACACCTTTCTGTTCCCTTTCCACCGAAAGATTGAGTAGTTTTACTCTATTTTAATTGTATTGATTTTACGTTGGGTCCCTCCTTGTTAAACCTGTACTGGAATTAAAAGCGCTGCCTGCGCAGTTGATGAATGTTTTATGACGGCAACTGTTTACACATGATTTATATATCAGAATATTAGGGGTGTGCATCTCACCACAAAAGACGATTTGATATGGGTTTCGATACGTGGGGTGTGGAACGGTTCATGGACGGTTCGATTTGAAAGTGGAAAGATTTGATTTGTTTCGATTCAGTGGGATTACGATTCCATTCAATATGATACGACTAAATTGGAGAGGGTATGATGCAAATACTTTTTCTCTCATTTTACATACATGCAGTTCCATCTTTTCAAGTGCATGTATAATATAACATGTAAACGTGTAAATATAATAATGGATTCAAGTATCTAAAAAATATTTTATGAATATAATAAATATAATTTTAAAAATACATTGTAAATAGATTAGTAGGAGTACAGTGACCGTAAATACAACAGATAAAAAATAAAAATAAAACAAAAAATAAACAAAAAAATAAATAATATGTTTTTATATTACACAAATATACTTAAATATAATCCATAAATTATATTAAACTATCAAAATAGACTGAGATAAAAAGCAATTATAATAAAACCAATTATCTCCACTTTTATTGATGGGAAATATGTTTCCAAAAAAAAAAAAAACCCACAGTAAATCCTGTCCTGTCGGCTGCCATGACAATATCGGACCGTAGCAGATTGGTGGACGTGTGGCATACACACACACACACACACACACACACACACACACACACACACACACACACACACACACACACACACAAGAGGAACCCACCCGAGGTATCCTATGGGAATTTTTTTTTTTTTTTTTTTTTACAAACATTGCGGACAATGTCAAGTGTCGCGATGGTTGCGAATGAAAATATGTACATTCTGCCCCGCCCCCACCCTATCACCATCCACCCCTTTCTGAGAAACATCAAGAACCAAATTAAAACTGTCGCCATGGTAACATCAGAATACAGGCGAGTAGGGAGAGAGACAAAAGCCTGCGTATGTGAAGGTGCGAGGAGACTGTTTGATTGGATCCAAAATGGAGGCTCCCGTGCGAAATTAGGTGGCTGGATTTTGATCAGTAGGAAATAATGTAAAGGCAATTAATCCGTATCGGGGTCAAACTGTGGCCATCATAAAACATTGTTTTACGGAAGTATTCATATGTTTGGATGTGTGCCTTTAAGGGGCGCAACCGAGTGACATAATATTGCAGCATCTTGCAAGTGTTATTTTGTTTTATCACTTTGCTCGTCTGAAAGCGCGTTGTTGAGCGAGGCTTCTCTTTCCCATATGCATTTTACCTTCAGTCTATTTCCAGTTCTTTGGTTATTATCACCACCCAATTCCTCTCTGGTTTCCTGCTGTGAAAAACTATACAAGAGATTGGAACAATGCATGTACGAATTCGAATTCGAGTGACTTGTCCGAATCCACCCTGACAGTCAACGTTGAGGTTTAAAATGGTTGTTATTGAAAACCAGGGAGAAAGCTTCATATTCAAAAAGCAGTTTGATCAGAAATCGCGCGTAGTCAGATTGGGCGGTAATGCGCTCGGAGCTGTGCGTCCCCGCCCGTCGGCGCTGCCGTTTATATACGCTACAAGCAAACCCCCGTTTCACCTCGCCTTCATGCTCTAAAATCTTGCATTCGTTCCAAGGCAACAGAATAACGTGGCAGACGGCGATTAGTCGCAAGTATTGACGTCTTTTAATAATTTCGCGGTCCATGATATTGGTTGTAGACATTTACAAGCGTATAGGAAGAACACTAATGTGTACATTTAGGATCGCTGCGCGGTCGCAACCGTGGTACGCCGTCTCGTCGTGACGGACACGCCTCACGAGCACTAGCTTAGCGGTTAACATCGCAAAGTCACGTCAACTTAGCCGCTGGAAGTGACAAGCTGACTGCCACTCGCCCTGACGTCTATCAAGGGCAACTCTTGAGTGTCTATAAAGTCGTAAAACCATTCTTAACGCCATCAACTGACACCTGTGTGCGTTGCTATATCTGTAGCATTGTTGAGGGTTGCGCTTGTTTTGAATCCACAAGTGAGCGATGATTTCGGGAGGGGCGGAACAACACTATTTGTTAGGGTTTAATAAAGATAAAAAAGCTAAGAACAGCGCCGGATTGTTTAAAAGCACAATAAAATGATGGTAATAAACACACAGACTTTATAATGTGTAATTATTGTTCGCATTGTATTATTCACGTGTGGATGTAGGACTTTAATTTAAGGGGCGTGGCTTAATGTGTGACGTCACGCGCTGGACTCGGTTGGTCAGCTCCTGGGTATTGACATACGATACATCTAACATAAAATAACAAAATAATCTTACCATAATGTTACCGGACACATAAAATAAAACATTTGCACTTTGTAGCATTCACTTTTTGTCCCGCCCTGCAGGTTTAAAAGACAATGGAGGTGCAAATTGAACCGCAGGATGAAGATCTCACATTTGGCACCACGGATACCAATGGTAAGATCATTTTAGACATAATAATGTTTAGAATATTAAATAATTGCTTGTAGTTTACACTTTAAAGACCCCAAGCTGTGATGGCAAAATACGTATTTCCAACTCATCTAAAATTACCCATAAAAATAAATGGTTTACAGATCATTTGATTTTGAATAAAATGCACTACAGTACTCTGTTTCTTTTAATTTTATCTTTATATATTAGCTTCTAGCACTAGCTTCCAGTGTTGTTTCCCATGTTACTACTAGCTTTAGCTTCTGAAGTTAGCTTCCTATTTTTTTCTTGGGTTAGCTTTCAATATTTCTTCTAACGTTAGAGCTGAAGATGACCAATGTTAGCTACTGACGTTAGTTCATACGTTAGCGTCCAATGTTAGTTGACTGCAATAATGGATTAGTATTGGCTAAAATAAATTGGTTGATCATTCCGCAACTGCTCTGAGGTTGTCAGGTAATGCAAAGTTTTAGCTTTGCATCACACGAAGATTTGCAGGTGTTCACCCATTTTTTTTCCTGAATTGAGTCGGAATGTAGGAACCCTGAAGTGAGTAGGTACTTTACAAGTAGCCATTTTGACCTGTTATGCACAAGACAGTGGAAAAGGTTGGATTTAGACGGAATGGGACCTTTAAAGCATCATTTTATGTTGTATAGGCAAAATCACAAATAGGAGCGTTTGCGAATCAGCGAGGGATCGTTTTATACACAATATTTTTAGTTATCCTGACAGCTTCAAAGCATGTAGCTGAACTGGCTCACTTGAGGCAAAATAGATCATTCCTGGCTGGAGCTACACAGCAGATGGTGGAGGAATACTGCTGTTTTCTGGCTTCCAAGCACATTTTTTTAAAATTCAGGAAGGGAACACGGTGCATCTGAGTGGTTTCCAGTCAGTGCTTAGCTGCCAACTGATACACAGTGAAACCCAGTGCTGCTCACATTTTGCCAAATTAGCCCAACTAGCGCTTACCCCGCTACTGAAAGGAACTACAGCGGTACGGTGATTTTAGGATTGCTCGAGTTTAGATACGAACCGTCACTTGGTCCATTTTCTGTTTGTTTTAGTGACATGGGGGGGAAAGTGGAGCAATTAGGTTGCTGTTCTGAAAAAATGAAGTCAGTTCTCCTTAATATCTCAAAATATGCCTCAGTTAAAGCTGTCAGGTTGTAGCCATAAATTAAGAGTAGATTATTGACCATTCAAAAATGGCGTTATCCACTATAATGTGTGCCGTGCGATCTTCCCCGCCAGGTAAGCGTCCAGCAGAGGACATGGATGAAGAGCACGCCTTCAAGCGCTCGCGCAACGCCGACGAGATGTTAGAACTCCGTGTGCTGCTCCAGAGCAAAGTGAGGAGACCACCTGTCACTTTTGTTTGTCTTGATTTGTCTTCCTGTTTTCTGAGAATAATCCCACCATGCCACGCCCCCTCCTGACTGCTTCACAGAACGCCGGCGCCGTTATCGGAAAGGGTGGCAAGAACATAAAAGCGCTGCGCACTGACGTGAGTAAACACACGAACTATTCAATGAATGATTTTTAAAGTATCAGAACAGCTAGTGCCTATTGATCGATCTTATTTTTTATTTTATTCAGAATTGCGTTCACATTTTTTCTTTTTAAATGTAGGGATGGGCAAAATAACAATCAATTCGTTTCAATAAGATGACGGGAATTGTCCCTGAATGTTCTGAACATTGAGTTTAGCACAATGTCCTCCATGTTGAATTCCACACAGAATTCTTCATGATCCATTCTTATTTTTTAAATGATTTTTTTGGAGTACCAATGGTACTAAAACAACATTTTCAAGGACCAAAATAAGAACAAATGATTCAAAATATCACCGCTGCCACACGTCAGCAAGCCGTATCCATTTGTTTTTCAGCACGTGTTAATTATTATGATGACGTTAACGACGCGTTGCAGTGTCATAGCGTTTGCAGGTCTCACGCACCACCTGAAGGGAACTGCGCACCCCACTTGGGGAAATCCCTGGAGGAATCGGTGGTTTTCCCCATCCCTACACGTATTATTCCTAAGGTTTTAATGTTGGCCAAAAATCCTATCGCCCTCATGTTTTGTGTAAACTTCATCGACCTGCTTACTATGACACATGATAAAATCCACTGGGGTACATTTTGGTCGTGTCTGACCGTTCTCTCACATTTTGCCTAAAAAAGACAAACGTTGAGCGTGCATTCAATTAAAAATGTATTCCTTCTCCCCCCCTCTTTCCCCTTGTCCTTTCTTTGGTTTTATTTTTATTTTTTTTGTTTATTTATGTTTTTGGGTGAATGTTTTGGCCACCTTCTGCCCGTTGCCCATGTTTGGACCGACATGCCCCTCCTGCGTTGGCCCAACCCAACCCCCGAATGCCCGCCCGTCCGCCCACCTGCCACCCCCTGGTCGACCATGCCCATAACCCGCGCCCCTAACACGTGATTGAACGCCCCCACCCCCACTCCCCCGCCCAATGCTCTCCAACCACCTCCACCATCACCTCCATGCAGTACAATGCCAGTGTATCAGTCCCAGACAGCAGTGGCCCAGAGCGGTATGTCCCACCAATTATTGCCTCACTGCCTGATGACAAGGTCATGAATAAGCTGCCTTTTGTTTTTTTTAACTGCTACGTTGATATTTTATACAAATAATGAAAGTTAACCCCACCCCCCTTGCCCTCCCCCTTCCAACTGCCAAATCGCCTTTACCCACCTTCCCCAACCCTTCCACATGTCCTCTTGATGTTTCTGTCCATTCCTAAATCTCTTTGCCACTCTAACCATGATATTTGGTGAAATGCCAGCTGTCCGATTTCAAGGTGCGCAAGGCAGGCATCTTTTTACTGAAGCCCCACCCATCGAAAATCCCCCCTCTCCTCTTTTCCCCCCCTTCCATTTCCCCGCATTGCCACCCGTGATATTCCCTCATCCATGCATTGTTGCTTTGTAACAACCCACCCTCACCTGCTATTAATGTTTCAGTGAAAAAAAAATGGCATCCCAAATTATCACCACAGTATATTCCCTTCAAATACTGCGTTGTGAACTACGCAGACCATGATACTTTGTACCGCTGAGCCAATAGGAGCACTTGATAATGAAATGACAGTCCAGTTCTATTTCTTTGTCACTGCTGTTATGTACAAAAACACACGTTTTTTTTGTTTTTTAACTTAATAAAGGGGCCCTACAGACGTACAAATCGCAGAAATATCTAAGTACGGTAACCAAGTCACACTACTGGCTGTCGTCTCCACTAACCTACACTAATGGGGTAGTAAAGTTCGTTATCTTAGAAACGTCTGTCAGTGTGGTTGTAAACCTAGGGCCCCACCCCACACATATTTTTTTTTCCTTTAAATGAGAAACAAATTGCATCAACTTACATTCACATGGAGTGGAGCCATGGACTGCAGTAACATTAGTGCGTGTAGGGAAATACTCTCTGGGAAGCTTCAAGGCAGAGATTTTGCTCCAACCTCTTTTTACCCCTGATTTATTCGAGGCATACACAATGTTAATAACAGGTGTAACCCTCCCGCTGCTAAACGTGGCCACAAACACCTCATCCTTTCTTGCACCTCACTTTCTGTCCTGTGCCACCTTGCAGTGGGTAACCACTCGCATCTCCTTGCAAACATCACAAACCAAACTCACAAACAAAAAGATTGGTCGTTGCCTGAGCTCTGAGCAACTGTGATGTCATTTTCATTCAACAGCAAGTGGCAAAATTCCCCCCTCACCCCCCAAGATGGATAAAAACAACTCTATTTTGCTGCTTAATTCATATTCCACACACGCATTATGTATCAGAATGCCATGTTTAAACAGTGGGGCCCACATAGAACATTTTGCTGTAAAGACATTTTTTGAATTGACTTTACCTTTCAGCAAAAAAAAATCATTTGATATTTATCAGCCTATAGAAATTATGAGCTAACACAAACAACAGTTTTTTGGCTGCAACATATCCACCGGTTGAGAATCACTGGTCAATAACCCACCCTGCCCGTTCTCCTTCCTCCCCCCCTTTCCAATGAGACGTTGTGTAGTGAGGTCTCGCTTCAGTTAAGTTTCCCACTTTGTGTTGAAGTAATTTTATCTAAACTGTCCCGGCCCCCGCTCCCCCGACACTGATATGATCTCTTGTTAATTGTAGCCATATGAAAGCCAACCGTCCTTCCACGATACTCTTATCTCAGTGCATGTTAGTCTTCGTTTCCTCTTTTCCAAGTTCGATGCCTCCTCGTCCAAGCCTTTAGATGGGTTTCCTTGACGACGTGTTTTCTGTCCTTCGCGATTGTGGTATTTCATTTTTGCGTCGACTTCCTGTAATGCCTGGCTTTTCATTTTGGCTTTCTCGACAGGATCCTGAGCGTGAGCGCCAACATCGACACCATCGGAGACATTCTGCTGAAGATCATACCCACCTTAGAGGAGGTAAAAAGCCTTAATTTCCTTTTGGGAATGATGTGTTCCAAAATAAAATGGCTGTTCTTCAGCATGCAGGACGTTTGCTGGCAAACATTAAATATCAATGAAAAATCAAGTTACAGTTGTCATTTCTTAATATTTAGTTTGATAGAATCTATCTGTTCATTTAAATTATTCACATTCTTATTTTTGTTATCTTGATTTAAATTGTAATATTTATAATATGGTACTAAGATTTTTATTCATATTTATACTATTTTTTTTTAAGGCGGTCATTATAAAAAGTTCTAGAACTGCTGCTTTTTAGCATATTTAGATTTTAAATATAATCAATATTTTATGTATGTAATTTGTTTGTTATAATTGTACGTCATGTATGCTTTATTTGTCTAGAAAGTATTCTTGTAAATAAAACCAATAAAAAGTAGCTCCATGTGTACTTGTTTGTGTATAAGAATACATGGCAACATTTCAGATGGAGCCCGGCGGTATACAATGCCGCAAGGCACTTAACTAGTTCCCCTCAATTGTTGTGTTTGTGTAACAAGTACCAGCATTATAGCGGCATCGACTTTGACTGCGAGCTCCGCCTGTTGATCCATCAGAGCTTGGCGGGTGGCATCATCGGCGTGAAAGGCAGCAAGATTAAGGAGCTCCGAGAGGTTGGCCACAGTCTTAAAGAGTTTCTGCTCAGAAATGACCCAATGCCTTCCTGCTTGCCGTAGTAGCACTTTTATGATGTTGACCCCCCCTGCCCCCCCAGAATACCCTGACGACCATCAAGCTGTTCCAGGACTGTTGTCCGCATTCTACAGACAGAGTTGTCTCTGTGGGCGGGAAGCCGGAACGAGTCGTGGAATGCATCAAAGTCATCCTAGAGTTGGTAGCTGAGGTGAGTCTTGACCTAGTTTCGACACTTCTCCTGACATCTGCATGGAGTACAGATCGAAGGCAAATCAAGTAATGATGGGCAAGCATTGTACTCATTATCTGCAAAAAATAAGGCTGCTTTATTGTTTGTTCATCTGCCAAATTGCAAACGCCATGCTCCAAACATAACCTGTAAAGTCGCTACGAAAATGACATGCTCGTCGATATGTTCCAGGCGCCAATCAAAGGCCGTTCCCAGCCTTACGACCCCAACTTCTATGACGAAACGTACGACTACGGCGGCTTCACCGTCATGTTTGAGGAGCGTGGCCGGCGGCCCGGCGGCAGCTTCCCTGTCCGGGTGCGAGGCGGCTTCGACCGCCTGCCGCCCGCACGCAGCAGCCGCCCGCCGCTTCCCTCTCGCCGGGATTACGACGACCTGAGCCCCCGCCGTGGCCCGCCACCGCCGCTGAGCCGGGGACGCGTGGGAAGCCGTGCGCGCAACCTGCCACTCCCACCGCCGCCGCCGCGAGGAAGGTGAGGAGGGTGTGCTTCGTTTACGGCCTTATTCTCCAATGGCAGCTAACGTGATGACATTTGATCTAAAATGTATCATTTCAATTTGATTTTTATTGGATGTACGTTATATTTTTGTGCATGTCTAATTTATTCTTTTGATTTTATTTCCTTCACAATATGCTCTTTTTGATCTAATCCTTCGATTTAATCTCAGTTTGATGTTATTTGGAATATTTTGTTTTATTCATATTGTATATTTAGATTTTATTTAATAGTTTTAATTGATTCAGTCTTTTGATTTATTTATGAACAAGGCATTTATTTTATGACCATTTTTTTTTTCCGAATGACAGTGATCGATTCTCCCATGGCAGTTATCATGACGACAGACCAAGGTGAGGCCAAAAATGTCCTCTTGCGCCTTTCCTTCAGCGTCATTGAATCATGTGAATGCTAATCCTGTTCATGTGTGTAGTGACAGAAGAAGTCGCGGAGGAGAGCGCTACGACAGCATGGTGAGTGTTGCCGTCTGCGCAGTTCTTTTCCGACAACAGGAGGCGATCGGGATTCCTCATCCGAGCATAGTACAACCACAGCGGCCACGAACGCTGACGCGGGTTTTTTTTTTTTCTTTTCTCCAGACGCCCGTGGTTGCCCGGCAACGGTCGTCTCCTTGCTTGCCTCTTGGCAAGCAGAGTACGCCGTCCGGAGATCCGCTGGGCAAGCAAGCACTGTCGATCCTTTCCAGCATCCCTTCAAATTTATAATAATTAATCCGCGACGTGGTTGTTAGTAATTGGATTTCGTGGATTAATGCCGTCAGACGGAGGCCAAATGACTGCGGCTGTCAGATCCGCCATTGACTCACTCGCAACTATAAGAACGTGACGTCAGCCGGGGGAGGTTTAGAAATTATTCGGCTCAATAATCCAAAACAGCAATTCCGAACGGTCTGCCAGAGATTCTTTAATCTGTTTGAAAATTAACAGGTGATGAAGTTATGAGTACAAGAACAGTATCCTGATAGCGATAACATATCATGATCAAGGTGGGCACATAATCAAATTGATAAGGTGGAAGAATCTTCATGACCTTTAGCCGGGAGTTTTTTTTTTTTGTTTGTTTTTTGTTTTTTTACATATTTTTTTAAAAATGAAAAAATAGAATTGAACTAATTATTCATCGGAATTTTCCCCACAGTCAAGCTAAGAAATGCAGTGAAATGCCCATCTCTGTAAAAGCCAATATGATGGGATTTGGACAGTAGTGATGCACGACATTGCGAGACGAATTGACATGTCCCGGTTGACTCGATCGCACGACTTCCAAGTCGAACGCCATTTTCAGCCAAGTGGCCATCAACCAAGGGACGGTTCCAAGGTCATAAAAGTTGAGACTTGACCCACATACAATGTGTATATTATAAGTTATACAATAACGGGGACAAGCTTATGCGGTGGGAGACTTGGTTCCAAAGTTCAAGTTGTGCCAGAGGGACTGCAGGTGTGACATTTCAGGTCAACAACGTGTGAAACATTAATAATATGTGTGCGCTCGCATCCACCTGGAACATGTCCAGAGCCTCACTTGGTAGAGTTATTAAATCTCGCCTGCTTGTCAGAATTGATACATAGAATGAATATTAAGATGATAAGCCTTGTAAGTTACCACTGTGAGCGTGCCGTCTGTACTCTGACACTAAACCAGATTTTTTTTTCTTCTCTCCTGTTGATGAAATATAGAGTGGAGGCGGTTATGGTGAGTCTCATCCTTTGTGTTAATCCCGCATACATGAAAACGATTTTAACCAATTGCGGTTGGCTTTGGAATGAATGTTGGCTAATTTGGAGTCATTGTCTTGTTTTCTCTTCTGATGCCTTCAAGACAACAATTCCTGGGATCACTTTAATTCTGGTGAGTGGAGGGGAACACCTTTTTTTCAGTCTGGTAATTCACAATTCAAGACGCTTCGTGATTGGCTTCCCAGGTGGCCGAGGCTCGTACAGCGACATCGGAGGGCCCGTCATCACAACACAGGTCACCATCCCCAAAGATGTAAGTGTTGAAAAAAAAGGGAGGGGGTGGGGGGAGTGCAAAAGACACTTGTGGTGAAATTTGGTGGCCGTTTCACAGCTCGCTGGCTCCATCATTGGCAAGGGAGGCCAAAGGATCAAGCAGATCCGCCATGAGTCCGGGGCATCCATCAAGATCGACGAGCCGCTGGAGGGCTCGGAGGACCGCATTATTACCATCATTGGAACGCAAGACCAGATCCAGAATGCACAGTACCTACTGCAGAACAGGTGACTGATTCCCCACATTACCTTTAGCATCCACATACAGGTATAGTGTACCCAGAATGTCTTCTGTGGAGAGAGGAGAACCTCCCAGAAGGACCACCGTCTCTACAACACTCCACCAATCAGACCTTCAGAGTCAAAGGGTTATCTTCCAACAGGATGACGACCTTAAGCACCCAGCCAAAATAATGAAGGAGTGGCTTCAGGACAACGCTGAGTGTCCTTGAGTGTGGCCCAGCCAGAGCCCAGACTTGATCTGATCAAACATCTCTAAAAAGATTTGTAAATGGCTGCACACCGACGCTCCCCATCCAATCCGATAGAGCTTCAGAGGTGCTGCAAAGAGGAATGGGCGAAACGGCCCGAAGTTCGGTGTGCCGTGCTTGTGGCATCATCTTCAAAAAAAGACTCTAGGCTGTACTTATTGCCAAACGTGCATCAACAAAAGCTGTGAATGCAGGACTTATGGACATGCAGCGTCTTACTTTTTTATTTTTAGCTAATCCCCCCCCCCCCCAACCCCAAAATAAACAGCAAGTGTCGATCGAGCTGGCTAGTTGCCTGTTTGATAAACTGGTGCATGAACAATATTTAATTAAGAGAATGTACACTGTCAAAAACAAACAAACAACAACAACAACTGACTTCTCTGTTTTTCCCCCCCTAGCGTGAAGCAGTATTCCGGTCGATTCTTCTAAAACGGAGACGAGTGAAGCCATGCCCTTTGTGTACTGTTTGTTCCAGTGCCGACATTCCTCTGTCGTGGATGGATCAATTCTATCGTATCCAAAAAAAGCTACTGGAAAATTCCCCCCCAAAAAAAAGCAGTCCCAAATGTATTTCTGTGCCAGTGTTGATTATTTTCAAGGACATGATGTCATTAAATAATTGTTTTACTTCGGTGTTTGGATTGCCGTGGAGCATGCAGGTTTTTTTTGTTGTTGTTTGTTTTTAAATGAAGTTTCACACGCTCAATTTTTCTGTCCAACGGAATGAGCAGCATTTAGCTTAGCATTATTGACAGAGCTGCCTCGCGTCTTCTATTTGTTCCCAACTTCAAAGCTGAAATGGTGAACTGTGAATGTTTTCTTCAGAAGCTTGCAGTTGTCCATGTCTTTAGCTCACGATTTCATGTACACGTCTTCATATAACAAGAAAAAGATGTCACGCAATTGCTTTGAAGTTTGATGAATGTTTGATAGTTTTAAAGAGATTTCTACATTTCTTCTTTTCAAAGAAGGCGAGACGCTGTATAAATTGTGTATATAATCATATCCGTTTTTTTCCTCTCTCGCCAAATGAATGCTTTGATATGTCGTTCTTTTGTTTATTTTGTAAGTGTTCATTGTGTTTTTGCATTATTCATTTTGGTGGTTTATAGCCATTTGTAAATCATTCAGAATTGTCACGCTTTCTGTGTATCTGTGATTGGTATCTCGCAGGTAATTGCCAAATAAAGTTGGGTTTTTTTCAGGCATCACTTTTGCTGACTTCTATGGTAGTGCAGTAATTGGAGGAAAAAAAAACTTTGGGTGGCAAGTGATTAGATTTGTACCCCTCTCTCTCTGAATAAAGTGTCTTGTTTTTTTAAATTCTCTCATTCTCTCCAAAAAACACAAAAACGGAAAATGCCACAGCACACCAACGTCAAAACCTTATGCCAGCTGTGAAACTTGGCGGTAAGAGCATCATGGTATGGGTGAGCCTTAGTACTGGACATCTATCATCAATGGAAAAATAACATTTTGCAGAAGAATTTAAAGCGATCTGTCCAACAGTTGACGCTGAAACGAGTGACAACGATCCAGAATATAAATCCAAGGGTCCCGCCCTGTCTTTTGAATGTTATACTCTATAAAAATATGAAACATATTTGCGTGTGTGTTTATTCTTGCGATTTTGACAATGACTAAATTATTTTTTTAAATTGCGCAGCAACAATGATTTGTTTACAAACCCGCTTTTCGACAGAATATATTTCTTATTGTAAACGTCTGCTTTTAAGCCATTTTTTAAATGTCAAAAAATATTTGTGTGTACCTAACGTGTGCAAGAAAACTGTTGGTATTGATTTTCCTCACATCGTTCTATATCGATTCGTATTTGCTTCGCGATACAATTTGGTCTGGTTGTTAAAATATCGCGATACTCTCGTGTCACATGTGTCACAACCATCCACAGCGTGCACTCCTTTATTACAGGAAACGAGTTACAGTAATCGACGAGAACTCACACGCTTCCCCCCCACTGGAGAGAGAGCGAGGCGCAGTCCCCCTCTTCTCCCCGTCACATGCACCATCCGCGCGGGGCTCAGTGAACCAGCGCACACCGAGGGGGGTCGCAGCGGTAAGACAGAGACCCACAATCCGGGTTCGAAAGCCGGCTGCAGTTTTTTTTTCCCCCTTCCTCGTCGACGAGACTTGCCCTACTTTTCGTCGTCTTTTCGAGTTAAAAAATGGATTTCATGTGGCCATGAAGTGAAACTCCGCCATATTCGGCACATCCACCACGCCCGCCGTCCGTCCAAAAAACTTCTTCGCTTCACTTCATTTAGCACTTAAAGTGTTATAATAAGGTAAAAAGTCAACTTTCGTGAGTTATGCTGTGCTTCTAAGAGAGCCGAATTGTTGTTGTGCCACGAGCGCCCCCCCACACCCCTACCACCTTATCCCAATCTCCCTCTTCGCCTAAACGGCATCATGTTTTTGTCCGTGCCCAGGGAGGCGACGCCTGAAGCCGGGCACGATGACCCTGATGGCGGCGGGGGCTTGCTGCCTCAGCCCGGAGGCCAAAGAAGCTCGGAGGATCAACGACGAGATCGAGAGGCAGCTCCGCCGAGACAAGAGAGACTCGAGACGGGAATACAAGCTCCTCTTGCTCGGTAAATGAAGTCATGCCCGCACTTCAAAACATAACTAATCAATATATATACACATGGTTGTGTCTTTAAGCAATGTCGTGAGGCATATAATTACATCTTTGTGCTCTGCTGCAACGTGTTTGGTTACACAATCGTTCATAAATGTCATGTGTGCTTGACGGACGAGAGCGAAGAGCCGCTGCGAGTGTAAAATATTCAAGTGAAAAAAAGTATTTGTCCCCTCCGGGTGCGACATTTCTAGGTATTGACGTGTTTTTGGACTGGACTTAAAAATAAAATCAGTGCTTTCAAAGTTAAACACTAGTTACTTAAAAATTGCCAAGTCAAAAGTTGAGCACCATATAACATTTAGCTACATAATGTAAAAACATATCTATATGTTTTTTTTTTAAGTTAAATTTTGATACTGTGCCGTTGAGAAGTACTCACCATATAGTAGTTGATACTATTGCTACTTCCAGGGCACCAAGATCAATGACCCCGACCAATTTTGGAATCCTTTCAAATATGAAGTTCACCAGATTTAGAGATTGGTATCAAAAGCCGCAGAAGATATTAAAACCATTTTTGGAACACTCCTATTAGGTTTAGGGTGGGGATGGTACCTGACGATTGACATCCACAAAATTCAAGTTTTGGAATCAACAGATGTGCAAAGTATAAAACAGCTGATCTGTACTTTTTTGGAACCCTTTTCCTTGAGGTACCAACCTGGGGTACCAGAGGCAGCACAACACCTAACAGGTGGAGTTCACCACACACATAGCTGAACTTCACGAGGGTTGCGGGTGTGCTGGAGGCAGCTAACTTGGAACAGTAGGCGGGGTACACCCTAAACTCATTAAATACCTTCTGATACGCTCAGGGAGGGCAAAATCACATTCTTCACACACGTGTTACACGAGTAAAATTGACTGACGTTTACAACTTTACAATTTTTATAACGCTACTATCCAGGTACCAACTGTAACAGTATGCTTCTTGAAAGTAAAGCATTTCATTTGATAATTTATGGAGCCCTCCTGTTGGGCCAACAATTAAAAAAGAAAAGTTTTGAACTGTATGTTTTATTTTCCAGGGACCGGCGAGAGCGGTAAGAGCACATTCATCAAGCAAATGAGGATCATCCACGGCCGAGGTTACTCTGACGAGGACAAACGGGCCTTCACCAAGCTGGTGTACCAGAACATTTTCACTGCCATGCAGGCAATGATTCAGGCCATGAAGACACTCCGGATCCCCTACAAGTACCAGTACAACAAGGTACAAGAAGCACACACATACTTGGGAGCTTTTATTGTCAGTTTATACAATCGAAGGGGGGCGGCGATTGCTGCATGCTTTTAACGGCCCAGTGGAGCACTTTTGGTTATATGCGGCCATGTTTATTTTTGTAGTTCTGGTGCCAGATACACGCAGGGAACAAGCTTGGTCCTGTTGCAGTGTTTACACTGACAACCATATTTTTTTTTCTCCAGTCAAACCCCATTTATTTTTTTAATATACATCTATCACACTGAAAAATTTTTTGTCACACTGAACCAAATGGCCGTTGTGCGGCCACCCAAAGGCAAATCAGTGTGACACGAATTCTAGTGGTTTTTCGCAGAGGATAAAGAATGTATGACCGAGGACTGTTAATTTTCTGTCTGTGTGTGTGTTGCCGCACTGTTTGTGCACAGTCTGTTGGTTAACTGGTTATTGCGTTGCAGCATAGATGCTATTCAGCGTTAGCATTGAGATAGCGGACTGAAGAGGCTAAGCTAGGGAGTTGTTTTACTTTGTAAACATACACGGTGCAATTGAATCAATTCAGATTATTTCTCTGCTCTGTGGGGAACAGTTATTATTGTAGCTTAATTGGGGACCCCAAAATTTCACATAGGAGCAACAACATTCAGCTTATTCCCATACTATTGTTATTCTGTTGAAATCTACATCGAACTTAAGTTTTGTATGACTTCTATACTTATATTACACTTTTCTTTTCCCACGTAAAATGCGAAAACATGGTTGAAAAGTTGTAATTTTACTTCAAAAAGTCCCTAAATTACAATTTATTCGTAAAATGACAACATCCAAAGTCTTTTTCATACTTAAAAAAAAAAAACTTACTTTATTCCAACTTTTCTCGCAAAGGAGACTTTTTATCATATGATTGACTTTTCTCTTAAAAATTACAACTATTTACTTTACCTACACATTTTTTTTTAAATGAATGTAATTGAATAAGTGCCCAGTGCAACCTCATTGTTTCTTGTCAAAATCGATTGCGCCGTACAAAAACGTTTTTTCTCACTGAAAGAACTGAGACGCTTCATTCAATGACGTTACAGTATTCTCATCAAATGGTTACCTGTTTTCCCCGGTAAAATGGCAACTGTTTTTTTCCAACCCTGTGACTTTACTCTCACACGTGAGAGACACGTGGCTGTTTAATGGAGGCGACAGCGGCTGATTAGTGACTCCAATTAGCTCACCCACATAAGCACACAGAGCACCGAGTTCCAGGTAGAGATCAGGAAAGTCCCCAGGGGGAGAATGCTTCACTTTCATAGGCGTGTATGCGCGCGTGTGTTTTGTCACGTCACCGTAGCCGATTCCGAGTTAGCACGTGTGTGTTGTTGAAGTGAAATCGTAAAGGAAAACACAGAGGACGGGCACACATCATCTGCGTGCGGCTGTATGAGCGCTTGGCTCACCTTAACTAAAAGCAAAGTCGCTAATTATTACGCAAATGAGCCGTCTGGGAAAAAGTCCCTTGAAATGTGAGTGGAACGAGTGCGTAGCTTAATATTATTAATATCTCAATCCAGCTTCGGCAGTTGTCATTTTGTCCCTTTGTCGCTGTTTGTTATTGCCAGTTTGAGTCATGTGGTAAATCATTGCAGACGAAGTCCAAAGTTGGGCTAACTAAAATTGTAATTAGGGATTTTTGATACCACTTGTTTTCAGACAGACACCAGTTTGAATGTTTTTTTCTCTTTGACTGCACACTGACACCGAGTAGCGATACCACTAATATTTATGATCATATAAAATGTCAGATGATGATTCATCGATGTGTCAAACTCCCGCAGTATAGCGCCAACTACTGCCCGGGAGGAATTACTTGATGTCAGATCTCTTAAGTATCGGCGGATGGTGTCGGCAGCCTCCACGAGTACCAATACCCTCAAGTGAGGCCGGTATCGGCCCAATACCGATATTTGGAATCGTACTCGACCATCTCTTGTACTAATACAGCCTAACGTTTTCCTTAAATCAAGAGAAGGGTTGTGAAATATTACACAGAGGACCAAAGTATCAAATCCACCTGTCACTGCTTTCTGTATAAAAGCCAAGCAAGTGGTGGAGCCTGGCAGTTGAGCCAGATCCGTTTGAAAGAGGCTGAAGATAGCTGAGCCGCACCACGTTTTTTTCAAATTTTTCTCTCGGCTTGCAAAACAAAAGCTGCACCGTCCGTGAAAGCCCCAAGAATCCAAATTACGAACGGTTCGCCTTCAGTCAAGCCCGCACAAGAGGCACAAAATAGCTCCAGAATATCCTCTTTCAGTGCCGGTGTAAAATGGCGTCCACCTGGCCTTGTGCGTTGACGGGAAGTATTGGCTGCCAGGCGGAGAGGCAGAGCATTAAGGGCGGCCCAAGATTCCAGGAAGACATCCGTCGGCCAAGCTCGGGTAGATTATCTCAACAAGATTTTACCCGGAACTCTGCAGCGGCGGCACTTAGGCTGCCCGCTAAATGCATTTCAACGGAAGCGCTCGATGTACTCCTGCAACAATTAGACGCCAAACATCAAAGACACACACGGAGAGAGAGAGAAAGAGAAACAGTGTGTGTTCTGTGGTAGTCCTGCTCTAAGTCTGTTGTTTATGGGGAACTTCACTGGATGTGCTGAGTCAAGTCGTGCGGAAGTTTTTGTCATGAGAGAAAAGGAGGTCAAGTGTAGTTTTGACATGTGCGGTCTTGCTCATGATTGAATTGGTTGCTCCCTCGCAAAAGCAACGACACAATACAGACAGGTTGCGGGAGAACCACACACACACACACACACACACACGGACAACAATTCATTGCATAACAACTGTGAATGTAAATACAGCGTATACCGCGGTTACAGTGTGCTATTGATACATCTGAATTTACACTGCGGGTGCGAGTGGACAATATTTCAGATTTTTTTTGGGGGGGGGGGTCTTACATACAGTGATGCGAAATCCAATTGCTTTCTTTCCCTTGTCTGTACTTGAGAATGTATTTTTCTGACGACCCTTTTCTTTCATCCCCTTACATTTTTAAGCACGTCTTTCTGCTTCTTACTTGGTTTAAAAAAAAAAAAAAAAAACGAGGGGGGGGGCAGATTACTTTTTCAACATCCCCGAAAGACGACAGATGTAAAAAAGACATAATGACCTCAACTGGGGGTTCTATCTTGATTGATTGAGATCCTAAGGATTTATAATGATGTAAAAAAAAAAAAATGGAGGGCAGAGAACGAGTGAGTCTTAATGACGATGACGCAATCGATCGGGAGACGCAAGGTCCCCATCCGTGGCTTTATTCAAGAGATTTATTTATTGATTTTTTTTTTATGTTGGCAATTAGAAGAATAATTAAGTGTGGGTTGAACTGAGTAGTGGATGTGTCGACTTTATCACGCAGTAATGACAATTCTAGCTAGAGGTCAATTAATCGCCGGTCACATGTTTTGGCAACAAAACGTGCCTCAAGCGTAGGGTAATATTTTACCCAAAAGTGAGACTGATATCCAGGTCACTTTCAAAATATGCACGTTTATCCTCAAATATACCAGAAGCACAAGTGCTACCACCACCCGCCCCCTCCCCCATGGAAAAAGGCATCTGTGAAAACCAGTGCACAAGCAGCCTCATATTCAATCAAATAAATAGTTAATGTCGCCAAAGGAAACATCCAGCTTGTGTTTCTCTTAACTGTCGGTTGAATGCCAACCTCGGTTAAAATTTACTGTCAGACTCAATATAAACCGAGAGAGCAACCCAGGTTGTGTTTTTCAAACAAATGCATAGCTCAGCCTTTAGTCCGCTAGCTTAATTCTAATGCAGTACTCCCGGTCATACGGTGGTACCTCTACTTATGAACGTCTCTTCACATGAAATTTTCAAGTTACGAAACGTCTCAACGGCAAAATATTGCCACTTGTTAGGAAAGAAATTTCAAGATGCGAAAGGTAAAAAAATATATGCTGGCCTGCTACTCGCAGCACCGAATTTCCTGAACGCAACATACTTATAGCTGCTCTGCCATTGGCTATTACCGAGCATCATCCTGGCATCCCATTGGCTAAGAGGGACCTCTACCATATTTGGCTATGTGTGTAGATAGATAGAAATTTGTCTATGCAGCGTCCTCGTCATTGAGGTGTTCCGATAGTTTTACGTAAATGTGAATCACCCAGAAAAAGTGTTCACCAGTCGGGCAATTTCTCACTATGCTGATGTTTGCCTTGGACATTTTCAAAGAATTGTTAGAAGCCGACAAAAGCAAACGTCCTTGGGTCAGTGCTTTATAAAACGCCAGGGAAAATCCACTTCTGAGAGAGAACATGAACGAAAGAGGGCAAAAAAAACCAAGTTAAAAGTTATCATTTTAATTCTTTATTCTTTGTTTTTTTACATCATGGAGAAGTCTCATTTATTTGTTATGTATTTCGATGCATTTTTATGCTTTAGGAAACATTTATGTCTGAATTTTGGGGGGGCTTGGAACGAATTAGGGCATTTACATGGAAAAAGCGTCTCCACTTTCTTTCTCCATTTTCTAGTTAAGAAATTTCTTCCAGAATCAATTAATTTCGTAAGTAGAATCTGTACAGACATAAAGAACGCACACACACGCACACACACACACACACACACACACACACACACACACACACACACACACACACACTATTTTTTGCAAGCACATTGGTATTCATCTAATTTAAAGAGGGCATCTTCATTCACGAATCTCGCAACATTAAAAAAAACAAACAAACTCAGACAACCGGTTTTCTGGTCCACACTTGTTTTCATTATTTATAACAAATCAATAATACGCTTTGCTCTTTACGTGCTTTTGTTCAGGCCAACGCCAGTACAGTCAGCGAAGTGAACGTGGAGACGGTGACGACGTTTACAAAAGCGTACGTGGACGCTATCAGGAGCCTGTGGGCCGACCCGGGGATCCAAGAATGTTACAGTCGCAAAAGAGAATACCAGCTCTCCGACTCGGCCAAATAGTGAGTGTACTGTAAACAGTCGGGGGATACGTGCTGAATACTTTCCATTGTTTTGCACGCCAGCCGCCTGCATGCCTTCTGTGTTTACTCAATTTATTTGTTCTATTTCAACCGAGTACAGTGCTTATAAAAAAAGAAATCTGCGTCTCTAATTTCTTTATATCATGACAAAGTGTTAACCACTCTACCTCAAGTCAATTAAAAAAAAAAAGTATTTTATAATAATCCATGATGCATTTACTTTTATTTTAGCGTGAGCCGTACCTATAAAACCAAACCATTTACCGCTATGTATAATGAATCTTTTTTTTTTTTGTAATACAGATTTTATTGTTTGTGTTTAAGAAATACACAGAAAGAGCACCTTGAAAAAAAAAAATCTCATATTTCGCTATGTCGGCTTAAGCTCAACTTTTTCCCCTGACGCACATCTGCAGCTACCTGAACGACTTGGACCGCATCGCCGACGCCGCGTACCTGCCGTCGCAGCAGGACGTGCTGCGGGTCAGGGTACCCACCACGGGCATCATCGAGTACCCCTTCGACCTGGAGAACATGGTGTTCAGGTGAGTGCTCCGCCCTCCGCTGGGGAGGGGAGGGGGTGGGGGGATAAGCGGGGTCGCCCACAAAGCTTTTGTCTCCGCCGCAGGATGGTGGACGTGGGCGGGCAGCGCTCGGAGAGGAGGAAGTGGATCCACTGTTTTGAGAAAGTGACATCCATCATGTTCCTGGTGGCGCTCAGCGAGTACGACCAAGTGCTGGTGGAGTCGGCACATGAGGTGACGCCCAGCCTTGCGCTTCATTGGCCTGCAGGGGGAGCTCTTTAGTTACTCTCTTTCGGCCTGTTTACAGCTCCCTCCTGCTTTATTTCACAATGTTCTCTTTTTGAAGAATCGCATGGAGGAGAGCATGGCCTTGTTCCGGACAATCATCACCTACGAGTGGTTCGAAGAGTCCTCGGTCATCTTGTTCCTCAACAAGATTGATTTGCTGGAGGAGAAAATCATGCACTCGCATTTGGTCGACTACTTTCCAGAATATAACGGTGAGCAGAGGATAAGGGCCGGCGTTCATTTTTGCAATAATCATCTGATTCATTCACTTTCGAAAGTGAAGGAGGAAGCACCATGATTAAAAAAAGATGTATATATTGCATGATTTAAAAAAAGATGTATACTGTATATTTTTTTTAATAACTACTTCATATAAATGGGAGACATTCAAGTCAAAATTATGTATAGTTCTGGTACATTCTATGACATCATATGAACAAGACAGTGTATAAAATTGGTCAAGCTTGCATTTTGATCACACAAAAGTGATTTAATATATTGTTACAGCTCAGGAAGTGGAAAGTTACCGGGTCAACTTTGTCCCCACTCCAATTCAATATAGTTGCTTTTTAGCTGAGCATTTGTTCAAATACAGTATTGAACTTTTTTTGTGGTCTTTTTTTTTTTTTTCATCGAATAATTTGTTTTTATTTTGTCTTTTATGTAAATGCAGGCTTGAGGGTTGACACTGTGCATGATTTCACAGTATCTTAAAAAAAATATTTTAGTTACTTTGGAGTAATAAAACCTCCGTCTCTGTTATTTATCCTCTGTGAAAAAAAAGGATTATTACTGCATCTTACTGAGCAACTTCGTGTCGTTGAGTGAAACTTTTTTTAATTGGTTAGCATGACTACCACCCGGTGGCCAAGTTGCTTAGACCACAAGAAGCTGCAAATAATCAATCATGACCCACCAACTGTTTAATTTTTTATCAAGTACTATGCTATGGATGCTGGTTTTGAACCAAAACCAGATGTTTTGTACTCAAAAGTTTGGAGCCCCTCAAACCTTAACTGAGGCGTATTAAAAGTAAAGCATTCCACCAATTAGTCCATTGATTTATCTACTCATCGGATATTATGCATTAGTAAAGCCAGTAACATGATTGGGATGTGCAGGGATTATTTTACCCCATGGGGGTCCCCATCCTAACATTCTCCTGTAGTATTTGTGACTTTGAGTGTGTATACCTTTAAAAGGCGCTGTCATGCCTGGTGAGTGACGTGGGCGGCAGTGAATGACAGTGAAGTTGCTCGTTTGAAGAACATTCTTATGCTCCCTCAGAAATTGCAACATTACATTGGCGACTTTGTTTCCCCTTACATGTCGATGGCGCGAAAATTATAAAAATAATAATTAAAAATAACAAAACCTTTATTCGTGTCACAATGGAGAAATTCCAAATTTACAATGTGAAAGAGGCGTACAAATGTCGCCTTTAAGGTGCTTTTTTTTGTGTGATTGATGGCTTCTTGTGTGCACTTCCCCCCCTCCCCACTCTGCAGGTCCGCAGCGGGACGTGAAGGCGGGCCAGGAGTTCATCCTGAACATGTTCGTCAACCTGCACCCCAACCGCAAGAAGCTCATCTACTATCACTTCACCTGCGCCACCGACACGGACAACATCCGCTTCGTCTTCCACGCCGTCAAGGACCATATCCTGCAAGGCAACCTTGAAGACTACAACTTGGTGTGAAGCGGAGGTATGGCGTCAGGGGTCCGCCGTGTGGCGGGGCGGTGGGGGGGGATGCCTGAAAGCCCTCGCTATTTGACCACTATGATGCAAGATGGCGGCAACGGAGCACCCAATGATGGTACTACTGATGTATTCAAACCTTTGGTCACTAAACTGCTGCCCGAGTGGACGAAGCGTACAGGAATCTCACCGAGCAGGGGTCAGCGGATGACTGCGTGTGGTCACAGAGGGACTACTTTTTGCGCGGGTGCGAGTCGGTTTCACATTGAAGTGGAAAATCCGTGTTATAGCTCGTGTGTACTAAAGAGAAGCCAGTATGGAAAGCCATTTGAGCATTCATTCCATATCCTTAATATCGAGTTGATATGAAAGGGGAAGGTCAAGTCCCCCTCCAAAATTATTTTCGATGAGTCTGACAGGGTATTCTGATTAATATTGCATTGATGAAATAAGAACGAATGCAACCATTTTCATCTATCAATAGGCACAGTCATTTTGACATTCTACTGCAACTTGCGCTCGACAGAAATTGACGTCAACGAGCACTCGTAACCAAAAAAAAATTGGTTTGGTGAACTGAAATCTTTGCGTATGATAAATATGCCAAGGCCACAGAAATCAGGGAGGGGGCAAATTGTTTTTCACGGCACTGTATATGTTATACTGCATATGTGCATACAGTATATATCAAGGATATGGAATAGATGCTCAAACGGCTTGCCATAAGCCAGTTGTAATCAACACTAATTGCACATTTACCTTTTAGGCCTTCACGCGTTTGCACACTTGAGTAACATGTCACCATTTTGGAACACTTAGTTGTGAGGCGGCATCCTTTTGTTTTGTTTTATCTTTTTAAGGTTTTTTTAAGAAAATCCAAATAAGAATGAAAATGTTATGATAAAGTTGTAATTTTCCGTGAATAAGATGGCAAGATTTGGGGGCTCTTTTTTGAGGGGGGAGCCTAATTTTAACATTGTACTAAAAAGACTTACAACAACAACAACAACAAAAAGGTACAGTACTATTGTGAGAAAACACTGGTAACAGTTGCAAAAATAATGCCATTGCAATTTCTTGCTTACATTTTTTTTCATGTTTTAAGTTCTCATGCAAAGAGAATAGTCTATCACAAGATTTTTTTTTTGTGAAAAAAAAGTACCATTACTTTGTGAACTATATCCTTGTACACTATTTACAACCTTATTCTCGTAACGTTCCACATCTTGTTTTTATAAAATGATGATCTCATCCGCTAATAGTTATGACTTTCCTGTACAGTTTTACTTGTTAAATTTCAACTTTTTTTCCCCGTCATACATCTCTTTCTTGTAAAATTGGGACTTACCACTTTTATTTGAGGGAAATTTGCCATTTTTCTTAAAATATAACGTTTAACTGTTGTGTTTGCCACACCGGGGGAAAAAAATAATAAAAATATATTGTGAGAAAACAATTGTAAAATTGTGACAATAATAGTCAGAATGTTTGACCCATAAAAAATAAAAGTTGTGACATGATGAATAAAGTTGGAATATTAGAGAAAAAGTCAAAACTTTGTTCATGGGCTCATAATTTAGTCAGAGCAGATGAAATTCCATGCGAATAAAATTGCAATTTGACCAAAAAAGCTGTAATAGTCAGTGGGAAAAAAAGTGGTGAAATTTAAACAATGAAATAAAAAAAGTTAATATCAGAACATTCACCCATTTTCGAATCCGCTTCTCCTCACAAGGGTCGCTGGGCGTGCTGGAGCCTATCCCAGCTGTCTTTGGGCACTAGGCGGGGGACACCCTGAACTGGTTGGCAGCCAATCGCAGGGCACACATAGAAAAACAACCCTCTGCGTTCATAGTCACGCCTAGTGACAATTTAGAGTGTTCCATTAACCTGCCATGCATGTTTTTGGAATGTGGGCGGAAACCGGAGTATCCGGAGAAAACTCACGCAGGTACGGGGAGAACATGCAAACTCCACACAGAAAGGCCCGGTCATGACGAATATTGTCAATTATGAGTTTTTCCTTAACTTTCAATGTTCGCATTTCACTTTCTTGTTTTTTTACTTATTTTCAGTGTGTCCCTTATTGTCCACTTTCATGCACATCAACACATTTCAAAGGGAATAATACCGTGTTACATTTTTTTTTTTTTTTTTTTTTGCAGGGGGCGGGCAATGATTGTATCAAGCTGCAGTCATGTCATTTGTAATCTGCCAAACTGGCTTTAGAAGTGGGCCTATATTTTTTTTGGAATGCGCACTCTAAATATGACACAGTGTGGCAATCGCATTCACAAGAAGCTAAGCGTAGAGAGAAAAGTGTTAAATGTGTGTTAAATAACCTCTCAGGCATTACATGAGTGCAGTCTTGATCTCAGTTGAAGTGCTGTTTAAATTGTTGAAGTCAATGAATAAAAGCCTAATTAGAGCAGATGGGGTTGCACCAGTGTTGACATGACCTCTTGTCTTCTTCTTAAAAATAATTGCCATCTAATTTATGCTTGAATTTCACTCACTGCAATTGATGTTTTATGCAGCATCCGTGTGAGCGTCTGTGAGATTATTTGAATAAAGTCAAAATCTTGGTCGTGGCTGGTGTATTTGTGTGTTTGCAAACGGTGTAGCATCAAGTTTCACCATCACGAGTTTTTTTGTTGATGCTCAGCACTGAGATTTTGTCCACAGGAAGTAGTGATGTATAAGGAAACAACTACCTTTGCCTTTAAAAAAAAAACAAAAAAAAAACAGCTAGCTTGATGCTAACAAGCAATGCAAACCACCATAAAGGCGCTAATGAATAGCATCAATATGGCGCTGTGAATTCAGAACTTCTGATTAATAAAAAAAAAAAAATCCGAATGAATAAAACTGCAGTACTACTCTTTTTGTAACAGTGGCAACGTAAGATGGCTGTCGTCTGATTTTAGCCACAAGGCGCCAATTTGGTATTCCATTCATATATAGTGAGTGCCAAGGACTCATCTTCCCACGGCCACATGACCAAATCCAAAAAACAGGTGAGCTGTGATTGCTCGTTACCTGAGCAACTGTGATGTCATTTTCAGTCGACAGCAAGTGGCAGAATGGCCGCCGTCCGAGATGAACAAAAATGGGTGGATTTTTGCTTCTTAGTACATATCCCAAAACGCAGCTTAAGACCTCTGCGTCTGAATGTACAGCATCTTGTGTACTTTTTTTTACGTAGCAAAACAACTATGCTAAAAGTCACGAAACATTGACCAGATGGACGTTTATCCAGAAATTTTGCGAGGAAGAGGAAGTAGCGTGATTAAAACCGAGAAATTGGCTCCCGCCCCATTGGGTGATACGCCTTCATTCTTCAGGACACCCATAAGTAAACTCCCTTTCTGGAGCCCCGCCAATACCATTTAGAAAACATTTGACAGCGTCTTATTTGAGCAGGCGGAAACAGACATCCGTTGTCGAGGTCCCTCTTTGGAGCCGTTTGTCCTTCTCCGCTGCCTCACCCACCCGACAGGAATGTGGCTCCACACCTGAGCGGAGGCCAAAAGAGTAACAGGCTACATCGACACTTGGAGGCTGCTGGTGTCGCCATGGACTGTTGCCTGGCACTTTGCCTGAGCCCCGAAGAGGCCGAGAGGCGCAGGATCAACTTGGCCATTGAGAGGCAACTGGAACATGACAAGAAACAGAACCAACGGTCCATCAAACTCCTCTTTCTGGGTGAGACTTTGCCTTCAACGTCGTAAAATTGTAATTTGGATTAGATTTAGTTTAATATTTTCGAATTAAAGAAAGCAATTTGGTTTGTTTTCCCATTAAAAATGGTCGCCCAAAACGTATTTTTTCCCTGTAAAATGACAAATGCATAAAAATATTTCGCAATCCGTGCATCTGTTTAATACATGGCATTGCGATTCGGTCCGATATGGTCTGGCTGAGTTTTAGAGGGTAGGATGCCATGAGTTTCTTGTCATTTTACCTCATGAATGAACTTAGGCAAGTAATATCTCTTCAATAAAAGACGATTTTATTCGTTTCGCCACAGATTTTAAACGGGAATAATTCCATTCTGTTATATGTGATGCGCTCAAATCTTTTCAATGAAAACCAATTCCCCGATTCAAATAGTTTCTTTTATGTTACACCCAAATATTGTGAGCATAACAATGCTGCAATGTAATGTATTTTCTTTTTTGGTGGAGTTTCAAATGAAAAACCAAGTTGTTTATTGACAAAAAAAAATCCACTTTAAATAAATATTTGTAAATAAAGACAATTGCATCACATAACAATCTTGAGATATAATGCATGTGTTTTTGCAGTGCAAAGTATCTTGTACAAATATTCCCATTTTAAATGATCAGCACAAAAATATCTGGCGATGGAAGCATTGTCACTGTGCAATGAAAAGAACGTATCCTCAAATTTTGTTACATTCTTTTCTTTTTCAGATTAAAAAAAAAAGTTTTCAATGTTTGTCTTTCCAGATTATAAACCAAGCATATCAATTCTGTGATAAAATTCTAGTAATCCCTTAGTTTTTACCTTCACTTTCATTTTGGTTGTTTTCTCAAATAAATATTGTAAGACTGACAATCCAAGTACATAAATACAAGGAATGTTGATGTCCAATGAAAATCATGTATCCCCACTTTGTGTCTTTTGGGATGTTTTGGGGATTCATCGTCATTGTTTTTCAGATAACCCCCACTCCCCTACAAAAATCATAAAACTTTTTTTTACAACCCCATGAAAGGACCTCCTTCTGTCTGTGTGTTTCGGTTTCCAAACAGTCTTATCCAGTTTGTGCTGTTTCTCACAGAGAAAGAATCTTTGTTTCATTATCTCGGCTAATTAATGAGTTTTGAAAGTGATGCATGAGTCAAACTGTCATTCAGCACATTGTATGTTACAAAAAAAAAAAGTTTTATGATGGTTGGGGTTGATTTATTTTTTCAAATAGCTTTGTTCTTGCCTTCCAGGGACAGCGGAGAGCGGCAAGAGCACTTTTCTCAAGCAGATCCGTATCCTCCATGGCAACGGCTACACAGAAACCCAACGGATGACCTTCATTCGCTTGGTGTGCCAGAACATTATCACTGCCATCCAGCACCTCATCGAAGCCATGAAGGTCCTCCGCGTGGACTTTGAGGACGCCAGAAATCTTGTGAGTGAACTCCGCCGCGCTAATTGCGAACCGTACCTTGCTCTTCGGCATTCCATTCTAGTGTGCTGTCATAGTAGCGCGTCTCATTTGGGATTGCATTGGAATTGGGATGACCATGCTAACATACAGCAAGCCTGCATACCGAAAGCACGGAGGCAGATTGAGGAAGACTTGGTGCATTTTCTGCACTGTGAAAAGATCCGCTCCATAGTTTGGTCCGTAACATGTCAGAGAATAGGCAAAAATGTTGATCATTGTTTTCCAAAGCAGATGTTTGCTGATGCCATAGCAACCTGGCAAGGAAAAGTGCTAAGGATTCTGGTGCGATATCTAATCAGAAGAGGTAAACGCTAACAATTAACATGCTAAGATAGCAAGCAACCTGAGTCGAAAAAAAAGTAACAAGGTACTTGGATGAAGATTTGACTTCGGGCCCATGAGTCGGGTACCATTTCTAATTAGACCTAGGGCGTGTTCAGAAATTCAGTCTGACGCGCTAACTCGACTCTCAAGACTGCCAATGTTCTGGGAGGCAGCACTAAAATGCGAATGTGGCAACAATTGTTTTGATAGCAACATAACAAAAACAAGAAAGTTTAAAAAAAAATAGCTGACAGATTAGGATTTGACATCATGCCTTATATTCAGGTACCACTTCTAATAAGCATTGCTCATATGCTAAGCTAATAGTAGCCGTCTCTTATGGGTGTTCTAGGACCTGGCGGAGCGCCTGAGCCAAGTGGAGTCCGAAAGGGTGGAAAGGTTGGAGGGGTGGCAGGTGAAGGCCGTCAAGATGTTGTGGAGCGATCGCGGCCTTCAGCGTTGCTACGAACGAAGACGCGAATTCCAGTTGTCCGATTCGGCAAAATAGTACGTTGTTTGTTCTTTTTTTTTTTTAAATCTGCTCTTATGTGATAAAAGCAAAATAACACAACATATTGATCCCACGGTGTTACAGTTACTTCAGCGACATCGACCGAATCACCGCCCCGGGTTACATCCCTAATTTGCAGGATATCTTGAGAGTCCGCGTCCCCACCACTGGCATAATTGAGTACCCGTTTAGTGTAAAGGATGTTGTCTTCAGGTTAAGTATGACACTGCAGTTTTTTTTGTTGTTTTTGTTTGTTTTTGTTTTTTGGACCCACACATTTTGCAATCATTTTTCTGTCCCATGAAAAAAGATTGATATTAACTTTGACAAAGAAGCGTTTTTGTACTCAGGTTGCTATCTTTGTATATCTTACCATACCACCTGTGAGAATATTAGTATTTATGGCATTTCGCTTTTGCCAGCTTGCTAAATATTACCATGTGAGGTTTTTTTTTTTTTTTTGAGTCTACAAAAAGTACAGGACCAATTACAAAATAAATAAATACAAAACTTAAAAAAAAGTTAATTGATAGACATATTACGTTCACAAGACGAAAGAAAAGTCGAAGAAACCGTTTGAACATGAGATGCTGATTGGTGTGTAGGATGGTGGATGTGGGCGGTCAGCGTGCTGAAAGGAGGAAGTGGATCCACTGCATGGACAATGTCATGTCCATCATCTTCCTGGCCGCCCTCAACGAGTACGACAGCGTCATGCTTGAGAACCCCATGAAAGTAATCTTCAAACCTCCCCCTTTTTTTTTGGGCCTTTTTGGTTTTGTTACAATTTGATCTGCATATTTTGTCGCCCGTGGATTCGAAATTGGATGGATGGATGGATGCATATTTTGTCTTTGTTATTGTGTTTCTTACTCGGTGTCTTCTCTCTCGGCCCGCCAGAATCGGTTGGAAGAGAGCCTGGCTTTGTTTGAGATCATCGTCAAGTACCCGTGGTTTAAGAAGACCTCATTCATCCTTTTCCTGAACAAGAAAGACCTTCTGGAGGAGAAAGTCCTGTATTCGGACGTGGCCACCTACTTCCCTCAGTACCGGGGTACGTACTCCCGCTCTTTTGCCTTCCTCTTCAACACTTTTTTTTTTTCCCCGCATGCCAATGACAACTTTCAAGTCCTACCCACTTCTGTATTCAAAGTCATTCCAAAAGCTTGACAAACATTACCGTGAACATAGCTGTGTTCTGTCATGCGCGTCATCATCCAAAGAAATTGAAAGCAAACAAATAGCACTGTCTGGAAATAGCAGATCTTCACACGTGAACAGGCAAGACTTGTTATTGTCATGTTGTTCAAGTTAAGTTTTTTTTTTTTATGACCCGATACACCCACTTACGCCACCAGGGCCTCGGCAAGATGCCAAACACGCCCGTGAATTCTTCCTGGAACTTTACAAGGCTTTGCACAAGGGCCACGAGAGGCCTATGTACAAGCACTACACCTGCGCCACCGACACCAACAACGCTAAAAATGTCTTCAACGACGTCAAGAACACCGTCTTCATAGAGTTCATTACCTTCAATCCGCTTTAGCCATGTTTTGGCCCGGAAGGTACTTTATGTCATGTTGACGTTTGAAGCCAGCCCATTTAAAAAAAAGGGGAAAGTACTGCACGTTTTCTTACTTTTTTTGGGGAGGGGGTGGGGGGGCGGTGGGTTTATTTTTTATTTTTGCTGATGTTGGTGCGACATTATCAAAACTGGTTCGGCAAAAGTCATCAATGTTGAATTGCGACCAACCTGGCTGGACTTGTGGCTGTGGGAGGAGTAAGTGCAAAAGCGACCGATGTGACAGACAAATGATCCTGCTGCAGCTGTCAGTCACAATGTTCTTATTTTAAGCGTAAAGGGACCAAAAACCGATTAAGTTATTTTATTCATTGTATTTTTGTTACATTTATCGCTTACCTGAATTTTATCCTGCCACGTATCAGAAATGGCCTAAAAAAATCTGTATCGGACGGGCCTTAGAAAAATATCAATGATGTCCTCTACTGCTATTGTTGACGTCAACTCAACTATTACCAAATTAGTGTTGCCCTTAAAAAAAAAAAAGCTGGTTATGCAAACTGCGAGTCAACAGTAAAAATGTCTGGACCTGTTTGCTGCGCTTCAGTTTTTATTTCGCAAAGCCCCCAATTCCAATGAAGTTGTGATGTTGTGTAAAACATAAATTAAAACAGAGTACAATGATTTGAAAATCATTTTCTACCTGTATGCAGTTGAATACACCATAATTAAATTATATCATGTTTCAACTGATAAACTTTACTGAGTTTATTTATTTATTCTTCTTCAAATGTTCACTCACTTTGTATTTGATGCCTGCAACATATTCCCCAAAATCTGGGTGAGGAGGGCATGTTTACCACAGACTTACATCACCTTTCTTTTTTAACAACGCCCAAGAAGCGATTGGGAACCGCAGGCACTAATTGTCAAGGTGCTCATTTTTCAGCCAACAGTGTGGAATTGATTGCGGCATCGAGAAGTAAGGCCAAAGGGAGTGCACAAATTGGCTCTTTGCGACTTGGCTGTTGATTCGAAGTCTCATTGAGGTCAAATGTAGCCGCAGTACCTAGCGTGAGGTTAAGCTACTGTTTAACCGGAGGATGCTCCGGCGGCGCATCACACTGAAGGTGTGGTGACAACCTTTGTACCAAGCAGACACGACTCCACATCCTGCGCAGCCGAAGAACTGCAGCGACCCGGTAAGTGAAAGCACACATTGCAAATTGTCGAAGAAAGAAACATGCAACAATTGGACCCACTGGTGCAAACCTTTTCGAACAGCACATTTTTGTCAAACATGTCACCTTTGAATCATAATGGCCCTAAAAGTTGAAAAGGTTCTGACTGATTGAAGTGCAACCGCTCAGGACAAAGAACTGTGCCAGATTTTACTTTTTATTACTCTATATATAATATATATATATATAGATAGATATATATATTTTGTTGTTCTACTTGTTCCTTTCATAACTTTGCTGCTGTGTATTGGGAATTTCTCCATTGCGAGACTAATAAAGGTTTTCTTATCTTATCTTATCTTATATATATATATATATATATATATAAAATTTAAAAAAATATTTTACAAGTAGCCAGCACTTTTGAAACAACGTGACCATTTCACTACATGGGTTCTTTATTGATTTTCACTCATGGTGAACATGTGTGCCGAATTCCGTGTCAATCCTACACAGCGGTGCTCAATGCTCATATTTGCAAGCAGCAAGAACCAAAATAGCGAACTATCTGATAATTTATTTTTTATTCACTCATGAGTTATGTCTCACAGTGCAGAGGTGTCAGGTCCAATTCCGGCTCTGGCCTTCCTTTGGGGAGTTTGCATGGTCTCCCCCGTGCCTGCTTGGGTTTTCTCCGGGTACTCCGGTTTCTACCCACATTCCAAAAAAAAATGCATGGCAGGTTAATGGAACACTCCAAATTGTCCCTTGAGATTGTGAGAGCGAGTGGTTCTTTGTTTATGTGTGCCCTGCGATTGGCTGGCAACCAGTTCAGAGTGTTCCCTGCCTACTGCCCGAAGACAGCCGGGATTGGCTCCAGCACGCCCACAATGGAGCCCTAATGATTTAAAAAGAAAAAAAAAACAGCAATACCAAAGCTCCTGTCAGCCACACACAAACACATCCTGCCTTTCCAGTTAGGCGCGCTGCCTTGGGGAGGGGGATGGGGTGATGGTGGGCTGTTCTCGGAGCAGGTGGTCGCCCTTATTTGGGCACAGCCCCACTCACGTGACCAGAAAATGGCGGAAGCCACCGGGCGCATGCGAGCCCAGCATCTCCCGAGGTGGAGGAAGAGGAGGAGGCTGGGAGCAGGAAGTAGGCGACGGGAGCTGCTTCTTCTTCCCGGCAGCGGTGAGTCGATGGCAAAATGAGGGAATCAAAATGGGGATGCGATGGGGGAGAAACGGCAACTCAGCATCCTCCATTCAGGATGCTCACTCCTTGCATCTTGTTTCTCCATCTTTACAGCACCGCTCGGATTTTGACTGTTTGTAGCCATAGCAGGAAGTAGCATATTTCCATTCGATGTTTTATTGATTACGTATGTGTTATTTGCATGCCTGTGATCGTGCGGTCCTTTCACCCGAGGCGACGGATGTGGGGGTTGTTGTGACGTAATAAGTCCTCGCGTTCGCACGGCAGCGTGAGCTCCATTTGAAATCTTATTTTGTTGATTGCTGTGTGAAATTTGTGTGATTAAGGTTTGGTATTTTTGTTGTTTCGAGGTCCTCCTGGCGTCACAGATCAAAATGAACTCAGAGGGCAGCGACAGTCGACCTGGTAAGTGCGGATTCGAAAACATATTTCAAATGTTACATATTAATAATGGTCAGCACTCAGGAGTGCATCCGTTTTTTGATATTTTTTAGTTTGTTTTTTGTGGACCCTATCCTCACACGTTCACCGATCATCATTTTGTGCTCTTCATGAAATCCCCTAACACGCCACAAGATTGTACATTTCTGGATCCCTCCAACAAAATCAGCATCGACTATTTTCGCTGTTGTTTCAGTGCCGCCCACCTCGTTGCCCCTCCAAGGAGGCGGCACCCAGCGGAAGAAACTGTCGGCCCCCCGCATCAGCCTCTCGCTGGACCAGAGCGAGGACGACTTGGGCGAGACGCCTGACGACCTTGACATCAACGTCGATGACCTCGACACTCCGGACGAGGGTGATTACCTGGACTACACGGACCACGAGATGGACTGGGACGGTAGGTCGGACGGAAATCTGACGGAAATCCGACAGTTGTGACACTTTGACGTGTTTTCAGATCCAAAAGCGGAGAGCCGGGGTCGTACGACGAGTGAGTCGTCCGAACCCATCCCGACGTACGGCGCCGAGGACGAGCGTCAGGACGTCAAGCTGTGGCGGACGGTGGTCATAGGCGAGCAAGAGCATCGCATCAACATGAAGATCATCGAGCCCTACATGCGAGTCATCTCCCACGGAGGTCCATCATCCAAAATATGAACACGGAATTTTGTCCACATGCAATAGCGTTGTCGTTTGTCGAAAAAAAAAAAAATCAAGATAACTCTAAAATCGCACTACTTTTTAAGTATACAATACAGATAGGCTCTGTATAGCCTAGAAGTGTGTAATTATATTTAGAACAAAAACCAAACAAACCAAAAAAAAGACTTCATTTTTTGCTGAACTTTAAACGTGTTTGTTCATCTTTGCGCAAAAAAAAAAAAAAAAACATGCATAAATGAGCTATGCGCTCTGCGTGCGCTTTGTATATTTCCACAGAGGAAGGAATATTCCACAACAAATAATGACATTAACTCCTTTTTCTTATGTTTAAAAAAAAAAATCAATTTAGGGTATTACGGCAATGGCGTGAATGCCATCATCGTGTTTGCCGCTTGTTTCCTGCCAGACAGTGACCGAGACGACTACCACGACATCATGGAGAACCTTTTCCTGTGAGTGCACGACCAACATTTCCACTGCGGCGTTGCGTTTTTGTATCAAGCGTACACTTCTCTATTACTACCGAAACCACATCACCGATAATCACTCTCAGAACTATCACTACTATTTACACTGTGACCACTATGATAACACGACATAATAGTTAGCAATAGCATTGCCAATTAGCCCGTGCGCAAATGTGAGCTAGTTAAAAGATGGTCAATCGACGCCCGTCCATTTGTAGCATGCCACCGACAGGACTGTCATGAAAAATTAAGTAAATCTACATTCAGAAAAAAAAAAGAAAATGAGCGGACGCTGCTTGCTGAGTTTTTCCCCTCGCGGCTAACAAACAGTTCCACGCTCGCACCTTTCTTCTCTCCGCGCGGCGTCACTTAACACCGGACGACAGCTATCCTGCCAGAAGGAAGTCGGGGAAATAAATAAAGCGTGCAACCAAATAAGTCGAGCTAGGTCGCTAATGTCCACGAGCACAGTTTAGGGAGTTAGCGTGTGGCTTCATACACGTTTTGACACACGCCCGGCAAAATGGACACTCCGTGCCTTTTGATTTTGTTTCGTGAGTGTGGTAGGAGTTGGCGTAATAGTGCGCTTCCTATTCCGCCAACACCTACCACACAAACACTTCGCATTTTAGCATTGTGTGTGTGTGTTCAGCTACGTGATTAGCACTTTGGAGCTGATGGTGGCAGAGGACTACATGATCGTGTACCTCAACGGGGCCACGCCCCACAGAAGAATGCCCGGCCTGGGTTGGCTGAAGAAGTGCTACCAGATGATTGACAGAAGGTGAACTTTTCAACGCCTTTGAAGGTCAGGTTGGAAAGAAAAACGCTAACGTGTGCTTTGTCGTCACTCAGGCTCAGGAAGAACTTGAAGTCGTTCATCATCCTACATCCGTCGTGGTTTATCAGGACCATCCTGGCCATCACGAAGCCATTCATCAGGTACGCAGCGTTATCCCTGATGTTGTCGTATTGTTCATTGAAGTGTCTTTGACGATAGGATCTTTGCTTTTGTTGTTGTATTTGTTTTGCAAATCATTTGACTTGAGAGTTGTCTTTTGATGTTGTTGGTTTTGTTTGGTTTTGATTTGAAGCACTGAGCTTGAGTGATCTCTTGGCAGTTTTGTTTGGGTGAGGTGTCTTTGAAGTTTTTTTTTTGAGGACTTAACTTTTGTTGCGTGTTACTGATGTTGCAGAATTGCACAAGGCTTTGAAATGTTGGTGTCTTTAATGTGCAGTTTGTTTGTTGGAGGCTTTTTACCTTTAGAGGTATCTTTGATGTTTCCCCTTTTTTATATTTTGTTAACAGTTGGCTGTGACGTCGCCATTCTGTTTTAGTAAACGATATCGTTCTTTAGTTTGCGCAAACGATTGAACTTCTGAGGTATCTTGTCCACCACGGCTTTGCACTTGAAAGGTGTTCATTTGTTTTGTTCGAGTCATGAAACTTGGAGGTGTCTTTGATGCTGTCTGTTGTCTTGCACGTGTCGTGTTGACGCCCGCGACGCCGTATCGCAGCACCAAATTCAGCAGCAAAATCAAGTATGTGAGCAGCTTGGACGAACTGCAGGAGCTCATCCCCATGGACAGTGTCCACATCCCAGAGTGCATCATTAGGTGAGAACTTCACAGGCACGCCCATGCGCGCTCAAACGCACAAATCACCCTCACCAGAACCCCAACCATAGATGTGATCTTCCATTCATCTTTTCACCTTCCAGACTGGACCAAGAACTCAAAGAAGCCGGAGAGAATTCCAAGTGAGTAACACACAACCACTACCACTTCATCAAATGTTTTGAGACAATTCCTCAAAAGTCTTAAAAAAAAGGTTATTATATTGAAAAAAAAGACATACCGTAGTGAAAAAAACCCATTACTAGTTAGTTAGTTCTACTACTGTGCTGAATTATCTCACTTGTGGGGACCAAGAGTGTGCCGGTGCTAATCTCAGCAAACAACTTGCGCGGCGTCCGGCGTTGCGAAGATGCGGTGGTTTACCGGCTGATGTACGACGGCGCTAACAAAAGCAAACGAGGCATCTCTTTGCCTTCTTGTACGATTTACGGCCGCAAATAAAAATTTGCGGCTGATGAATCACGCCGGAGAAAATCCCGGCCTCCATAAATCACCAGTCGCGCTCTGCTGGAAAGAGAAGCACTCCATTATGTTTTGTGTCTTTCATTGCAGAGTGAATAGTTTTCTGCTGGGAACTGAGCCAACACGGTCAGTGTGCGCGCGAGTGAGAATGTGTTGCGGGTCACCCTGTGTTTATGTGAGAGCATGCATGAGTGTGCGTGGCGGACGAGCGATGTTTTGTGTGGTTGTGTGTGTCGCCAAATTAGAGAGGGGAGCGTCTGCGCATGAGAGCGAATGTATCAAAATGTGGGTGTGTGATAGAGAGCACGCAAGGGATGGCATGTGTGTGAGGGTCTGTGTGTCCATGTTGTGTTTGCGTGTGTGTGTGTGTGTGTGCATTCTTTTATGTAACACTCAATTTGTGTTCCCAGCAGAGAAAACGAGGCAGGTGCCAGCGCTCCTTAAACTTGGAAGTCAACGTGGGTGTGTGTGGGTGTGGGTGTGGGTGTGTGTACTTCTTCTTATGACACCACAACTTGGATGAGTTGGACTGGTACACGTACACAGCAAGCGGTCACCGGTGAGCGCGCGCGCCGCGGGTGCGCGCATGCAGTGATGTCATCCACTTGTGCACAAGACAGGAAGTGAAGCAATAATAATGTCCCACTACTCCCACATATCAGTATTTCAGAGTAAGACGTGTGCTTTCAGAGTAAAAAGGCTTAAGGTGTGCTCCACCACTGTCACAAGTGGACTTGAATGCGTGATGGTTGGCGCATGCTGGACACTTCATTGGGTACACGTGACCAGCCTAATAATGGCGTCAATTTGATCATAAATATCAGTAATGTTTTATCATTAAAAAATGGTGCAGTATATTTAAAAAAAAACTTTTAGCACAGAATATTAAAAATAAAAAATAAAAATACATGAGTAGAAAGTTTCCAATATTTTATTTTAAAAAATCAATTGCTTTTATTTTTAAAAATATCAGAGCTGTCTGTACTATTATGGTTGTCTCATTTAGCCACAGATCCAAAATACTAGAACCAAAATATTAGAAGCAAAATCCATCCATTTTTAATAAATACCTGTCGTACCCACTGATGTGTCCGTCCTGTTAGAGATGATTTTAGCTTCACAAAGTCAATCAATAATAACAACTAGCACGTCCTAATGACGAGTGGTCACGTAAAGACAAATCAAATCTTGATGACGAATAAGCACAACCTGTCTTATGAACGTGCGTGCGTATGCGTGTGTGTTTGTGTGTGCGCGTGCCTTTTGTGCATAGCCGTGCATGTAGCCTTCGAGTCACACAAATGCACTTGTAGTTCAATAAACCATAGACTCGTGTCTGAGCGATGGCTTCCGTCTGATTCTTTGTCAGCACGTACGCTCCCGTGGCTTTCACTTCGAACTTTCCTGAAGTGGAGCGAGTCCGCGCCAGTTCTATTTATCAAAACTGGAAGTTAGACCACAGACGGGGAACTTGAATGATGGGGGAGGAGGAGGGTGTCACAATTTTTCATCTGTGCTACCAGGGGGGACCACGCAACATACTTCCTAACCAGATGTATGAAGGGGAATTAAATAAATATGGACAAAATATGTGCCCGAAACATTTTTAGATCATACATTTTTTACTGCATGTACAGAAGATCCACTATTCCAATGCAAACAGCAAAATAACCACAAACTATCTTCCCCCCCCAGTGCAAGAAAAATTACCATTCAAGGATGGCACAAAACTGCTGAACTTCAAATCAACATTAAGCGCAGGAACTCATTTTGTACATTTCTTCACAAAAATCATCTCACTCAAGAATGTTATTATTGAGGTACTATTATTGTTCTGCATATTCCAAATCCACCCCCCAAAAATCTAGGGCATGTTTGCCATCTAGTGGTGATTGGTGATATTACAACTTAAACCCTGCATGAAATCCATTGGGGTTTTTCTTTTTAATCAAGGGGTCACTCAAACTGTGGCCTCCAAACTACCAGTTGCCCATCTCTGAGTTAAACCATTATTCATCTGAAAGATATACTTTGTGCTTCAAGTTTTGCAGCTTCAGTGTTTCACCGACATCGTGGACAGCGGCTCTCCCCATCCAGCTTACTCTCACATGTCCATAGACGTAACTGGTCTGTTGTCAATTGCCTGTAGTCTCTGACTTTCACCAACAGAGGGTGCTAACATACTGTGAAACAGCCGCGAAATCCTTGTTCACATTGAACTGTATGGAAACATCACATCCAATTTGGGGGGGGCAAATTCTACTTCGCGGTTATTCAGTTTGCGGGGCTGTTTCAGGTCCCAGTTAACCGCAAAAAACAAGGGATTACTGTAACTTTCCTCAATTAATTTCTGCCCTTAAAATTGAGTTTGGTTTTATATCTCAGGTAAATTTAAAGTGAAGTAAATTTAAGTTCGACCAACATTCATGGTTGATAAAGAACAAATGATGACGGTTGCACACTTTTATAGAGTTATATCAATAATGAAGAAGTCATCAAAATAATTTGGATATTTCTAATTCTTATTTTAGGTGGGAAACAAAGACCCGATTCATGGATGTGTAGCTCTCGTCGTCGTACTCCAAATCGTCGTCTCCCAGTTGTCCATAGCGGAACTTCCTGTAGACGGTCCCGTCCTGACTCATATACACAATGTCCTCCTCGTCCTCATCTTCATCCCCTTTTGCGACCGAATAGCTGGCGCCCAAGTCCACCATCTGCGTGCCTTTGTAGTAAGACGAGGAGGAGCAGTTGCCGGCAGAACTGGAGCCGGAACTGGAACCCAACTTCTCGTAGCCGTGCGGGCTCCCCTCCGTAGGCACCCTCTTGGAGCGAAAGCGCTGGATTAGGAAGATAGCGGCGCCGCCGGTGAGTCCGCCCACTAGAAGGATACACGCCATGATGAAGACCACCAGGTTGCCTCTCGTCTCCTCTTCCTCCACTTCCTCTTCCTCATTCCTGAACGCCAGGTTGGTACTGAGGACACACGTCCCTGGAAAAAAAAAATGCTGTATATTCAAAATTTAAGATGCTTTAAAGGTTAAAAAAAAACATGAATGAATAACTACATTAATATTCACAAGTTCAAAATACTAAATAAATATAATTAAAGACTATTTGAATACAAATATTGACCATTGTCGCCTACCTGTCGTTTCCGTGCAGTTGCAACAATCCTGCTTGTGGGCGGCGGCAGCAGCGTGGCAGCAAAGGAGACAGCGCCCCCCGACTTCAAGGATGGCGTGTGGGGGGCACGCGCTGCAGTTGGCCGGGCCGGGACCCTCGCAGCGCAGGCACGAGGCGTCGCAGTCCTCGCAGATGTGACCGGAACCCTGACAGACAATGGAGGGAGATAAACATTTGTCATTATTATAATTACTATGTGGAAAAAAAAGATTATCCTTTATTGTAATGACTTAAAAAAATATATCTAAAATACATTCATTGGTCAACAGGAACATTCTTCGAATCTGGCCGATTGTACTGTACCTGAATTCGCACGTACTCGTCCGTCTGGCACAAAGACACGCACGTGCTGCCTGACAGTTTGTAACCAGGGTCACACGAGTCACAGGAGTGAGAGCTTTTTCCTGCAAAATATATCATCATACAGTATAAGCTATGATGGTTTAACATTGGAACAACTTTAGCTCACCAAATAATGCCCCTTATGTGGTTAAGGGTTAAAGCTCCGTTTTCCGCAGAAGAAAGAATATACGTATGCCTGTGAGTATGGTTATGTTTTCTGTTGACATGTTGCGCCACCGTTTGTGGACCAATATCCATTTCTGCATGGGTTATAATACCAAATACTGTTACTGTTTATTCGCCCATCTATGGCATTTTGCATTTGGCGTTAGCATTAAGGTAGCGGACTTTCCTTAAGGCACATTTATGTGGCTCTTTGAAAATCTTGACCCCGTCTGATGGCACCGCTGTACTAGTACATTTCCCATTTCACCTTTGTAATCAATATCATGTTGACCTGAGCAGGTTGCGCAGTTGCCATGGCAACGCTCGCACGTAGCGTATGTGTCATCGTCAACTTGGCGGCGGTAGAAGCCGCGAGGGCAGGCGTGGAGGCAGCGGCCTTCCCGCGGCATGAAAACCAGTCCCGACGTGCAGCTAAGGCAGCGCCCGTCCGCTGAGCACTCGACGCAAGTGGGGTCGCACGGCTCGCATGTCCCCGAGCCCTGGTTGCCATAGTGACTGTGACGAAGAAGATGCAGAGGTCAGTGTATGGCGATGACGCTCCATTAAACAACAAAGTACGAAGGCTTCATTTGCACACTCGCTGTACAAGTCATCTGAATAAACTGGTCAGGATTTAATTGCAATTTAACACCACATTAATTTAATTTTCTCCATCGCCGTCCGCCAATTAAACATCAGCAACAATTAGCATTTTACAGCCGTGTGAAGTGAATCTACAACGTAATTAGCTTCAAAGAAACGACGCCACGCGGAAAGTTAGGAGCTTGCTGATAGTGGGCTTTTTTTTTTCCTCACAGGGACTGGAAATTCCTGAAAATGTTGCCGCATGTTTGACAATGGATTAAAAACCTTAATTAATGCACGCACTGTATGTCACATTTGTGCCCCGCCCCCGAAAAAAGTTTCAGGGCCATTGGACTGTGCCAAGACAGAAATGATACCGGTTTGTGACATCAGATCGGGGTTAGAATAGTTTGGGATTTTTCATGATTTTTTTGTTGTTTTGATTGAATTCGTTTTTAGAGCGAGATTGTAAATTTAAAAAAAAAGGCTTATTTTTTTTCAAAACTGCTTCATTTTAGTTTAGCTTTTATGAGTTGTGTTTTTAAATTCTGCGACTGGTCTATAAATCTCCAAATGGCTTTGGTTCTGAATCCATTATAGAAATGCAGATGGAATATAAACCCAGTATGGTTCTCAGGTCAGTGCAGAACTCAAAGCAAACATGGTGCATCAGCATTGAGGTGTTATGCTGCCAAAGTGCAAAAGCTTTTGAATCCATGTTTAAAAAAAAGTTTACTTTTATGCTTACTTTTATGATTAAGCTCTTTTACACCATTTTTGAACAATACTAACCTTGATTCAGATCAGATAGTAAAAGACATTGTTTTGAGGTTACCCGTGTCGAAAGAGCCGGTCCTTGCAGGCCAGACACTGGTGGCCGTGTTTCCCGACAAAAAAAACGTGTTCCCCGACACAGGACTGACAAGTCGGGTGGCACGCTTCACATTTCTGCCGCGACTCGTCAGTGTAGAAACCTGGTGGGCACACGTCCACGCAGCTGCCATCTAGTGGTTAGGGGAAGGATTTCCTTTGTTGTTTTGGTCCACTTTACTACACGCATGCACTTGCTATATTTAATTGAATGCAGAACCAGGTTACTGTCTTTTATTTAAGACAAAAAAAACATGAAAGAGGAATATAATGTATACTTAAAGGTTTCCTTAAATAACGCTGTAATCACTAACAGGACCTTTTGAAAAGATTGAACTCACTGAGCAGAAGGTCTCTCTGCCTGCAGCTCACGCAGCGGTTCTTTCCCGGGCCGGAGCAGCGGCGGCAGTTATTGTGACAAGGCCGGCAACCCCCGCGCTCGTCGACGTACTCGTGCGGCGAACACTCGACGTCCGACGGCACGCAGCGACCGTGGGCCTCCTGCCTGTGGCTCTCCAGTCTGTGGCCTTCTACGCAGCCAGAACAGGAGCCGGCCAGGGGCCCGACGCAGGTGAGGCAGGAGACGTCACACTCTAAAACCAAAAGCAAAACCAGATTTGGGACGATTTAGTCGCAGAATAAAATTGAATCAGTAACAAAAAAAATACGCGATGCATTACATGGAATGAAATCGATATATTAGCATTACATATGATAATAATATAAAAGGTCAGGCTATAGGAATGCCCAAGTCCTTTTTTTAGTAAATAAAAATCAAAATGGGATCGGAATTTACAATAAAAAAAAAATTGTAAGTTCAGAAAATAAATTTTTAACTATATGAGGGGAAAAAAAAGACCATATAAAGTAATTATGAAAACACAAACAATTTTTTTCACGGCGGTGAGGGGACCATAATATAAAGAGGAAAAAAAAATGCATTGTACAAAAACCAAAAGTTTTAATGTCATCAGAAAAAAGTCATTGTAATTACAAGGGGAAAGTCAAAAAATAAATAAAAAATGCTGGCGCCGGATGCAATGAGAAGCAAATTTTGCAGTGGGGTCACGGGGGGTTACGAAAGCAGTCGAGTTTCTATCTGGAGGCGATGTGACAGCTGCCTAACTTCTGAGGAGTGTCACTGCTATTTTAATCCGCGCTAAAATTATTCAGCGCGCTCAGAGGGAGAACTTCTTAATGTTGACTAAAAAATGAGACGCAAGTCAACTGAGGAAGTTGAAGGGGTTTGCGCGTGTGTGAGCGTGAGAGTGGGAGAAAGTGTGTGAGTGAGAGTGAGTGAGAATTTGATAGATTTAGACAGCGACTGAGTGAGTGAGTGAGAGAGAGAGAATGTGTGCATATGTGTGAGTGAGTGAGAGTGTGTGAGAGCGAGTGGGAGCGTATATGTGAGAAAGTGTGCAAAAGTGTGGCTGCGAGAGACTCTCAGGACATGCGAGTAGGAGGGGTCTATAAGTGCTTGTGAGCTGGAGAAAGCCAGCAAGATAGTATGAGAGGTGAGGTCACATGCATGAGTGAGAAAGAGAAAGTAGTGTGTGTGTGAGAGGGAAAGTTTGTGTGAGACTGTGCTTGTGAGGCTCCCTTGTTTTTGTGAGAGAGAATGTGTGTGAGAGTGTTCGTGGGCAAGATGTGAGGCTCCCTTGTCTGTGTGAGAGAGAATGTGTGTGAGAGTGGTAGTGTGCAAGATGTGAGGCTCCCTTGTCTGTGTGAGAGAGAATGTGTGTGAGAGTGTTTGTGGGCAAGATGTGAGGCAGTGTGGGTGTTCCGTGAGTCAAAGAAAGTGTGTGAGAGTGACTGCGATGGAGAGCAAGTGTGAGTGAAAGGGTCTACGTGTGTGAGCGCGTCAGAGAGCAAGACAGTGTGAGATTGTTGGAACGGCGTGAGAGTTAGCGCGAGAGGGAGTGTAACTGTGTGTGCGTGCGACTGTCCGTGAAAGAGAGTGTGGAAGTGCCGTCTAACACATATGCAAACTCACACACACACGCATGCGATCTCACACCTTATTTCCCTCTCACACACAGACACACGCATACTCCCACGCCCTTTTAAACACTTTTGCTGTCTTTCACTCTCACACACACACTCATACACATTGTCTCACATGCACAGTATGTGTGAGACAGAGTGCGTGTTTGTGTGGAAAGAGGGAAAGCTCGTGAGTGAGGTGAGAAGTCAGTTTATGTGTGTGTGTGTGTGTGTGTGTGTGTGTGTGTGTGTGTGTGTGTGTGTGTGTGTGTGTGTGTGTGCCTTGACATTCTCCCGTCGCGCCGTCCATGAATGTCCGAGCGGGACACGGCGTCAGGCACTTTCCGTCGCGCATTGTGGCCAGGGAGTCCACACAAGCGTCGCAGTCGTCGCTTCTGGGGCCGTCACACAAGCGGCAGTCGGGGTGACAGCGCAGGCACTCCCGTCGCTCGTTATCGCCAAAGAAGCGGTCGGGGCAGTCGAGCACGCACGTGCCCTCGTGGAGGAAGTGATACTCCTCGCAGGCTGCGAAAAGGATACATTTTGTCGTGGCAGATAAAAAAAAAAAAAAATGAGCCTGCTTCTCAAATGCAGTGTTTGAGTTGCCAAAAGTGTTGTAATATTTGTTGATTTCATTTGTACTAAAACGGTTTTATCAAACATCTTTATTCTTTTCTTAAAGATTATTTTTTTGAAATTTATATCATTAAGACTCAAAATAATCTTTCCATGAAATAAATGGAAAAGCCGTTCATCCATTCCAGCCCCCGCCCCCGAAAAGAAAGAACTTTTTTTTGTAAGGTGTATTTTAATAGGCAAAAATGGCACCCCGTAATATCATAAATATAAATACTATGGTCATTAGTTTTTTTTTGTCTCCTCTGTTGAATTCTGCACCCTGTGGTGTCCCTGCATGCCTTGGCCACCTATTTTGGTCATTGAGGTGTTTTGAATTCCACTCCTGACCGGATGATACTGACCAGGGATTCATAATTACACCTCACTGAGACATCTCAGCTCCTCTCTCAGCTCATCAGTATGGCACTTATATCATTCTTGGCAGAAGACAAAGAATACATGACTGTGAGTGCCATTATGTTTGTCGATAGGGTTGGGGGTTGGGGGTGGGGTGGGGGAGTCGACCACAAAAATAGGGGGATGTAAAACCATCCGATTCCTTGAGTCCTCAATGGAATAGTCGATACGAAAATTGATTCTAAAGCGATTCAATAGTGACAGATGAATTGAGCTGACACATTTTAACCTCGTCTCACCCACTTGTCTGTTTTAAAAATGAATTATGAACCTTAGTTCACAAACATTTTCCGTCACCTGTGCAGTCTCCAAAAGGGTTGCACTCTTCACAGGCCGGAGGGCAGCGTCGGCATTCCCGGATGTGGACCGCGTGGCCCGCGGGACATTCCCGCACGCATTGGTGATTGAGCAGCAGCAGAGGTTCTTCACAGCTCTGGCAGGAGGTGGCGTTCTTGCAGGAAGCGCAGCCCGACGCGCAGCTTCGACACACCTGACCGACCGGGTAGCCTCTGTCGAGATCATTCGCTCACGATGAATACAACTTGGTGTACTTTGAAGACGGATTGGCATGCCAAGGTTATCGGTAAGTGACATAAGTGTATTTAACACGTGGGGAATTTGCATATCAACATTGTACTGAACGAAATGTTGACTCTTTTCGGTGTAAATAACTGCATAGAGACAATACTGCCACATCTCTGCATGCCAATTTTCACATTAAACCGGTTGCGTAAAAAAAAGGCAATATCTCGTAAAACCCCCCAAATCCACATAAATGTGGTTTATACAGTCCCCCATTGTCTACAGTTTTCCGCATCTCGATGAAGTCAAAGTACCGTCCATCTATTTTCCAAATAAGAACTCCAACGACGTTTCAATGTGTTTTTCCTGGTCTGAGGTCATAATTTTGCGACTGGCATGCAGCAATAAGCTCCTTGGCGGAGGTAATAAAGCCAGGTTGGGCCGACTCTCATCCCCGTCATTTGAGCGCTAATGGACACCCAAGGATATGGCGTGCAAGGACATGACGCTCAGGCAGTGTGGATTTAATTGCTCATAAATGTCAAGGAAGAAAAGTCAAAATGATGGCCAGTGAATATGTCAAGGATGAGACTTGTTTTTTTTTTTAAGAGTCTTCAGGATGCCTCGAGCAGTGTTTTCATATATGTGAACATTATGGACGTAATATGGAAAATAGACTTGACTTTTTCAAGGGACCCGAGGATACATAACAATAACTCATGGGAGTAATTAAAAAGAACGTTTTACGCAGTTCCGAAAGCACCGGGCAAGTTATATTCTTCAATTATAAGACATTTGGAAGAACATTTTGGAAGCGTACATGAATCGTATGCATGTGCTCTTTGGAACTCCCGATAAGAGCGGGATTAATTAAAATCTCACCTGACGCACTGCTGGACGCATTGGCTGTCCTGCAGGAACAAAACCGCGGTGGAATGGCTCAGGCAGCGGGTGCAGCGCTCAAGGTCCACGCAGTCCAAACACCCGGCGGGGCACACCTCGCACTCGCCACTCAGCCGGTCGCCAAACGAACCCGGCGGACATTTTGTCACGCACGTTTGTTGAGGGCTCAGGAAGCGTCCTGGAAGAGCACCGCTCGTGGTTTAGATTACATTTTTTGTTTTTGCTGCAGACAATATTAATAATGTTCAAAAAAAAGCTTTCATGGAAAAAACAAACAAACAAAAAAACAAGGACATCTCCAAGTGTGTCTATTGTGGATTACGATAAAGAACTGCAGCGAGTGAGATTCCCACACACCATTTGTACATTTGGTACACTGGTTCTTGTTTTTTCCAGAGCAGGACTCGCATGATGGATGGCACTGTGCACATTCGCCATCACCTGCAGCACCAAACACACATGCGATCATGACAGCCTGGAAACCTGAAGCAACAGGTGACTACCCGTTACACCCCAGAAAGGCTCCGATAAAAATGTGTTATACAGTATTGACGTTGAAGACAAACTAATTGCTTTTCAAAGAGCACGCTGCCTTGGCCCGTTCTCCATCGCTCGATAAAGTAGGTTTTCCCTAGCCCACACCCCGAACATATACAAAGTTACATGAACATGCGTTGTGTAATTTTGAGAGTACAACTCCAAATCCTAAAGCAGTCACAGCATGTAAATTCAACTTTTTAATTAAATTGCTTGGACACAGACATTTGGGTCTGGTTACAAAATTTGGCTAACTCAACATCGGTGCTAACTGTGAAGCTAAAGCTAGGTGACAACTGATTGAATTTAGTGACACAAATGTGACATAAATCTGCAGTATAAAACCATATAGATCAACACAAAAAAAAAATGCCAATTTACGCTTGGCTAGTGTTGTTTAGGTCGCAAACTAGCTAGTATTTTTACTCTTACGATTGTTAGATGACCCCTTTTTCATTTCCAATGTTCTTTTTAGCCTCTCCAATTGATTTAACCTTTGTTTTGTGTTGGATAGCACATCTTTAGTATTAGTGGGTCAAATTTAACCCGGGATTTAACTCATCCTGAAAGTACACTATTTATAATCCAATCTTGTTTTTCACCTAATAGCTAATTTAGTGTGTATTCATATCCATGGAAACAGATTTATTTTGATCTATTTTTTTGCTCTACAGACCTTTTATCTTAAAATATACCACTCATTTTCAGTTATAAAAACTGGTTAAATTCACTAATTATATTTCCTATAGAGATAAAATGAGTAATTGTACTATCCACCTTATCAATTAATATTAGAATACACCTACCCCAAAAATTGTTTTGTTGTTATTATTTTTTAATTCCTAGAATTGCATGACTTGCCTCCCCCAAAAATACAAGAGGGTGCTTAGAGATGTCTGAAAGTCTTGGAAAGAGGGCTAAATAATCCACGCACACAATCATCACAAAGTGTTTCTGGCAGAGATTCATTCATTCTGATTGAGTCCTTAAGCTGAAATCTTTTATTAATTTTGGACAAGAAACCGTTGAATTGTTATTCTCACCACTGCGAAAAGTCAGCACCGGACAGACGTCTTCGTCTGTCACGCACTGTCCGTTTTCCAGCGTTGCGCCATCACGGCACAACACGCAGTCGTCGCGACCGGGGCCACTGCAGGACACGCAGTCGACGTGGCACTCCTCACAGTCGTTGGTGTCCTCGTCGCCGTAATAACCCTCGGGGCATACGGAAACACACTTTCCCTCTGAGGAAACAAAATATGCATGCCAAGCTCCTAGTTGGCCATTTGACTTTACACTTAAATTTAAACCTCAAAAATCTGGGGCAAATATGCTAACCTCCACTCCCCTCTTTCCCATCAGAAAATCGGCAAGTAGAAATTAATGAATGGAATTACTACGATATCGTAGAAGAGTTGACTACTGAACTCGCCGGATTCCAAACGAAAACAGTAGCACCTATCAAGTCTCTCAAAACTTAGAACTGACTTATTGCAACCCCCCCCCCCAAAGAAAGAAATTAATATTTGACCCCGAAATATCACTTATATGCTTTCAAGAGTGCCAGATTAGTAGGAGAGGCGCTACCTGACAGGAAGAGGTCTGTTTCGCACCAGTAGCACTCGTGCTGGTCACAGCTCACGCAGTTGTCCTCGCACGGGAAGCAGGTCATCTCCTCGTCCACGCCGTACGTCTTGGCGGGGCAGTTTTTGTAGCAGCCATCCTGGAAGCTGAAGACAAAAACGGCAGCAGTCGATGAGCTCCCTTTTACTCCTGCCTTAGTCCATTTCACTCTTCAAGGCCGAAACGTCGGTCAGATCAGTAAAGCGAGAGGCTGAGCGAGGAAAGACGAAGGCGAGATCACACAAGGCATTACTTGTAAAAGCCTTCTTTGCAGGACAGGCAATGCCGGGGGTTATCTGTCGGAAGCGTAAGAAGAATTCGTAAGAAAAACAGTCAAACTGTCATTTTACGAGAATACATTATTTTTTTTTTTATGTCCATAAAGTTTCATTTCAAAAAGTCATTTTATGAAAATGAGGTCATGATTACAAAAAGAGCTTTGCTTGAATCATCTTGGCTGCTATAAACCCTGTGTCTTTATTTATTTATTTTTATCCACATATCTGGACTTCTGCTAAGTAAGTGAGTACTTTTTTCAAAAGTACGAGACAACTTTGATCTATTTTGAGTGTTGCCGACGGTGTGGTCAGGAGGGCTCAGCCCGTGATGGGGGAAATAGCTCGTGTGATCTCACATAGGACACACTGCTTGCAGCCCTCCTCACAGGCCATGCAGTCGCTGTAATCGGGATCCTCGACTTCGCCTGCAAGACAAGCAGGAAATGCACTTTTTCGGAGGGGGTCGAAGTGCAGAAGGCCAGTGGCGCTAGCGAGACTTGGCTTGCCTTCGCCGCACTCCAGTTTGACGCAGGTGCCATCCGACACGTAGTAGGAGGAGTTGCACCTCAGGCAGTGGGCGGAGCTTGTGCAAAGGGTGCAGCGGTGCGAGCAGGCCTCGCAGCTCCGCTCCTGAGTGTGGTAGAAGGCCTCGGGGCAGGCGTCCACGCAGCGGCCTCGGTGGAGGTAACGCTCCATTCCGAACTTATCTGCGGGAGTTTACAAACCCTCGCTCATTGTTCAATTGTCATCTGAAACATTAAATGCTACGTAAGAAGCAAAATAGGCGATGTCATGTTGTTCTTTTTTTTTTTTTTTTAGTCCACAAGAAAGTTGAATGGATCAACAGCGCCACTGCTGGTTGCAGCCAAGTACAGGAATCGTAATAAAAACGAAGCGGAGCCCCGCTGAAAAAAACGTGAGTAATTGGTACCCTCCTAAAAATGTTTAATTTTTCTATATAATTAATGTAAACTTTAAATATACTACAAACTACCACATTTCACATTATTTCAAACTCCAACAAAATTAGCCGTAATTTTTATTTTTTTATATAGATGAGATGCACCCATGCATGCACACGTGGTGAAGACTCTCCAAAACTTCCACTAGCAACCCAGGCTAAACTCAGTTCTGACATACAAAGCACATCTTTTAGTTAAGAAGTCCCACTTCATTCATTTGACAGTGTTAAAAAAAATAAAGGACAAACAGACAGAGCTAACGAAAGGTAACAAGACACGGTGCGTCCTCGCCTTTATCGCAACTGGTGCAGTTGTTAGGCCCCGCCTCCACACAAGTGGCACAGGTGTGGTCACACAAGTGGCAGCGCCCACCCGACTGGTACTTGCCCCGGGCGCACTCGGCCAGGCAGCGGCCCTCGTCCAGAGCACTGCAATGACAACAAACCAAAAATCACCACACATTCAAATTCTCTTCATTTAAATCATGCCAGTCAGGAACTTGAATTTTTTTGGTGCAATTCCCCACTCAATTGGCACAATGCTGTAACCTTTTGGAAGAGAATCTGGACCGAAACTTACAATGCGTCCCCCCCTCCCCCCCCTCAGCACTTTGGCTTATTGATCACAATTGTACAGTATTAGGTGGGGACAACAATGCGACTCAGCATTATATTGAGCGAGTCCAACTGACTGTGAAGCGCCACAGCCGGTGCAGTCTTGATGCCGCGGCCCCGAGCAATTCAAGCATGTCGGGTGACACGTGTGGCACGTCCCATCGTTGTCCTGGTACTCCCCTGCCGTCAAAGAAATATCTTGAGTGTCTGTTTCTGCCTAAGGTTCATGAAATACATGTCAAATTCAATGTGGATCAAAGGTAAAATATCAAAATATGATTTACTTGGTCGAGTGTGAAATTGAATTTTAATTATTGACGTTGAACCTTTTTTAATAGACATTCAATAGACATTTCATGACCTGTTATTAACGTGAGTTGCATTGAGAATTAATCACATTACGGTGATTATTTTTTTCTGTTATTTAACAAATTATTTCATGATTTAACGAAGTGTCTGATCAACTGGCAATTTCAAGAATGTAATTGCGGTTTTTGAAATGTTTTGACGATGCATTGGAAAGTGACATCAAAACGTTAGACATCAATAAATGGTGGGCGGGATCAATGATCTGATTGATTGAATGGCCATGTACTGTATGTGTGGGGGGGGAAAGTCATGAAATGCATTATATCCATTTGTCGTAGGTTCAGTACAATTCAGATTGAAGTCAGATTAATTCATTGGCACTTTAATAAATATTACATTTCGTTTCTTAATTTGTAAATGTAAATATTTATATTAGCCCTTTCAGGGACAGCGGTGACAACAGTGGAGAGCTTATCATGTTACAGGGTGCATGAAAGGGTTCCATTCAAATTAAATCTCATTTCATTAAATATTTGAGTCACGGCTGGACAACCTAATGAATAATATTACGTCTCCCAATATTTGTTGGGTGGACTATGTAATCATATTTCGACGCCCAGAAAGTGCGGTGAGCAAGCCGCGCGTGATAAGCTGTTGTCAAAGCAATGAGCGAGTGTTTAAAGTGTGACGGCAACCAGCGGAACGAGCGCGTGCTGCTTTCTGTTGTGTTTATTTAGACGCGAAAAGACGCGAGCCAATAAAAAAAGCGGGCAGACGCTGACCATCTGCGCACGGCGTTTGGAGAACACACTCGCCCTCCTGCAGGCTGCGACCGCTGGAACAGCTGCTGCAGCTGGCCCGGCTCGGCCCGACACAGGTGAGACAGCTGGCGTCGCACCTGCAGGAGCACAAAACGGGAACGAGGTCTGCCATCAGCAGATAAACAAGCCGCCCACACCTGAGCGCACACCAGTGCGCTCACCTCCTACACATCCGACGCTCGTCGGCTATCTCGGGAATTACGGCGAAAAAGCCGCTGCTGCAGGAGGCGACGCACCTCCAGTCCTCCATCAGGTAGCCGTCGGCGCACCGGGTGCACGCCTCCACGCCGGCGCCTGATGAGCCAGAAAATGGGAAGATAAGAGCACGTCTCTCCAAACCTGACCACCTTTAGCGCAGTGGGCTTCTACGAGCCGTAACTTGAAGATCTGCGAAATGTTTTTTTAATAACTTCATTTTACCTGCATATATTTTTAAAATTCTTTTTAAGTATTTAATCGGTGGCTGCTTTGACGTCTCACCTGCACAGGTGGCGCACACCCGGTGGCAAGCTTTGCACAGGCCCTCTACCTCGTCGTAGTACATTCCCGGCGCGCAACTCCGCTGGCAGCGGTTCCCATGCAGACTGGAGCGAGGGCGGATAAAGCGGAAGAAAGGAAAAGAGAGAGAGGGAGAAAAGAGACATTATGCAGCGGCGCGACACCCACAGCCAATCACGCGATGGCGTCAGGGTGACTCACTCGACGAGAGCCCAGCGAACGCAACGGACACGAGGTCAGCTCAGCTTAAGTGCACATTAAAGATCTCGTGTGCAAACTTGAAACTAAAGCAGGGGTCACCACAGTCATGCCTGGAGGCCTGTTCTGAAAATAGCTTAGCAGTGATCGGAGTTTGTAATTTCCTTGAACACTGTCAACAATTCAAAATGAAAATGTTTGCAGAGCGTTCCGATTTGGTGAAATCATTGTTGAGGGAACACAATTATTGTTGCGTTTCAGCTGACAGCTGTTTTTCACTCATGTTGGGGTGCAGAATCCCCAACTGATCTCAGTTTTTCGGAATTACGTCAAGTTTTTAGAGCTATTGGATCCCAGTTTATAAAAAAAGTGTATGTTTGCTTTGCAAACTAAACTGTCATTTTGAAATAACGTCCTGTTTTTCAATATAAGGATGGAAAATGGTGGCGCGGGCACCCGCAGCGGCTCCTCTTGTCGTCTGGTTGAGAGGGAAGAAATTTCATCTGTGCTGTATGTTGCACATACAGCACATTTGACAATAAAGTTGTACTTGACCTGACTTAACTTGAAAATAGAACTTCCCCCCCCCTCACTTATTTGACAAAATAATTGGCAGATTAATCGATTATTAAAATAATTCAATCTAAATTAATATTTCGCGTATGCTAAATATAATCAGTATCATGAGTTATACATGGTACAATTAGACAAGTATAGGCAAAAAAAAAAAAACACCAACTACTTTAACCCCCTAACTGTAATTCGATCACTTACTTTCATGTAAGTTGCTTGTGTTCCAAAAAATTCGCATGTGATTTGTTTTGTCCTTCCTTGAGTGCCAAATGGAAATAGCGTTTGATCAGCCCATCTGCAGATGCAGAACATTAACGTGGCTCTTTGCCCATCGTTACGATGCCGAAGAGTATCGCGGGAGGAGTGCAAGTTGTTTACTCAACTCTTGTCGGCGGCCTCATCAGATGCTCGGCTCACCTTGTGTCTGCTTTGCATTCCCTGCAGATGCTGGAGGATGTGCACCTCGAGCAGTTCTCGCCGCACTTCCTGCACATCTTTGCATCTGCGGGGATAATTCAAACAATACGGCCCGGTGAGCTCGCCGTCTTACTCTTTCACGCTCTTTCTCACATTCTCACACACGCACACACTTGCAATTGGGGCTAGTATTTTGCGACGTGCCGTTCATGACAGAACGGCATTTTCGCATTCTCGTTAGCCAGAAAACCCACCGTGGTCCAGGAAGTAGCCCTCCTCGCAGCCGGCGGTGCAGGTATCGGTCCCCTCGGTCAAATGATGCCCGGCTTGACAGGAAGTGCACTGGTCACTGCGGCTTCCCTTGCAACTCTCACAGGTGGCGAAGCAGCGCTTGCAACGTCGCCTGTCGCTCCAGAACCCCCGCGGACACGTGGGCACGCAAATTCTGTTGGAGACATGGGAGTCATGTGAGAAGCTTGCTTGAGGTAAAGCTGGTCAACCAGTACGACCTTGTGTTGTTCTTGAACTTAAGGAAAAAATGGGCACATGTGACACACTGCCACGGGCCGGGACCCTCGCAGCCGTCGTCGGTGCACTCTGAGTCGCAGGGTCCTGGAAAGGGCGAAGATGCAGAAAAGTGCACGAGCGAAGCTTTGTAAATTTTCAACAGAAATTGAAGACATATTGACGACTGCATACTATACTGCTACATAAATAGTTATGTGATTTGATATTGATTCAGAGCTTCTGGACAGTAGTTAGAAAGTTATCCATTTAGATCACTATTGGCGAACACATACCTGTGTATTCTTCGGCAAAATCGGCTTCCTTCGGGATCTCGGCCGAACGCGCAAACCTTTGCCGAGCGGGATACGGCGGCCACGCGGTGCCGTAAATCACCAGTGACCACTTTTCCAGCGTACCTGCGCAACAAACACAAGAGCGCAAAGAGATGAAAACCACGCCCTGTAGTGATCTGTCACCTCACTTTGCTTTTTTTTTTTTTTTTTACAAAGAAGCTAACAAGCTCACCCGCTTGTGAGTTTTCCCTCCCTTCAGAGGGCGAGTCACGGATGCTCAAGGTCCATTCCCCGACCGCTCGCTCCCCCCAGCAGTGAGTCGTCATGAATTCCCACTGGCGAAAGCCCTCAGTGGAGTTGTCATGAGGCCTAAATGAAAAATCATCGTCACCACACGGATACTATGACAGCTTCATACACATTGTCGAAAGGGAGGAAAAAAAAATGACAGGATTTCACAGTCGCTGGCCCACACGAGACAAAAAGTGAAACCGGTCCGGTTAGTTACTTCGGTCGCTGCATATTTATCTTTTGATATTGGTTTAAAATTGTTAGCAACATTCATTTATTAGTTAGCTATCAAGCTAGTTTCATTTGTTAGCTGGTTTTGTCAGTATGGACTAGATAGCGTAATTGTCAGTGAGATAGTTATCTATTCTGTAGATGCTAAGTTACCAAACAAGCTTGTTTAAACTGTGAGCTAGTTCAATTAGTGAGTTACTATTTTGTCAGTCAGTTAGTTAGTCATTGAATTTAGAGGGAATATATTTGGCTTTGGAGGTTCTGCTGCATATTACATGTATGTACAACCGAAATTTAAGCTACACTAAAATATCAGAAGCACGGGAAAATCTTCTCCCCCAGCCCCAAATTGAAGGATTTAGCACAGCAGGGCTAAGTGCTGCAGGATGGCGGTAATGGGTGACACAGCATGAGGAGTGAGCCAGAGATGCTACCTTTTATCGAGAAGCTGTGACACGGTGCCCGAGGGCGACGTGAGCGTAATGGAAAGGTCGCCGCGGCGACTGCAAGCCACCGTGACACGCACCACCACGTGCTCCACGAAGGCCACGTGCCGCCGCCTTCGGGATGAGGCCGAGCAGACGGACGTCTCCAGCACCGATGTCAGTGCGCCGCCCCTATTCAAAATTCTGTTGGGTAAAGGGAGGAAAATGGTCAGACACTTCATCAGGTACATAATCGCACCAATATCCAATATAAGAATAAGAAAACATGAATTTGTCTCACAATGGAGAACATTCCTAATTTACAGCAGCAAAGTTATGAAAGGAAGAAAGTAGAAGAACAAAAAGTACAGGAGCTGCTGTCAAGGCAGCCACTCTCGCGGCGCCATCTTGAAGTCATAATAATGACAAAACAATGACGAAATTCCTGCCATCACAAGGATAATTGTGGCGGCTGTTAAATCGACAATTGTTTTAAAATATTCAACTCTTAAGGTGTCAGAATGAGGCTTACTCAATGGACTTTTGCAGCACTAAGATAGCTGCCACTCATTACAATACCAATTATCAGATCCCAGCAAATATCGCCCCTTGTGACTGGCAGTAGTATCCGGGATGGCGTCAGAGCAATCCGTTTGGACTTCGAGCTAATTACCAGGGCCGTGCAACTCTTCAATAAAAGAGTGCGAGTGGGTGCATTTCAAGGACGGTTCAGTTTAAAAGTGGGACGAATCAGTGGGGTTCTGATTCGATTGGAAATGTCCCGGCTCAGTTCAAAGGGGTGATGTAATATGTCTTGACTCAATTAAGGTTGGGGAGGACTGATGTAGCCGCGTAATGTCATCGTACCTCTTCGACGGAGTGGGCGGCTCCACTGTGCATGCACGCTGCGGGGGGACCCGTTGCCATCGCTTTGCCTGCCGTACCATCCTCTCTGCATCCAGGAGGCCGAAGCCGTACAGGTGGCTCACTGAGACACACACACACACGCACACACACACGCACGCACACATGTCATTAGATGACACATAAAAAGGTGCTCTAGTTTCACATTGCACACACTCCCGGGAGTTTGTAGGCATTTATCTCTGCCATGTACACACAATGCTTCATTCGTGCATAATGCTTCCTGTTTGACTTGTTTCTGGACAAAAAAAAAAAAAAAACATTTAGCAAAACATTGCATTCGTTTGTGATTTTCTATTGTGTGAAAATATATATATTTTTTTGGGGGGGGGACGTTATGTGAAGTCATTGTCATGCTTACAGGCCAACTAATGTCATTAAAAATTGCAAGTCCTTAACTCCACTGATGGTATATGATTAAAAATGTAATGAAACGAGTTAGGAATGCCAGCAAAGGGTTCATTCAATTAAGGTTGTAGCTAATTATTAGCAAGGGGGACTTGTTGGAGGCTGGCAAGCCGTCACATTGACATGACAGAATATGTTACGATGTATTCCATTATGGTTAAATATGACCGTTTTTTTTACTTGTATGGACATTTTCGATGTCATATCTAATATCATATCAAGATCCATTTTCTTCTTTACCTTTCCAGTGGTGCATTACCTTTGTGTCCTGCCCCGTTCCTTTGCCAGTCGGCCGCGGCGAGCTGGCGAGTATCTGACGTGCGAACAATGATGTGCTGGACGTCTCTCCACGTGAGCAGAGGACTGAGAACAGGTCGGACAGAAACTCATCAGCGCAATTCATTTCATGTCTTAGTTAGGATGGATAGCGGCGAGCGTACTTGGCCTCCAGGGTGAGCGCGATGACGCCCGCCGCAGCCGAGACCGAAAGGGCCGCGCACCATTTATCCAAGGCGCAGCTCTGTTGTGAGTGTGAAGCACATGACGTGAGTTTTAGACGTTGGTCATCAAATGACCTCAGTCAAGCTGACTGACTAAGATGCAAGATATTAGTGCGCAAAAGTACAGTGACGGACTTCAACTGGAGCGGAATATTCAATTTCCAGTCCTCGTGCACCGCTGAAGTCCACCCCTGATCATATTGATGTCAGTAGGAAATTACCTTGGCATTGACATAGCAAGGTACTATTTATAGCAGTTAGTATCTAATGGTGAAAAAAAAAATCTCCCTCTTTTTTTGGGGGAAATTGTTTTTTTTTTTTTTTTTTTTAATCACATTGGCTCCTCCTTACCCAGAATCAAAACTGGTATGGTCCCATCATCCTTCAACAAACTGCAAGCAGCCTACTAACTACCACCGGTTGGACAAACAAATGCTTACTTTTGCTTTAAAAAAAAATAATAATAAAATGTATGTTCACCTTTCCTCATAAGGAGAAATGGTTCCCTTTTTGTCTTGAAAGATCTCAAAAGTGGCCTAACAAACATCCTAACAAATTTAAAAAAATAAAATAAATCCCTCCACTTTTTAAAAAATTCCTATCTGACTATGTGTACGTTTTATTGCTTTTGAAAAATTTGCATCCGCCCTTCCATGCGCAATACCTGCCCAATGTGCCTTTTTTTTTTTTCCCAACATTCTTTACACCCTCGACTCACAATGTCGTCTGCAGTGGAGGCTGCTGCCAGTATGGATGAGCAGCTTTCCTGGTGGTTCGGCTGGCTCTTGTCACCGCCGCCGCCGCTGATGGAGATGGTGTAGATGCTGTTGCTGTAGCCGTCACACGAGCAGTGGTCACCTCTACTTGCGCCGCTTCCCGCTGCCCAGACGTAAACAGAGCCCTTCCCGTGTCGACCCTGTTGTTAATTAGAGCGGCAGACCGAGGCCATTCATCAAGCGTGAGCCTCGTTAACGACAAGGGAAACGTCCTTGAAACTTTTTACAAGCCGTGCTCCAATAGTGGCTCCTCTTTTAATCATCGGGTTTCCACTGAGGCTCTGTGGCTCATGACCGAAAAATGCAACAGGGAGCTCAATGAAAAACATTTTTTTTTACCGTACTGTATATACTGCAGTATTAGTTTGTTAGAGGTGGCCTATTGGCTTATGTTAGGAGCTGTCGTCGGGTTGGTGTCTGGGCATCCTTGTGATTGTTGTCATTTTGTATAAATGATCAAATCAGAGTCGGCCAAGACTTTTCTCCGCTGATATCCATAAAAAAACCTATTTGACGGCAATTGACGTCAATGGCACTCAGAGTTAATTGCTTCATCCCCCCTCCCCGACCTCTGTGAAGTGGCAGGAGAGTACCAATGTATTGTATAGGAATGGAAGTCTCTGGAACTGAGTGACCAAACCAGCCGGACTGTAAGGAAATGTGGTATATTCTCACGGTTCGGATGCCGTTCTCCAAAGCGAGGCGAGTCAGGGGTCCAGGTCCATCCACAGTGGCGCCGTCATCTTCCGGCCCCCAGCTGGCCAAGTAGACATCAACATGCTGCGGTTTGAAGCTCAGCGCTTGTGCCTCAGCTATGTCTGTCACTTCTCCGTCCAGTCCACCCAGTATCCGAACGTCTACGGGTGAGACGGCCCCGTGGCTCGAGTTGGGATCACTTCCAAAACCTGTTGGTGGACTCACCTCCAATCCTTGCGCGGAAAGCCACTCCCACCGTGCACGTGGAGTGGTTTGCCATCATGGCGGCGGCTACCATTCCTGCACACCGAGTCCCATGACTGCAGAGAAACATCAGAACATGAGCCTGGATGCATATTGTATGAGGGCGGCTATTTCCGTTACATCAAACCAACGAGAAGACAGAAGTCTAAACGGAGCTGGGAATTTGCATATTCATTTATGCATGCAATTACAGGAGAATCGGGGGAAAATGGAGCATGAATTAAAGGAAGGGTCAACGTTTGAAGGGGGGGGGTTGCAGAGGACAGCCGAGTATCAAGGAGTTCTCACTAGTTGGCAGCCGTCTCCGAATAAGTCGGCGACGGATGTCGTTCCTGTCCGTTCACTTCAAAGCTGGCGAGAGCATCCTGAACGAGATTCGATTATGAGCGGCAGCACGTATGGATAACCAGATGCCAGCAGCTATCCATCTCCGTTTCATCAAAACAATCACAAAGAGCATTGTGCAACAGTCCGCCCGACGCCTAAGTGGATCAGACATCTCATGTCCATTCCAATAGTCCTCTCCAAGCATTTTGGCCCAAAAGCTACAGCATGACTGCTGTATCTGTCTCTGTTATGCACTCTTACACTAAGCGCTGCGCTAAATTGATCATGATTAATGTAACCACCACCCCAACCCCCTCGCTGCCGAAAGCCTCACATCCCATCCCGGGGGTACTTACGTAATTCGGTTTCAGCTCTGGATGCTCTCCATCGATTCCATCATCTAAGACGGAGACCACCACCCCCCTGCCGGTGTAGCCCCTCCCCCAGGCCCCGGCAATGTTCATGGGAGGTCGGCAGCCTTTGGAGTCATCACCGCAGAGCTGCATAGGAAATGGAGGCACATCCAAATTAGTGGCTGGGGCTTAAAAAAGTAACAATCCCGTGTTTGACAAAGTCGGAAGGTAGAAAGTAGAAAACTATTGTCAAATGCAGGGTGAAAATGTAAAAAGTTGTCAGAAAAAAATAAATACTGAAGGGAAGGCCAGATGGCACCACGATACAATCGACTCACATTGTACCAGGGCTTGTGCTCCTTGAAGTGTTTCAAGTGGGAGTCGAGGTGCTGATGAAGCGCATCTCCACTTTGGGAGCTCTTTTTGCTGAAGGAGTACAAAGTTCTTTTGACTCTTTTCTGGGTCACCTGCTGTTGCAGCCATTCCACCTTAAAAACAAACGTGCGAACATGTAAGGTAAGAGAATATTGCCCAAAACGGACTGTGTTGATGTTTCGAGCCTCGCTTCAATCCACTATGGTGAAAAAAAAAGTTTACATCTGTGGTTCAGGTTTCAAAGTCGGGTTTAACCCTTTCAGGGACAGCGGTTACTACAGTGGACAGCTGATGTTATCAGGGTGCAGGAAAGGGTTCAACTAGGCTCAGCGCTTGTTCTTTTAGTCTTTTTTTTTTCTTGTTTTTGGAACTTTATTATTGCTGCCCATAATTACATTTTTGCTAGCTTGAATTGTAATTTAAGATATCTGTAACTATTGTGATTCGTTGAAACAACTGATCGCGATATCTGTAATTCAGTTTTGACTTTTGTCATTTTTCCAAGGACAAATGATGTCACTTTTGTCATTCGTGTGAATGGGGTTCCTCATTACAAAAGTCTACAACTCTGCGGCCAACATGCGCCTGTGAAATTTGGATATCTGCCATGAAATCTGTGACCCCATTGTGAGAGTTTGATTCCCAGATTTTTAAAATTTCTCTCTTTCATGACCGAAAATATCCGAGAATCAAATTGTAGATAAGTCAAACTGGAGTTAGAGACACCCGGAGAAAACCCACTCAGGCACGGGGAGAACATGCAAACTCCACACAGGAAGGCAGGAGCCTGAAAAATAAATAATAACCAGACTAATTTTCAATTCAATCATCTGTCAGCAATGCGTTACTATACCTTGATCTCCATGGCGACATGTGCTGTCAACGTTTCATTGGGCGCCGTGGACCGCGCCGCCGTTTCGTGGTGGCGAAAGATGTAATGACTCCTCAGCTGTCCGATCTCGGTGCACAGATGCCGAAAAAAAAATCATATGTATAATATACCTTTTATATATATATATATGCAGTAATTCTTGATCCTTTCACAAAAGTCAGTTAATAAGACACCCGGGACCCGTTTCCAAATCGTAATAGAAAATGCATAATTTAGTCTCCAGGTGACTCATACAACACTCAACAGCTGATAAATTATCAATCGCGTGGTAACCGTACACCCGAGAGTCGTTTTTCAAGCCGCGAAACGTTAGTCGCCTCAAGACGTCATCTCATAAGCAGCTTTTATTTCGAGCCGCTCAGCGAGATCATTTCATGGAAACGCGCTCAATGGATGATAATAATAAGGCGGGTGACAAGAATAAAATCGAGCTCCTATTAAGGATGTGTAATATCGATTCCTGACCTCAAGTCCTTCATATCAGCCATACAGAGACTTATTCTCTCCGATGTTTTCAAATGATATCGTAACTCCCATCTGTTTTACTTGTTAAAACAGTGATTATTTCCATTTTGTCCTCGCTGATTAATGCACTCCCTTTTCCGCACTTTTCGGATATTGTACTGTTCCCAGACGGTGGGGTGGGCGGAGGGAGGCAAATTCCTATATGATTAAAACAGTGGCGGGCCTGCTGCTTCGAGGTTAACCGCTCCAATAATGAATATTATATGGCTAAGGCAAATTAAATGGGCGCGCGGGGTGAAAGACGGCGTAAATTAAACCCGACACAAGCGTTGCCGTTGACGTAATTAAACTAATATTTTAACTGAAATCCGCCGCAGCTTACAGCGACACTTCATTACCTCTCGCTTTATTTATATATTTTGTCGTCCGCTGCTTTACTGCGACTGAACGCGGCAGCTTTGACTGTCACATTTGATCAATGTTTTAATACTTGATACCTAAATCCCTCCCGCGCTCACCCCACCACCATCGCTGCCCCGCACCAGAAAAGGATCATAAATATCACCCTGCCCGGGCAGATGTTGCACAGCAAATTGCGTAGAATACATTTTCATTTACTGCGCCCCTTCCGAAAGTACAATTTACGGTTGCCTCTCATATAATGAATGCTGTTTTATATATGGCTTTGCAGTGTTTGGCTTCACTATACTCAGCAGGCCACCTCATTAGAAACAATGTAGTAGGATCCAATGTAAGAGCTGTATATGTACTGTATGTACAGTGGACCCCCACTATCTTTCTATCTATCTCAAAAAAATCAAGGGAATACTTAAACAGCACAATGTAACTTCAAGTTTTCCTTTTATTATTATTTTTTAAGCATTTTATAAATGTATAGCTAGCTAAGTAGCTAGCTAGTTTGGCAGTTAAAATGAGTGACTTACGGTACCTGTCCCATATTTGCGAATCCATATTTCTCTGCTATCCCCGTGGCAGATTTAGCACCTCCTTTTATCCGCAAGGCCCAGTGGTTGGTGTAGATGGCGGCTTGGCAAAAGTGCAGAAAGTTTCCGATCCACAGTGCAAAGAAAAGCTCCATTTCGGCTTAAGTTTTCCACACTCACGCACTTTCCCCGCTAGCGTTTGTCATTGTGTAAAGTTGTCTTTTTTTTTTTTCATGACCAGGTTGGATCGCTTGTGCTTCTCAGCGGGCTAACCGGACTGGACTGGACTGGTACTTCACAAGGATGAAGAAGGTTTCAGGTGGCTGGCCCAACATGGATGGCAGGTATCATCTCACACGCACAATGTCAGCTGTGTTCCCATCTCAAACGATGCCATTTGGCCCAATAATCATGGACGGATTTCCATTTCTTTTTAGCATCCCCAACGGTAGATTTGATATTTCCACTCGTGGTTTAGTACTTCAATTTCAAATTGTGCATCATGTTCCAGCACTGTGGCTTCACCTTAATTCTTCAAATTCAATCTGCAACATTTCATTCCTGTTCTGTTGTATTTAACTTTGATGTCCAATAACTTTGCCATGAATCATTTTGAAAGCTTGGCACCCCTTGTCCTGGCTTTCCGCTATCCCCTTTCCCACCGCCACAAATCTCTGACTGTTCTGAACTCCCGTTTGCGCAGTTACAGGCATGACGGAGGAGTTTTGTCTGTTTTGTGTGAACACTTAAGCAAACATGGTGTGCTTTGAATGGGGTGTAGGGTTGATAAAAGGATTTAAGGATTAAGCCCAAGTATTTCCTCATAATAAAGGATATACTTCGAATTCTGTCATAATTTCAGGGTGAAAGCTCTTTTTTTTTTCTTTTTTAGGTATTTAGAAACGAGAGCGCCTCTTCACTGTCATTTCCATCAACGTGTGGCCTTCAACGGCTGATATTTCTTTTTCAACGTGCGGCTCCCAGCGTGACTAACCCGTCTTAAATCATTCTGATGAGCTTTAATCACCAACCGCTGCTCACACTTTGTGCACGCTCTAAGCCTCTTTCCATCAAGCGCATCTCCTGTCCTGTCGAAATGACTCGATCAGGGACGCCCACAGAGATAACCGACAATTGTTTTGGAGTCATCTACACCATATTCCCAATGCACCGATTTGCACATTCGCAGCTGGAGTTCCATTCTAGACCCCTCCGTGAGATAGCTTCATGGCGCTGATGTAGCGAGATCATTTGAAAACAAAACAATCTAAAAATACCCCTCCCACACGGCTTCAGCACATTTTCACCACACCTTTTTGAACATATTGTCAGCTTATTTGAACACACACCAAAAAACATTTTCAGCAGATATCAATAAAACTCAATTTTAGAGTTCACATCATCACGCCGTCAGCCTGTAGTTATGTTAACTATCGCGCCATGCACGGGGATTACGCTAACTTGTTTTTCGTCTTCGGTCATGTGACGTTCCGCCATTTTCTCCTAACTATCGCGCCATACACGGGGATTACGCTAACGTAACGTAATTCGTCTTCGGTCATGTGACGTTCCGCCATTTTCTCATAGGTGAGAATGTTACCGATTTTTTTTTCCTCAATATTTTAACAATATTTTGGAATCATTTATGCCCATCAGTGCTCTAAATGATGAATCGAAATCGTTATCGATGAATTTGATGATCGATTTGTTGTCGATTAATTGCTTCATCGGCCTTTAGTTGTTCGTCGAAATGTACCCCTGCGAGATGAAGTGTTCATTGAAACTTGAGGGAGCTGTTCGTTTTCCCAAATGTCACCCATCAATATCCTATTTGTGGAAATATGGTACATTTTTCACCCTTTCCTGCACCCTGTAACCTGACAACATGTTAAGCTGTCCACCGTGATAACCGTTGTCCCTGAAAGGATTAAAGCATGGAGATGTGAACTGCTGTAACAATACAAAATTTACACATTCGTTTAAATTAAAAGCACTGCAACAAGACTACACGTCGTCTTGTCCTGATCCGAGCAGGGAATAAAGCGCCTTGAGGAAAAAGGATTCATTTTTAATGAGGATAAATGCGGCAACCAGTCAGTCAGAGGAGGGTCATTAAAGGAGCAGGTTTGCGATGACCTACCCTCTCGTTTTGTTTGTTATTAAAGCATGGAAATGTGAACTGCTGTAACAATACAAAATTTACACAATCGTTTAAATTAAAAGCACTGCAACAAGACTACACGTCGTCTTGTCCTGATCCGAGCAGGGAATAAAGCGCCTTGAGGAAAAAGGATTCATTTTTAATGAGGATAAATGCGGCAACCAGTCAGTCAGAGGAGGGTCATTAAAGGAGCAGGTTTGCGATGACCTACCCTCTCGTTTTGTTTGTTCCTTCAGCAAACGTCTTCCCCAGACAGCCGACATGGATGCGAGCCATTACTGCCAAGCTGTGAACGAGAGCGAGCAGGTTTGTGATGCAACCCGGCTTTCAGCCGGCTCGGCGGAAAGTAAACGAAGCGAAAAAACTTTGAAGTTTGCCAAGGCGTCTTCAGAGAGACGCCGGCACGTTTTGATGTTCAAGAGGAGCGCTCGCTTTCAAGCGGTGACACTTTCCCATGGAAATAATCGTCCGAGGCCTTCCCGTATATAAGAACCACCTCACTAACACATATGCTTTGTTCAAATTGTCATTGGCAGATAAAGGAATTTAAACGGCAAAAAGTCAGACACATACGGGAGTCGATTGTATCTTATTTTTTATATCGTCCTCTTCAATCCACCCACATATGCTTTGTTCAAAGTGTCATTGGCAGATAAGGAATTTAAACGCCAAAAAGTCTGACACATACGGGAGTCGACTGTATCTTATTTTTTATATCGTCCTCTTCAATCCACTGTTGCAAAAACAGCTTTAATCCCTTGCACAGCTGGATTGCTTTTGTAGTTGAGCAGCACATATCTGACTTGTGAGGCAGCCACGCTAACTGCTAGCTTGATTACACTGGTAGCCCATTAAAAAAAAAAAAAAATCATATTTCTTCGAATAAATGTACATCGTCAATATCCTTTTTTTGTGTGTGTGTCGTTGTGACCTGTTCAGAGGAGAATTCTTCTCATGTTTTGTTTTTTTTACCCCTTTCAGGGACAGCAGTGACTACAGTGGACAGCTTATCATGTTGTCAGGTTACAGGGTGCTTGAAAGGCTTGAAGCAACGCATCAGGAGGTTTGGCAGGCCATCTCGCAACGGGTACTTTTGAATGCGGTATTGAACATCCCCGCGTGGTGTGAGTGAGTGCATTCCGTCCACATTCCTCCTTTTTATTCTGTCACTAATGAGTCTCGAAAGGGTTCTTTCAAGTGTGACTCGAGGGTTTGTTTATGAGCGTCATTGCCGATTGCCGCAGAAGAGACGTTTGCGTCGCATCATTTATTGCTTTAAATTGCATCAAATGTTGGGATGGATCTCTTTTGCGCTTTTTTTAAATTTTTTTAATTTTTTTATTTTTTTTAGCAATCTCATTTAACATTTTTACTTAATTGGCTATATAGACAGGCAATATAAAAAACATTTTTTTTACTTTTATTTTTTTTGCCCATACCACATGCTTTAACCCCATACAAATGGATTAAATATTCATTTAATTGTTTTAAAAAAATAAAATAAAATAAAATATGGAGGTTTATCCGCATTTTTCAAAGATTTCTTGGTGGGGCGTTAAAATTTGTATTTATTTGTTTTTATTGCATTTATAATGGGTGTCAATAACGTGGATTTTTGCTAGTGTTGTTCTTGGCGGCCCTATTTTAATTTTCGTCGAGTCCGCTGAATACAACTTTTTTTCGGAATAAAAAGAAAGTATAAAACAATATGCTTGTCAAATTACACTCTGATTTCTTAGCGTCTTTTTTTTTTTGTTTGTTTGTTTTGTTGTACAGTGTGGCCCTAATACGCTGCGCTGCTGTATTGTCATAATCCGAACATAAAAACGCCACTGGCTACATGTATTAACTTCTCCTCAGCATACTGGGCCACTTGTGGTTTTCACACAGTCATTGTGCACACTTGTTGACGCCCGGGGGCGTGCTTGTTCGCCACACTCCTCCTGACGTCACGCTGAATTGCACCGCTCCGACATTGATACTCTCACTCGTCGTCGATGGAGGCCTCAAAAACAAAACGTGTCGCCAATGTGACGCTTCTTTCCCCCACTGTGATGCTGAAGACCTGGATTGCCGATAAAATAGCGCACACACTCACACACACACACACACACACACACACACACACACACACACACACACACACACACACGCCATCCCGCCACGTGCCCACTGCTGCATGTATGGATTCTGAAGCACTCTTTTTTTTCCTCTTGCCTTCCTTTTGTTCACCACTCCAGGCTGGGCTCAGATCCTCGCCGCCCGCTGTAAGCGCACTCCACTCTGTCGGGAGGATTACAGGCTACACGGTGGCAGATTAATGACTGACAAGTCCGCGGCCCCGTGAACGTGACCTGCTACACAGGAGATGGCACGTGGTGTCCGGGCGACGCTGCGACAAGGTTGAAGTGCGATACCCCGGGCTTGAGTGGAAGCGGTCGTACGTGTGTTTTGTCCAACAAACTTGTATTGATGTTTGTCTTCAGGCAAGGCTGGACTAGCACAAAAAAAAAAAAAAAAAATGTCCCAATCCCGTTGACTTGGCAAAAGACAAAACTTAGTTTGAGCCAATCACGAAAAGTCGTCACAAAACGAGTTCCACAAAGTTTTTTGCTTTCCCTCGAACTAAAAGGAGGCCAGAAGCTCACAGCACCTCGGAGCCTCGCTAGAAGCAGCTTATGTGTGTCATGAATCACTAAGTAGTAATATTTGGGACTTCTCACAGCCGTCAAACAGCTGAGGCTTAATTTCCTTCGGTTTGCCCTGCAGTGTCCAGGAAAGTGGGCTGGGTGAGTGAAAAGGACAGAAAAGCATTTAGAGCTGGTCTGGTTCAGAGCGTAGCTGCACGGACACTTCATCTTTAAAAACGGCCATTTTTCTTCATCTTTTGACACGTTTGTTTGCCAAAGGAAAGCCAACTTAAAAAAAAAAAATGCTGTCCACGATGACCCACAAATTATTTTCCGTGAACTTAGTTCGGGGGGGTCCTCAGTTTACGATACCGGCAAACATTGTGTCATGATAGTCATAATGAACTAGATTATTTCATTATAATGGCCCAAAAGTTGTCATTTCATAAAATCATTCGTGTGACAGCATTGTCACCTAATTCATGTTTTGAATATTTTTGGAACCCCCCCAATGAACATGAACATTTTTGGGGGGTGGGAGTGGGAGGTGATAATTGTGAAAGTAACAAAAAAAAAATATTGGTAACCTTTCCGCTGCAGACTATGACTCCTCACTCTCCATTTTGATGCAGCGAAGCAGTCGCCAATCTGATAAATCGAGTCTTCCGAAATGAGTCCACAGTGAAACATTTAACATGGTTTTCGTAACCTACGCCGACATACATAAACAGTACTTGTGCTATAAGCGTCAAAGGGTGAAAGAATGAGGCCACACCCCTGAGCAGCTGTGGTAAAATACTTTTTTTTTTTTTTTTTAATAGAGCATTAATCCATATCTGAAATATAACATGGCAGAATGTGCACAGGAGTCTCTTATATACTTTTTCATGTAAATGTACTTTGCTTATAACGTGTGGAGTGTGGCAAGGGCAAGTGAGTGATTGCTCATTTGGAAATGCACAATGGTTTCTCCCACAATTCGAATAGTAAAAGATGTGTATATATATATAGTCTTTGATGGTATATATTCAATGTCTGAATATAAAAGCTGGTGTTCTGACCCTCATTAGTCCATAATGATGATGACTCCAAATTCTCTTTTAGATATTTGACTGGATATATAGATATATATATATATTTTTTTTTATACACAAAGAAAATTGGGGACGTTGGGCTTTCTTTCCGGAAATTTCAGGATGAAACTTTAATGCACTATGACCTTTACATGTGAATTTCATTGTCTAAATTTTGACGGCACATGTTGCAGTGTTTGTGTATTTTGAGCACAACTTGCTGTTTTCTAACCATGCAGTTGAAGGGCAAAATTCAAATGTTGTCATCACGAGACCGAGACAACACTCATGAGCTTTGTGTGTCATCAGCAGGTTGCGACAAAGACCGCAAGTGGACGTTCTTGGAAATGAATTGGTCGACATGTCATTTCGCACTGCGGCTCCTGGTTAGAGAACAGCAAGTTGTTCAAAAACTACTGAAGCACTCCGCAGTTGGACATGTGCCATCAAGCATGAAGAGAAGGTCAAATGAAGTTCATCTCAACATGTTCTAGTGCATTTTAGGTTCGTTCTGACATTTCACCTGAAATCCGACTATCCCTAACTTCTTGTGTGTCGTGTCGATCATCTGTTTTCATCCTCTTGACATCTCATCATTGCTTAGTCATATTGCACTTGAAGCGACCGTCCCGCGCCATAACAAAGCTGAAGAGGCCTTTTTTTGGAGAGCTCTAAAAGCACATCGAGGCATTGTCAATTTGTCGTCACCACCCAACAAAAAGGCGCTCAAATCTCAACCTTTGTTTCATCGTCCCACAGTTTTATTTCCCCTTTTGTATATTGGCATGTCATCGTCCTCTGGGTCGCTCATGAAATCAGCCGTCCACGGGAGTATTGCAGTTGCAAAACTCTCTTTTTTTTTTTTTTTTTTCTTTTTCAGAGGAACCAGAAGCATTTCTTCCTGTTCTTCTTGCTGGGTGCAACGGGGCGCACGGCCTGGGGGGAGTCCTGTTGGCTGGGCGTGCTGGACGGAGGGGATGAAGTCTGCGGCGAACCCTCGGGAGGATCGCCCACCTTCCACGTGCGGACCACCTGCCCTTCCTGAAGACGAAAGTCGTGTTCGACGCTGGAGTGGCATAAAAATATTGTTGGTCAGTAACACAAGTGTTGATGCGTTGCATATAAAAAGTCTACACACCCCAGTTCATAATACCACCAAGAACCTGCCCGCCTTAAATGGAATTTTTCATGAAAATATTTTCGCAACAGGAAGTAGTAACTGAAGTACTGCGGTTGCACAAGTGTGCTCAAAATCTTTTAACTGGAATTTGGCAGTGTTCGGAATTCACCGATCACATTAAATAGGCCACCATTTAAAAATGTCGCTGATTAACCCCAAACAAATGTAAAGTGTAGTCGAGTTGATTTTCTTTTTTTTTTTCTTTTTTTTTTTTTTTTGCTCTCTGGCAGAAGCCTGGAGCTTTTGTCTGAACAGTGATTGGTATTTCAAACTGTTAAAAATTCATTGCACCTTGTCTAAGGCCCCAGTTCCAGCGAAAGAAAAACAATCCCCTGAGCATAATGTGACCATTAAATGCAAATACAGGAAATGACCCTTATAGACATATTGATGAATTACAATACATCTGTACAGTATCTGAATATCTTTTGATAATCGGTATGTTGCACATGGAAAATGAGACAAATATGTAAATATGCTTGCAGTACCACTACTTGCTATTGGTTTAGCATATGGATGCTAACCTGCTAGCACACGAAGCTAAACTAGCAGTCTACGTTATCACTCAGCGCTCCTCAGCTGAAAATGGTCAATTGGCACGGAGTCCTATCAAGTTGAAGGGATTGGATACAAAAAGAGAATGTAGAATTCTACACGCAAATAAATAACTGCATAAAATAAACTTTGACCATAACCACCATGTGTTGCTCATGTCAAGCATAGGGCGCCTAATGAAGCTAGCACCAGTGAGCTAAGGCAGCGGTCGGTCACACAGACAGGGAGTCCTTTGTTTACGAAATGTTGGTTAATACCGGCTCAGAGTGCTATCAAGCTAACGAAAACAGAAAGTTAATAACTTGGATAAGACAATCTGTAACAGCATGATTAAATTAGAGGTAACCAAACGGCACAGAAAGCTAACATTGCAGCGCACATACTCGCTTACACTTCAGACAGCATAAACTCATGGATTGAAAAGACAGGAAATAACGGCCACTGGATGCTGCTCAGTCATGTGACCAATATCAGCTCGCAGTGAGCTGCTTCCTGCTGTGCACCCACTTTCTCTTTCTCTTTCTCTCTCTCTCTCTTTTTTTTTTCAAACCGTTCCTTTGCTGCTATTCTCACTTATTATTATGCGGTGGCCTAGTTAGCGAGTGTTTCTCATCACACGGCAGCAGCAGCAGATGCTGGGAATAAATACAAGGACTCCAACCGTTGAGGCGATGCAGGGCCTGGTGGAGGATGCTCAGGTTTATTCCCGCAAGGCTGGAAATCAACAACCCAACACCTTTTTTTTTTTTTTTTTTTTTAACTCACTGGGGGACCTTATTCTTCCCTCTCCACTCCTCTCGTTCAAGTACACATGTTCTGTCTCACTCTTGATTCATCTCCTCTCCAGCGCATACCTCCACCTTTTGAAATGTTCCTCCACCTGCTCTTTGCGTTCACCGCGGATCAAATTATCTGTCAACATGATTGTCATTGGGGATTCCAGTCAAACCTCATTTGTAAAATTACCCATCCAGCATTGCTTAATAATATGCAAGCATTTTTTTAAGGGCGTAAAAGTACATCATCAGACAAAAACACTCATTTAAAAAAAAAAAAAAAAACAGGACAAGTTAATATTTTAAATTGCCCAAATTTTTTTATTTTCAGCATCTCAACAGAACGTACTCTGTAACTGAATATGAAATACTGTCCTCTATTTTAATTCGGGGATAAAACTACTTTTTTTATCCAATCCATCGAACAATTTATGAAAAGTAATCGACAGATTAATCCATTCGAATTGTAAAACGGTCAAATGTTCTGCCTGTAAAGGTAAAATGCCATAGGCGCACGTGCTAACAATTAGCATTTATGTGATAGACATTATCTGTTATTGTTCATCCTCTGTGAAGAATAATTATTACTGCCGTACTGTTAAGCCGAAAGAGGAGCTGAGCCTCAGCTCCCATCTCAAGGCACCTCTCTACTTCCTTGACACCAATGGCTACCTACCTTCCTGTTGAGGGATGCCGCTATCTTTTAGCATCTTAATGTTTCAGAACAGGAACCGACACCACAAATGGGGCATTTTTCAACGAAAAGCTGAACATAGTTTGCATGGAGAAAAAATAGAATAGGTGAAATTGAGGACCGTAAATTAGTTTAGCGATCACTGTACTTAATCTCTCCCATTCCTTTCTAAGTTCTAAAATTTCCCGCAGTCCACGATGGTATTTTGGACGCATTTTTTGTTGCGGGTGCTTTGTGTAGCAGGTGTTATTCCTGCTGCAATAAAGGGGACTGCATCACCCTGCCATGAACACTGAAGTGCTGTCTTGTTCTTTCACAGCAAAACCATCACCGTTGCATCGAGCCACTGATCAAATCCCCCGGAGGATTGGAGAAAATTGAAATGAAGTGAAACTTGAAGAACAGAACACGCAACGGCAACAACGAGGCGGAATAAGAGGACGAGGCGACTGAACAAGGGAAAGGCCTCCACGCGTATAAATAATCCCTCGGGAACGCATCATCCAGTCATCGAAGGTAGGAGTGGAATTCATCTTTTAATTCCAGCTAATCGGCGGATGCTAAACGCAGTCGGATTGTATTACGCCGCAACGTATCACGGCTTGAGACAGCAATGCGTTATTGTTGAGAATATTTGGAGGCCGTCCAAGCAGTTGTTGAAGGTCCAGGCTTTGTGTCAGAGTGCTATCCAAAAACCTTTGTGTCCGTCCGTCTCATTTTCTTTTCATCATGGTTTCGTCAGCGGTAGGTCACAAATGCATTTTTTTTTCATCCTCCGCACATATTGACACCGAGCCAAAAAGCGATCACAAATGCATTTTTTTTTCGATATCTGTGGTTTACTCGATTTATGAATTTTTGCTCCTTACATGTGAAGACTCCTCACTTCCAAATGTTATTTTTTTTCCATCCTCCGCACATATTGACACCGAGCCAAAAAGCGTCACAAAACAGAAACAAGGGGAGAACAGCAATATGGAGGAATGTTTACCAGGGAGTACGCAACGTATTGGGAGAAGCAAGATATTCCCCATCCATGGCACTATTTAAGAGAATTTTGATATGTTGCCGGCTACAAAAATAATTCGTGCCGCTTGCGTTGTCTTGTGATAGCCTAAAAACCATCTGGCTGTTTTGTTTTGCTCCGGACATACTGTCAGTTCTTGATTATTCCGCCACCGCTCTATTTCTCTTCAGTATCTGTGCTGCTACTTGAGTACAGTGTGAGTATTTTTGCCATCTCTGGGTTGTGTCCAAGTATTTATATCTGTATATCGCCTATGACCTTATTAGCAACTTCGGGACCCTTTCTGGAATGTTTTCAGAGCAAGCTCAGACACACTCACACTGAAGTGTCGATGAATAAATAGGACCAAAAAAAAAAAGTTGTTTACTGACAGCGGATGAATAATGGTGCGGGTTAAAGATCAGGCGCCGCGTCAAATACCTTTGCAAAGAGCGAGCGAAAGGATGATTGATTGCCGAGGAAACGTAAGGAAATAAACGCAGTCGGGAGTTCCAGCTGAAAACCCGCCATTGTGGTCCTGTCCTCGATTACTCGGTGGACTCTATTTGCGAGGGGGTGGATGCTGTGCAAAGTGTATAAATGAGCCAAGGTCCAATACGCGACGACAGCAGCCAAAAGCGAGACTGGCAGCTGCGATCCCGCCGCTCCATGGGGGGGAGGGAAATCTGTTCCCCCTCAAATTCCCGCTCACCGCTTTGGTTTACTTTGGGAGGCGTCCCAGCTGACGCGCCAGGCATCTGTCGCCGACTGCTCGGGGCGACCCGTTTAGTGAATTGCGTCACGCGGGAACGAGTGGCGGCGAAGATCACCCGACAAAGCTCGAGTTTGGACAAACGGCTCACCGGGATGTTAAAAGATGAGAGCGCTTGAAGATATCTGGCAAAGCCAAACGTTTCAGGAACTGCATTTTGGGCGCTCAGTGGTGCCTTGAGACACAAGTGATCCCACATTCAAGTTTTTCAAGATAAGAGCCGTCTTTGGGCCTCAAGCTGTGTCATGCCATTCCCAGTAGAGTAGAAGGTTACTGTCAAACTAAACATAAAACAAAAACAATTCAACGTCGTGTATGTCAAGCAACCAAAGAACGACCGAAAAATAACCCCACCATCTTCATGCTAACATTTGATGGAATGCGCCTTGACATGCTAACAATTAGCGTTTATGTAAAATACAGTACATCTTTATTTATATCGCGCTTTCACAACAGCTGCAGCTGTAACGAAATATGGGAATTTAACACGACACGTAACCAAAGACATGGACAGTCGAGCAATCATAACCATATTCCAGCATGCGTCTTGTTGTTTGAAGCAGCGAGCAATGAAAGAGGAGCAAATCCGAGTGTCCTTTCACCAGTGGATCAGAGACGTGAAGCTCAAAATGTGCACACATCTGCCACGAGCTAAGTTTTGAAAGTAAACAAGAAGCTGTAGCGTCCATTGACGGGAAAAAAAAAGAGATTGGTTCACTTCTCCTGTACCGTGTAAATCGGCTTCAATTTACAAGTGCCGACTCCCCAAGTAGCCTGAGGGGCTACTTGGTGGTGACCACTGATCTAAACATTCCGGTGTCACATTAGCATTCATTTGGTGTTCCCTTTCCTGGCGAGTCTCATATTAGCAATTATTATTTCAGGTCTGGCTTGTTTGGTTGCACTCCCAGGGAATATTTTCGCCCGCAACCCCAAAGTGCACCGTTAGCTCGCCGCTTGCCACGTTTTTGTAGCGCTTCTCGGATACCTTGCTGGTTTTCAATGAGCAATGCAGTCTACATTATACCTGCATTTTCAATTTCAGTCGTTACGCTGCAAGTGGATAGAATCTTACACGGGATGTAACTTTAACAAATCTGGCAGGAAGAGAGCGAAAAGTGTTCGATTTTATATGTGCGTACAAAGGCATTGAAGTGTCGCTCCTTGCCAGGATTGCTGCTATTGAGGAAACTGGAGCGAAATCTACTGTTTCAGCCTCTCGGCCGTCCGTCTCTGTTGTGGGACAAATTTAGTGCAACATATGCGTTGAGGTGTGCTGACACAGTCTGTCCTAACAAGTCAAGCCAGCGGGCGCCCGCTGAAGTGATTTATCCCCGCGTTGCTGTGATGGAAACGCTGCGCGTTCTCCTATCGGGGTCTGTTTATTTTTTGCATGGCGCGGGTATGAGGATGATAAAACGGCTGCTAAATGATGCGGCGCGTGCATTATTGAGGTATTGACTGATCGCCGCTTAAATGGGAAAGATTTGACAGCTGAGTTGTTTCAGTGGCGCTCGAGGGGAGCCGCTGTGTCACGCGGCCGAGAATAGACGGGGAGAAAACCAGACTGGCACACATGAAGGAAATCGCGTTGTAAAGAAGTTATTATTATTATTATTATTATTATGATTTTTTTTTTTTTGTCATTGACGTACTTTCAATTTCAGCCTCAATCAAAGGAATTAAATGAAGGCCTCCTCTCAAATAGATGCCTCCTTAACCCTTTCATGCCCCCTGTAACCTCATTACATGATAAACTGTCCACTGTAGTAACCGCCGTCTCTCAAAGGGTTAAAATTAAAATGTATAAAAATCTAGTACACTCTGCAAATTAGTAAAATGAACTTTACTTTTTGCATTTCGCAAGTGATTCGCAACTGTTTTTTTTTTTTTTTTTTTTTTTTTTAAACAACAAAATGAGGAGTCCAGAGTACAGGTATCTGTTTTTTCAAATGTAGGGATTGACAGTGAAAATTCAGCGAAAGAGAAATCTACTGAAGTACAATAATGAAGTATTTGTACTTATTTCCCACCACTGGTGAGCATCAGGAGTGAGCGGGTGCGAGTGGAGGAGCTTTCGGGATCTCGTTTAGCCGTGGGCGGGTTTCAAGCGTGATTAGTATTTATATGACACATCATCCACATGAGGCAGTGCCCCCCTCGTCTCCCGCTACCCCCCGCCCCCCTCGTCCCACCTCCTCACGGTGATGGGCACCATCTGGCTCCCGGCGTCGCCGCCAGTTGGGAGCTCTGTGATTACGACAAAACAAGCGCTCCCTTTTTTTTTTTTTCCCCCTCCCCTCGCACCTCTTGGCCGCTCATGTTTTCACGCCCGGCAGTACATCTGTCACATAAAACAAACACCGGACATGACGGCTGCACCATTTTGTGAAAGGATTATTGTAACCTCACCGGGATAGATTGGATTTATAGTCGTTTGCCCGGCAGCGGAGATTTTTCAAGTGTGCTCAACACCGGTCACTGTTTTATTTAGAGTCCCCGTCGGACGAAAAGGATTTAACGGTTGATGAAACCGTAGAGTTACTACATTGTCGTTGTGCTTTCATCAGCCTCGCTCGCACAGCGATCCTGCAAACGCACGTATAAGACAAAGAACCACGCCCGGGCGGAGCTACGTGGCCACCGCAGTTTGATCAACGTGATTCCGTGGTAACATGAATTACTTTCGTCTTACTGCCAGTTCAACGCATTCAAATTAATCCGCCTTAACGTACGTTGGTCCTACTGAGCTACTATTGACCCCATCATCACAATCGCGAAATCTAGACGACTTGAATTGACAGTTATTACTTCCGCATTTTGGCAAACTGCATTCTAGGCTGAGTTGTCATTGTTGATCATAACATCCACAGTCAGGGTTTCATGAAATTAACTCAGCCAGTTGTGGACCAAGTCTGAAAAGACGTTTAAAAACGTCTTTGGGGGTGAATGAGTTTTAAGCACACAAACTTTTCCCAACACACTTAACATATTGCAAGTGGGAACAAATCGAAAAGCAGCTTGGTCGATTTGACTTATTCTTTGCCCTGTGTTGGAAGCCAAAGTTAGTTTCAATTCAACTTGTATGTCTACTGTCATTCAAACAAAACCATTTCACCGCAACCAAGTCTTTTTTCGTGCCCACTCTTCTCTCGTTGTGCTTTGTACGTCGAACAAGTCATGCCCCGCCCCCCTCCCTCCGGCCCGCCAAATCCCCCGACGGCTGCTGGTTGATTTCACCCTCGCAGTTCAGAACGAGGCCGACGCCTTGGGTGCATATCCTCGTCCCCTGCGAGGCGCCTGTTGCGCGGCGGCTCAGCCCTGAAGTGAAGATGGATTACTGCAGAAGAACTGCCTGGCCTGCCCTTTTACACGTTGCTCGCACACACACACACCACTTCTCCATTATCCGCCTCATCCGTGGTGCAGCGCACGCGCGCGCGCACACAAGCACAAAGCAGCAGGTCTGGAAGCTCTGACAGAGTCGTTAGAGAAAGGTCAAAGTCAAGAATCTGACAAATCTTTCTTCAGAGAGTGAAAATACGTCTCTCACATTCATTTATACTGAAAGCGCAGCAGCTTGTAGGTGTTGGGTTTCTATCCCTTTCTATTTATCTCGTCTTCACTCGGCCGCCTCCGCGTGTTATTGGTCGGAGGAGGCCATGCGTAGTTGTCGGATGATCAATGTCCCGTCCGATATAGACAGACGGCGTGTTTGAAAGAGCAAAACAAATCCCA